CTTCACATGCTTTCCCCATTAGCGTGTGGAAAGTCATAGAGGAAGGAAGTACGTTAGTTTCTCTCTTGATTTTCATATAGATTAAAATCTTTTAACTTGAAAAACTATATGGAACTGAAAACTACATTAAACATAGTTCTAAAGAAAAGTATCACGGAAATTTTAAAAAATATTTTTATTAAGTAAAAAGGAAAAATATTAAGAAAAGGGAAAATATCGTAGTACATTCCTATATAACTGAAAAGAGGAGGAGAGGGAAGGGAGAAGGGCTAAAGGCATGAAACCGGTCTCTCCCCAGATGGCGTATTCGAGTGTTGCGATTGCGAATAGATTTTTTGTGTTTATACAATACATTAATGAAGAAGCCAACATAAAACTGACGAATTTTATTTTGTTTAAAGAAAAAGTTCATTACAGAAGGAAACCTAAACTGAACTCTTTATTCGAATTGGGGGCCCCCTCTGATGTGGGGCCCGGGGCAACTGCCCCGTATGCCCCTGCCTTAGTCAGGCTCTGTATAAGAAATACTCAAGAGAGTCTCAAATCGCAATGATCACGTTGAAAACCAAATGGCTTCAAAATACACAGGGAAAAATAACCCGAAAGTATAGGTAATTAAGAGATTGCAGCGCACTCTAGTCTTGAAAATAACACCCAACTCAATTTTAAGTTTATTGCAATTCAGGTATAAATTAGGACAGAAATAAGTAGACGGAAACGTAATGTAATGAACCGTAACCGCTAAAATATGAATATCATATGAATATTCTGTCGTCATAATATTTATTTTGAAGAGTTCGTTAGAATTACTATATGTTATCAACGTATGCTTTATTATTTATTCTATCATGAAAAAATTTAACATTTATATTATAAATATGTTTTTGTCTGTTTTTTGAAGAATAGGAGATTTTATGTTCCAGTTTATTGGTTAAAATATATTAGTGAGTGTTTGGATTATTAAGTTAGCTAATATATTTTTAGTTTTGAAATTTTTCTAAATTCATAATATTATATCTTTGATTGTATTATTCTATGAATAAAACAAAGTTTTTAAAGTATTTCTGTGTATTTAAAATAAATCCGAATGTCCTTAACAGAGCGGTTAACCAGTACTTTGCTGCCTCTTGTCACTAAAACTCTCCATTCTTAGTCTAGATCAGTGGTTTCCAACTGGCGGCCATCGATATCTTTTTTGTGGCCCGTGAACTAAAGTATATTTGTTGTCAATTTTTTTTCGGACAATTTTCATAAAGAATCTGAATAGGTTTTAAGTACTTTTAAGTTTTATGTCTTAACAATTTGATATCTGTTGCCCATTAATTGTTTAATGCATAGGTGCACATTAAAGTTATTTTAGCCAGAATTTTTAAAGATACAATTAAATATTTATATAAAATCTACTTATTATTTTAATTTGTAATTCAATACTCTTGCTTTGTACAACTTGATAAAAATCTGATATTACTATCAGATTTTTCAGTAGTTATTTAATGTTCTTTCAAACATAAAAAGAGTCCTATATAAAATTTTGATAAAGTTGCGGCCCACCATTTGACTGGTGTTGTTAATTGCGGCCTCCGATCTCATGTAAGTTGGAAAGCCCTGGTCTAGATATTAACTCTCTTGTTGATGATAAACATTGTCGAAAATTCCTTAAGGTTTTTTTAAGTTTGATGACTTGTTTTTAAATTTCCCCATATCTTTTATTAATTACTGATTTAAGTACACAGAATACTTAGTTAAGACTCCTCATCTATGCAGGATTTCTCATTATATTTTTTCATTGTATATTTAGTAGTTACTGTGCTTCAAACATTTTTTGGTATTTTTTGTTTCGCCGGTCTCAATGAAATTCAACTATTTTTTTTAAAATTTTTATTTAATTAAATTTTTTAGTGTTTGAAAAAAATAAATAAAATTAAAAATATAAAAAATGTTAGTGGAGGTCTATTAGTTATTTTTTTGACTCCTTTTTTGTGCCTGTTGAACCTTTAAGTACAGTTTATATTTTATTACAAAATTCTTGTTCTCGGGAAGATTCCCATATCTTCTGGCAATTTCCGGGCAGCGGTTTGCGAGAAACTAAAAAAATCATAAAAAGGGATCAACTCAAAGGGTATAACATGTAGCCATCTCTGGGCAAACCTCTACATGTTTTTTTTAAATTTTTATAAAAAAAAATTCCTGTTTAAAATCAATTTGGTGCCTTGGCGATATTACTTGGTGTGGCAGATCATGATATGGAAAGATCCCTGTGGTCTACACAGCTAAACAGGTACATACCTTAACAAATAAGCTGACAAGATTTGGCTCTACTTGTTTTTCATTTAATTTTAATCTTAATTTCTTTTTTTTAAAATGTAACCAAAAAGGAAAGTTTCTGTATCACTATCACAAATAAATGCCAAGGGAAAAAAAATTTCTGGAGGGATCAAACTGAAATGGTAAGATTCTTAATCACTTTTTGCAAAATTTATAGCATTATTATAAATTTCGTTGTCATTCGTTAGTTTACTTGACCTTCCCCCCCTTTTTTTATTAAGATTGCATGAATTAGAATGTTTGAACAATTGCTCTAAGTTATAATTTTAACAACATTAATATCTAAATTTTGATTTAATTTTCCTTCAGTTTTTCTAGTTTATTGTCATTAGTGGCCCTTTTTCTAACTACTGTCTCAACACACAATAACACATTTTAAAATAGCAAATATGAGTTATGGTTTTGAATTATTTGTGTTTGCTTACAAAATGTGGTCTTACTTGAAGTAATGTAAAAATATACAAAAATGTTTCTATGATGAAATGGCAAAATTTCTTAACATTACTTCAAAACTCTATACGTAATCTATTTCCTGAAAAATGTAGTCTATTAAATAATCAATGAATTTTATTTAAAATGGATTCTATATTTTCTTATTAATAGATTCATAGAAAAAATTAAATATTTTCTGTGCATGTTTTTAAAGCATTTAAATAACGGAATAATAACTGCATTCTTACATGCAATTAGAATTTAAAACTCTCTAAATATTTACTTTTATTGCTGTTCGTTCATTTGTGTACTTAAATGTTTGGTATTATTGTAAAACTTAATTATGACTTGAATTTTTTTCTAATTGTCTTAGGCAAAAGTTAACGTTTTAAGAATGTCACTTGCAAGAAAAGTTACATTTAATAATTGACAGTAAATACTACTTGCAATATATTAAAAAAATATGAATAATATTACTTAAACGCAAATAAAATTTTTTGAAGTTTCTGACAGTTACTGCCAAAAATTTGTTGACCCCACTTTTTATGTAAATTATGCTTGGAAAAAAACATTTTTTAAATATCTGGAACAAGTAAACCTATTATTCTAAATGACCAATTACAAAATTATATTGTTATTATTGTGAAAGAAAATAGAATTCCTACTTCAAAAAGTATAATGTACTACTAAATTTTTTTTTTCAATTAATGTTTTTATTCATTGATTCAACTAAACCACAAAAAAAAAAGTTAAAATTTTGCACTTTAATAATTTAAATCAATTATATTTTCTGCTTTTAATCCATATCAGAATTGTTCCAATGCTTTTTTATTAATAAAGTATAATTAACAAACTCATCACAGATTGTTTAATATTCAAATCCATTAGTTTCAATCAAACATTGTTTAACATTGGCACCAATTCAAATCCCTTGTTTATATGATAAATTAAGGTAATAAATCCCTTCTATGATTTATATCACTTCAATTTAGTTTACAGAATTATTCAATATTCAGGTACCTAACTCTTTCATGCACTGTGTGTTTCAGAATCCATATTTTCTGCAGAAGAAGCAAAGGAAGTATTGGATTTTTCCTCATAGACTGAGGGCATTGGAAGTGTTAAAGGTTGAAAAATCTCTGAATCTCATCACAACCTCATGCACAACTCTCGATAAAATTTTAAAAGGTGGAATACCAAGTAACAGAAATTTGAATATAGAAGTAACAGAAATTTGTGGATCCAGAAAAACACAACTTTGGTATTGTTATTGAACTTTTTTTTTACTGATATGTAATCTTTTGTAAGGACAGCTTAAAAAGCACTTTTTTAGGTTTAAAAACAATCTTTTTTTTTATTTTAAAAAGTTTTTATTTAAGATGGTTTTCAATAGAGAAAAATATTTCATAAACAGTGTTTTGATGTAATTATTTTAAACATATTTTCTTGATTTTACACTCCTTCAGCAGGTTCTTCCACCTATCTCTTTCATTAAGTACATTAGATTTTAAAGTTTTTTAATAAACTTAAACATTTAATGTGCTTTATCATGTTATAAAATTTTCTCGTNATTTAAATGTTTTTTTTAGCGCTTCAAACACTAAGAAAGGTTCATGTTGACAGAGCGGAAAGCATAGTATGTCCATTTATATACTTTCATTTGTGCTTTATTCACACTGTTTTTTGCTTTAGTCAACAAAGCACAAAGTATGCCTGATCTTCTGTTGAAAAAAAAAAGAAGTTTGATGATAATAGATGTAAAACAAGAAAAATGGTAAAAAACACATGAATAAAACACAAATAAAAGTACAGAAGAGACGTTTGTGCCATATTCACGTTATTTTGCTTGGAGTTCACATTGAACGTCTTAAAACAGAAAATACGAACCTGATATTCACTTTCAGCTTCTTCAACAACTTGAATGAATTCATTAGCTGTTTGCTGTTCAGTCTAAAATGCAAAAAAAGTAAATTAAATCGAAATACTGCACAATTCAACTTATGCTCATTTCAGTAGGTAGGCAATTTAATTTATCCAACATTTAAAATATTCAAAACTAATGCAAATCTTCCTTAAGTGAGAAAAGAGATAACTGATGAAAAGATCAACTTTCCTAAATTTCAAAACTAACAAAATTTTTCAGAAAAAAAAAGTACAGCACCCACTGCCTATAAATTTACATCTGATCCGAGAATATTTGATTTTATAAGGCGGTAACTAATGTTACAAAGTTAAATTTTACAAACAGACTTAAAGCTAAATTGATTATTACATTTATATTTTATTTTTACTGACTACATTTGTCATTTTATATAAACATGAGTTAAACGTTTCAGTTTATAGCAGGGCTTTAAAATATTTGAATAGCTAAGTTTAAAATTAAACGCTCAACATAGCTTTAAAATTTTTGAGAGTTTTTGTAAATTTCAATATATCTTTTCTTTGCTTTAAAGTTAATTTAAAATATCAAACTTTTTTCTGACTTTTATTGAAGACAGATGTACATTATTGGGCTTTAAAATGATTGACAGTGAATGATGAAAGACCTTCTCTAACTTTTCTTGATATATAAACAGTTTTTATTTTGATTATTTTTACACTCCTTGTTTCATAATTTTTCTAATTCTCATCCTTAAATTTTCCTATGAAGTGTAATCCATTTCTGACATTTTGCACATGACATTCTGTTCATACCTCCTATGAAATGAGATTTGTTATTCTTATGCTTTCAAAACTTGATAACAAAGATAATTCTAACTTTTCAGACAAGAAAAATCAGAATTTTCTTTTTCGTCTCTAAGCATATCCTTATAAATTTGATATTACAAAATGGCGATGATTTTAAAAAAGGATGGTTTTAGCATGTTTTGATATTGTAATGATTTGGTTCTTGCAGATTTGATTTTAAAAAGTTGCATAGGTTATAGTTCAGATATTCTGCCAGTGTTGGTCAACCTGCCAAGAAATCAAGCAACTAATGCAGTAAAAAAAAAAAAAAAAGTACAAATAAATAAGAAATGTCAAAAATTCAATTACTGTTATATTTATAGTTTCCTTAACTTCTTTGCTGCTTACAAGTTGAACATTGCCGTCTTCATAATAATGCACCTAAAATAATTAATTTTTATAAGAATACATAATTAAGACCACAGCAGTAATGGCTACAAAAATTCAAATAGATCAGCAATAGTAAGCGCTTATAGCAAATACATCAGTAGATGAAAGGAACAAAAATTAATCTTGATATTAAATAAAGGAAATCAATTTTATTAGTCAAAACTTTAGAGTCAATTACATCATCATAACTTTTACATTTTTTATAAAACTCAACTTCACTTAAAACAAGAATTTTCAGTTTTTAAAATTGCTTTATTACCTTTAATATGTTACTTAAAAAGGGGAATTCATTGGATGTCAATATAACAAAGAGAAAAAAAAGCACATTAAAATTACAATTATACAATTTACCTGAACTTTTATTATGCCTTGAATTTCTGCAGATGTTGATCCAGGAGAAAATGTTAGAGACCAAATACTACGCCATCTACCATTCCTACAATATAAATAGACAATTAGCTATCAAAGTTAACAAACAAAAAGACTTAGTTAACTAAGTTATTCAATTGGGTACTTGCACTTCAAGAAGAAGACGATCACAGATACCCACACATGTGACGTCAGTGAATTTTTAAGCAGAATGACGTGTAAAGTTGAAGTAAGTTTCTCCACATAAGTTAGAATGTTAAATAATGAGAAATTAATTATATAAACACCAGATCGCTCACCGAATTTGTTGAAATATAATTCTCTCTTGTTTACATATCTTACTTAACTTAGATTTATTATTTGTTTACATATTTAATTTTAACCACAATATATTTTTGTTTTGTGTATTTGGCAATTTTGATGCATAATTAGTTTGTTTATTTTCCACATGGCTCTGTGTCTTTGTGTTCAGTAAGAAATATATACTGAAAGAAATTGAAATCTTTGTGTAAGCATATATAACGTGTCACTTATGAGAATTGATACTTGGCGCATTTGGTTAACTCGGCGATACTTGCGGGTATCATATTGAAACAGATTTGGATATTAGAAGTTTGACTGCCTAAGAAAATGTAATAAGTATACATATCCTTCAACATTTGAGATTCTCAAAAAATATTTTTTCCAGTGGTAGTATTTTAATGTTATTTTATTTAAAACAAATGAAATTTCTATAAGGCTTTAATAAGAATTTAAGAATAAGTTTACCAGTCAATTTGAATTTTTATTTATGCATTTAAATTATTAATATTTTTGTAGGTAAATTCAAATTTTTTAAAATAATAATACATCCTTTTTGCTACCACTAAGGAAAGTATCTTAAGAAACTATGGAAATTCTGTAGTAGTAGGAGAGAATATGTTTATAGATAAACTTAAAAAAATGGATGAAAAACGCAAAACAATATTCATATAACCATAAAATTAACAAGAAAAAAGTCAATGAAATGTAATAGTCCTGACCTAAAAATTCATAGTTGAAAAAAAGGTTTTTTTCTTTTAAACCCCGAAATTGTTCATGCTTGTTATATTTATCATTTTGAGTCAGCAAAACAATTTCTTTGAAGGAAATTTGTTTTGAGAAAATAAATTTTTTTAAAAACATCTCTGCTGTTTCAAGTTTTGCTGCCTAAGCAATACTCAAAAGATTTCTTATTTTACTGTAAAAAAACAAACAAATATTGAGAATCTTTTTATTATTTTACAGTAGAATATTCAGATGCATAACACAGAATAACAAACACATATATAATTGTCTAAAATTGACAAGCAACATCTTTTAATAGCCTTAACCACTAGGATAATGTTGAAATGTCAGCCTACTTTAGTTTTTCAAGCTCTTCAGAAGAATATTTAATTTTTGTAGATATAGCAGCAAATGCTGCTTTTCAATACTATGGATTGCATCTGTTATTGTACATAAGATAAACTAGATTTTCAAGATATTTCTTCATTAATTTGTGGAATTTTATAAATATGGGTAAAGCAACTATGTCTTTTGAAAGCAGTTTGTGTTTTCAGTTTAACTGCTGTTTTTACAATGTTTTTTTTTGTAAAAAAAATAAAATAAAATGAAAACATGTTTTTCGTCTTATATTTTAAACATGTTTGAAACTAACTGGCAGTACTCCAATTAAGTTTCACATACATGAAGGAAAAAAAAAATTAATAAAAAAAAAGTGAGAGAAGTTTTAGGAAAGAAATTAATTACCAAAAATTTTTGGGTTCAAATTGGTGATCTTCAATGCAAGCTGTTAAAACTATGTTTTGGTCCTCAGTACTACTAAAAACAGAACAAGTTCCATTTCTATAGTAATCTTGTGTATATAAAGTGCATGCTTCTTCTAAAGCTCTTCTCCAGGTTTCAGTTTTTTGATCAGGTTCATGCTCTTTAAATTCAGTGGCTTCCTTACGTAAATGATCATACCTGAATGATTGACCTGATCGAGGATCATAAAACCTCCCATTACCCAAATCGTTGAAGTCAGTAATTAATGCCTATGAAAAATATTATAATTTAATCACATAGAGAAAATCTCAGAACATAAAAATGGTGCAGTTAAGTGACATAGATAAATATGTAGTAATTAACAGTATACATGAATAATTGTTAAAATAAAATTTTTGCACTTTTCTATTTTAAAATGCATAGTTTTTGGTAGAATTAATTTCATATTTAAAACTGAAAAACAACGGAAAATGCATTAATTGACATTGCAAACAGTGATTCAGTTAATTTTTGCGTTTTAAGTGCTTTAATAGCAAGTGTAATGTAAATCAGAAATTAAAGTTGATTTTTTTTTAAAATTTGCGAAATTTTTCAAATAAGTTTTAAATTTGAAAAATAAATTACTTTTTTCTTCATAAATTGATCTTTATGAAATTTTTTAACATGATTTAAATAAGAGTTTTTTTTTAATTAATCTAGTTAAATTTCCTTAAAAAAGAATAACAATTATTTAAGTATTGTCTGTAAAAACAACTATGAAAAAAGAATACATTTACTGGAAATAAATTAATACAAAAATATAATTTAAAGCTATTAACTTTTTTAATAAACTTTATGTGAATAAATGGCATATAAAGAATTTTGTAGTAAAACTAATAATTTTCCCCCCAATAATTTAAAATTTAGTATTTTAAAGCAAAATTAAAGGTTTTTTTTTTATTTCAGGCAAGATTTTATTAACACATTTTTGGGGGATTCTTTTAAACCATGTTTTATTCAATCCAAATTTTCATTTTCCTTTTTCACTAAACATGCTATAATAAATGTTATAATTTTAAAAAAATCACATAGTGACAATAAGTTAAGAAATTTCATCATGCTAGAAACATAATTAGAATACTTCATTGTAAAGTGTTTAACATTACATGTAAATTAAATAACTATTTTTAAAGTAAACTCACAAGGAAATTGGATCCATCAATTCTCGCAGGAGTCAGCTGGTCCTTATTATATTGAGCAAAGGCACTAAATAAAACAAAAATAGGTTTATGCATATAGATACATTGATAAATTGAGATATATATTGAATGTACAGAATGAAAAATAAAAAAAATTGAACATTTTAATAATTTTTGATCTAGTTATTAGAGTGTTACAAAGTTACAGGCACTTTTAATGGTTTAAGGGAATATCCTTAAATATGCTACTTTTTCGGAAAATATAGTCTTGAGCAGAGGATGGTTTGAAGTTGTGAAATCTGACACAGAAATATAATTTCTCTGACAAACCATACACTCTCTTTTTTTTGATGGATTTTGAATTTTGACCTTAAATACATAGGTAGGGAGCAATTTCTAAAATATAAGCCTGTTTGTGTGGAAGAAACTTTATATTTTGCCATATTTCTGAAAATATTTAAGAAAATCTTAACGTGCTTGAGAACTATTATAAAACCTATTTATACAAAAATAATTCAATATAGACTATAATTATTAATTTTTTTTATTTAACCTAATAATAGCCAAAAATAATTTTTGAATAACAATGTACATAAATATTTACAAGGTTTTTAACCATGTAATTTTAATTGATAAAATTCAAACTTAGAATAGAATTGATTCAATTGATCTTGAAATATGAAAATTTTAAAGTATGATTTATCAGAAATTTCGATACTCAGAAATTATTTTAAAACATTTGTTTCGCTTTAAAACAAAGTAAAAGAAACATCCTTTGTGATTGTCTCTAAATTCCTTACAGTGCACAACATAAATTTGTATTTTTTCATACAGAATAATCTTAAATCAAGTTAATTAAATCTTAATTCTCAATTTATAATCTTACAACACTGAATGCTAATATTATATTTAACATCAAAAAATAAATAAAAGTGAATAAAATAAAAATAAATGAATAAAATAAATAAATCAAATAAAATATTCATTAAATAAATAAAAGCAGATACAATTAATCAGATTTCTTTTAAAAATAACAGAGGTCACACAGAACAGAAGAATATCAAGATAAATTAATGGAATTAATTAGGTTTTTTTAAATACATACCCAGAAGCACCTTCTTTCAACAAATAATCATCATTTATTAGCACTCTGACATCTAAAATTAAAAAAAAAAAATTACGATTAGTAAAACAAATTTTTTTTAAAGAATTATGAAAGTCAGTCTTACATTATGCAAATAATACAAATAGCCAATTAGACTTAGGTAACTAATAATTGAGATAATTCATGCAATGCATAAATAATCTATTAAAAGAGTACACAACCTTTAGCCCTTGTCCCTCTTGCATTCTCATTAAAAATTAAATGGAAAAACTACAGTTCAAACACAAATTTTAAAGGAAAAAAAAAAAAAAAACATTTTGGGAATGACCACTCCCTGTTCCACAGTAAAATGTTTGCCAATGGAGGTTGGTCATTCTTAGGGGTTATCTCCATTGATATAAAAATATTATTAAAGGTACATGATTTTTCGCAAGAGATTATTTAAATTTTACTCAGTGCCATTTTCTTGGTGTGGAAATACCACTTGTGCTGGCGTCATGAAAACCGGATTGATGAATAAAATTTAGCATTAATAAAAACAAACCCAACTGATATAATTATGAGCAAAAAATTTACCTGCTATGAATGACAGAACTGCTTTAAACAAACAATTATGTTTTTTGTTTAAGTTTGCATTAAATTTATATTATAAAAATGAGATGCATGTTTGTTTAAGATGTTCAGGTTTTTCTGAAATAATTATTATTTATTTTTTTAATTTCACCCTAAAACTAAATCATTGAAAGCATCTCCTTAACCATGATGCAATGGTATAAAAATTAGATTTTAAAATTTTTATTTACTATAAAAATTTCATTTTTATTATCAGTGGTATAACATGAAAATGAAATGTAAACATGAAAATCTAAAACATAAACAGGAAATAACTGTAGTAGCATTTTTACCATTAAAAACTTCATTGAATTCTCCAGGAGGTGAATGCAAAATGAAATCTGATGCAATGCGAATCTACAAAGACAAGTTTAAATTATTCAATAGTTAAAAATTCATCAAAAGCTATATTGATATAGTCTTTAACAAATCAACTTAAAGTTAGAACTTTTCCATTTAGGTAAGACAATTAAATTTAACTATTTTATTTACTTATTGCGTTATTTTTTAAAAAAATGTTACCGAAAAAAAAAAATTACAATTTTTTTTTTTGAATTAACTTGCACCTGGTAACTTAGACTTTATCTCTTGATGGTTTAAAATAATACAAAATGGTTTAAATAACCATAAAAGTTTAATAACAAATTACGTAAACTGAATGTAACAGTCAAGGGATATTTTATATCAGGATCTGTTGCATCAACTAGTAAAGCCAAAATCTATTTTAACTTGCAAATTGGATGTCTAGTCTTGCACTTGTCTAGGAATCATACCCTTCAAGCTGGAACTTTTCTGGGCAGATATTTAGTTTCTTTCAGTAGATGCCAAGACTTAGCTATTATTATGTTGCAGATCCCGATACGGAAATTTCCCCTGATTTAAGGTCAAATTAGTTTACTGAAGTTTGGTTTGATATCTTAATGAAAAAATAGATCCACATTTTCCAAAATTCATATGTCCTCAACGTTAATAAAACTTAAAAAATAAAAAAAAAAACGCCATGAGGTATGGTAATGCATTAAAACCGAATATCAAGTTAAAAAATCTTTCAATAGCTACTTAAAGGCAATATTTTTATTCAATAAACGAAATTTACTGTTTGAAATGCGCAGTGAGTAAATTGAATATAGTTATGCAATTAATATTATAGAATTTATTCTCGTATTAAATCATCACCAAGTTTAAAAAAAAGTCATATTATGACAATAAGCTTAAATTCTAATTTCAAATAATGCTAATCTTGGATCTATAAACGTGAAGAAAGGGTGAACTTACAACAAGTTCAATGAAACGTAACGAACAAGAAAATTATTGAAGCTAGCTTACACTTTTATGAAATTTTATAGAACTTCAAATGCAGTTAAATATGATAATCTAACTCATGCGTAAATAAGAAATATTAATAAGATACCTTCTCTTCGTCTGTAACAGCATCTTCAATATCAGTGACGGCCATCGTCGTAAAACACCTCTTAAAAATAAACAAACAAATTGCAAAGAAATGGAAAAGGAAATGAGATATAATTATAGGTTTCGCTTCCGGCTACGCATTTCTTCATGCACTTTGGCTTTTTCTTTCTGTCCAAAAAAGGATCTATGGAGATCTGACTGCAGGTGGCGTAAGGCAGAACTCTCAACCTATGGCAACACTTCACATGCTTTCCCCATTAGCGTGTAAAGAGTCATAGAGGAAGGAAGTACGTTAGTTTCTCTCTTGATTTTCATATTGATTAAAATATTTTAATCTGTAAAACTATATGGAACTGAAAGCTACATTAAACATAGTTCTTAAGAAAAGCATCACAGAAATGTAAAAAAATATTTTTATTAAATAAAAAGGAAAAATATTGAGAGAAGAGAAAATATCGTAGAACATTACTATCCAACTGAAAAGAGGAGGAGAGGGAAGGGAGAAGCGATCGCCAATAAAAAAATAAAGTCTGTAGGGAACACTAAGAGATCATTCACATTGCATACAACGCAACGATTTGATTCGCTCCAGCGCAAGCAGTTCGTCCAAGATTTAGGTGGGTACTTACTTTTTTACGTCGACCTAGAGCTGCACAATAGGCTATAGGTGACGGTCTGAGAAACATCTCTGACGATGACACGCCATCGACATTTTGATTTCGTGGAGAGGGATGGCTGCCCTTCTTTGGTAGCCCAACGACCAGCGCTGAAGTCGATCACTTTACTGTAGAACAGTTTAACGAGGACCGATGCCATGCACCCTCGATCCCTACATAGGCTGATCTAAGTAGTCACCCACCCACTTGCTTACCGCAACCAGTGATGCTTGACTTCCGTGTTCTACTGGGAACCGCGTCTTTACGACCAGTAAACTGCGGGACGCGTCTAAGAGGTAGAATTAAATAAATACGATGCATCGAAATACTTTTAAATAAATTTTTGTTATGAAAAAAAGAAACATTTTATATCCAGGCATTTATTTACGTTGCACTAGAACTGCACAATGGGCTCTTGAGGACGGTCTTCCTAAGAAAATGGGTTCTTGAGTAAACCCTCCTGAGGATAATCCGAAGACATGAAATCAGAAATTTGATCTTCTGCATAAAGATGGTTTCCCTGCTATGGTACCCCGGTGACCTGCGCTCGATGACGAGCACTTTTCGGTAGAACAGTGTAACTAGGACCGATACCGAGTACCCTCGGTCCCAACCTAGGCTGATCAAAAGTGTTCTGTCACATGCTGACTGACCACAGTCCAGTCAGTGATGATGCTTGACTTCGGTGTTCTAGTGTGAGCAGAGCCGGATTATACCTTTCGTAGGCCCTAGGCACAGCCGTTTATGGGCCCTCCCCTCCTTCCCCCACTCCTCCCCTCTTTTCAAAATATATGCTAAAATTTTCTTCGTATGGAAACGTATTACGCCATTTTAGATGTATTAATTTCAGAAATGACTAAAAGGCGTAAAGCTTACAGTGATTTGTACGATAATTTCGGTTTTCTTGTTCACAAAAATTTGTCAGAATCTGAGATTAAACTAAAAGCGCAAAATTTGGTGAAAATTTACTCATCCGATTTAGAGGAAAACTTTGTAGATGAATTTTCACTATTTTCAAATTTGTATAAACATAAATCTCCACAAGAAATGCTGAAGGCTCAAATTAAAGATAAACTTGTGAATACTTTTCCTAACGTTCACATTGCATTAAGAATATATTTGTCGATTCTTGGATCAAATGCAGAAGGAGAAAGATCTTTCTCCAGATTAAAATTGATAAAAAATTATTTGCTTTAAACAATGAATCAAGATCGTTTGGCATCGCTCGCACTTATGTCTATTCAATCCGACATTTTGCGTAGTTTGGAATTGGACAGCATAATACAAGTTTTCGTTGAATCCAAAAATCGCAAAAAGTAATATATCAGATCATAAGATTCCGCAAAATAATTTATTACCGTAAAATATTATATTTTTATTTGTATCTTCATAATTTTGTGCAAAATACATTTGTTGTTTTTAAAGCTGAACTATTTTTGTCAAAAAATTTTTTTTCTCCCAAGTTTTTCGTAGGCCCTTGAATTTCGTAGGCTCTAGGCACGTGCCTAGTGTGCCTATAGGTTAAGCCGGCCCTGAGTGTGAGCCATTTTATTTCCAAATTCTAAAATTGTAAATATATTCTGTCAGCAGCGTTCGTGGGGTTTAAGGTGGAGATAATGGCCAATGTTGAGCAGAGATAATTACGTAGTCATGTATGAGCAACTACGTAAAATTATTTATAACTATTGGTGAAGCAACATTCTTCACCAATTTGTCGAAAGTAGGTAAAGTTAAATTGTCTCAGGGCAATCATTAAAAGGAGCATATACACTCTCTGTGATTGCCCTAGACTCACCTGCGATTGACTCGAAGACTGAGAAAAACGCCTGAGAGCAATCTTCTGACGTCTCTGAAACCAAGTTTATTTCATTCCTAAAGTTAAGAGCTCCATCTTGCAAGGACAAACAAAAAATCATCCCGTTATGCTAGGAGTCAATCATCACGTGCTTGATTTCTGGTCTGATCAGCCTAATTTGCATGGCTTTACTTCCCGACAAGCTGGTACCCATAGATCTAAAGTTGGATAGCCTTCAAGCCACCATTAGGGATTGACCCCCAGTTCCTCACAATTGCAACTTGGTGCCTTAACAGTTGAGCCGTCGCTGCTGTTTTATATATATAGTGAAGTATGTAATTACCGTATTTCATAAGATTATAATGATATTAAGTGATTCTGGTGAGTTTGAAGTAAAAATTTTTTTTAGTTATTTATAGATGTATTGTTTTAAAGAGGTAAAATGGTTGTTAGATTTATAAAGAACTTGCTTTCCTGGCAGTTCCGATTTGCATCTTTTTACTTGTTTATTACTGTTTGATCCAGTTGCAAGTTGTGCACCATCATACGTTAGTGTCGCTAGATTTAAATTTCGAAATTTTTATACTGCTGACAAGGCAATAAGCGTTTTAGAAAGATTCTTTTTTTCAAATGATGATTCTTACGTCTTGATGATGATGATGATGATCGACGATCTGTTTTGGAGCTTTTTGCAATTTCCAGCTTATAGCTCGCTTATATCCAAGGTGGTGGGGATAGGTGTATGGTTATAGTATGCGGATAGATTTTAGGTAGTGTATAAGATATTGTAGCTTGTGTTTATCAGTTGTTTTCATAAGGTATGAGAACGACAATGCTCCAGGTCCAAGCTGTATTTTTAGGGAGGTGCGCTGTTGATCAAAGAGAGGGCATTCTAGAATAGTGTGATCGATATCGGAGATGGAACCGCAGTTGCATCTGTTGTCTGGAGCTAGACCAAAACGGAATAACTTTGCTTTAGTTGGATAGGATCTAGTGCGGATTCTGGAGAACGTAACATCTTGGTGCCTGCTGGAGAGGGGTAGAAGTTCGTTTTTATTTTGGCTCAAATGAAGAAAATCAGTATAGTATTTGCTATGCTTAAATGCTGATTGCCTGGATAGTTGGTGGATTCGTTTAATTGATTGATAAGTATCTTCAATGGTAAATCTATCGTAAATTCTCGGTCTGGAGAGCGCTGCTTTTGCCAGCGCNTTGCATCTTTTTACTTGTTTATTACTGTTTGATCCAGTTGCAAGCTGTGCACCATCATACGTTAGTGTCGCTAGATTTAAATTTCGAAATTTTTATACTGCTGAGAAGGCAATAAGCGTTTTAGGAAAATTGTTTTTTTCAAATGATGATTCTTACGTCTTGAAATGACAGGTTTTTAAATAATGCACTCTTATAGCGATTCTTTTTCTTTTTTTTTTATCGCAAATAATATATCAGATAACGAATACACGTATATAAGAAATTCTACTCAAGAGAGTCTCATAACACATTGATCACGTTTTGAGCCAAATGGCTTCAACATGCACCGGAAATAATAAGTAGTAAAGAGTTTGCAGTGCAACCTAGTGTAGAAAACACCATCCATACAATTAAATGGGTGTTGCCAACAAACAAAGAAGCATCAAAACTATTATACAATTTACACGACGCTTTTTTTTAGAACTATGTTTAATGTAGTTTTCATTTCAATACAGTTCAATAACTTAAAAGGTTTTAATCTATTTTAAAATCATGACAGAAACTAACGCACTTCCCTCGCCTATGACTCTCCACACGCTAATGGGGGAAGCATACGAAGTGTTGCCACGGGTAGAGAGTTCTGCTCTACACCTCCTGTAGCCCATTGCAATCGCAAAATTGCACGTTACTGCGATTCAGGCATATGAAGATATTTCGTTTTACTTGTAGTATATGGCGTTGCAGAAGGTCGAAAGAATCCAGTTCATTCCGAGGAATTACCGGATTTTTTTTGAGAAGGAAGTTTTGAAAATTTTTGGGTCTATGTTCATTACAATGTAATATTATTGCTTCACATATATTTTATTTCCCAGTATAAGGAGAATAATTTAGTTCTTATAAAATACTACTTTGTTAGTTTTCTGTATTTTATAAATTGATATTACAAATATTCTTGTAAAAATTTGAAACATAATTATTGAAGCAGAAATTGATAAAAAATTAAGGACTTGCAAATATAATGCGAAATTACAATATGTAATATAATTATTTTAATTAATTAAAATTATATGGTAGTTGTTGTTGTTAATTTGCGTCGCACTAGAGCTGCACAATGGGCTATTGGCGACGGTCTGGGAAACATCCCGGAGGATGATCCGAAGACATGCCATCACAATTTTGATCCTCTGCGGAGGGGATGGCACCCCCGCTTCGGTAGCCCGACGACCTGCGCGCGAAGTCGAGCACTTTACGGTAGCACAGTTTAACGAGGACCAATACCGCACACCCTCGGTCCCTACGCAGACTGATCCAAGTGGTCACCCACCCGCACACTGACCGTAGCCAGTGATGCTTGACTTCGGTGATCTGCTGGGAACCGTGTCTTAACGATCAGTCCACTGCGGGACAAATTATATGGTAGATAAGATTAAGTATCTTAAATTTTATTAATGCAAGCAAACATGGCAAAATTAGTAGAGGAAATTAGAAGATGTAGGTAACAAAATTTTTTTTACATATTTAATAGGAATAATATATTTTCAAAAAAATTTATTTTAAATAAATTAACAAACACTAAATTAACATTAAAATAAAAAGAAATTGAGGAGTAAAGTTTAAAAAAATATTGGAATAAACTTTTAGTGAAGAATTGAACTTTTATTTATGCGGAGTATTTAGAAAATGAATTAATTGAAAATTTTTGAAATGAAAATTTTTGAAATGAATTTAAAATGAAGTTTATTTATCTGTTTATAATCCATTTATTCATACTTCAGTTCTTATATTTCATTAGCTATTCTTTAATCTAAGTTGGAAATGGCTGATGTTATTCATCTTCAAAAATCTCAATATTTTCCGAAATTCTGGGATCTCCGGGAAAATCTCCAGATAAATTTCTTGGTCTTATCCCATTTTTCAAAATGTAGAGGGTTTCAAATGCATTCTTTTTTAGCCAATTATTAATATATTTCTTTTGACTTTTTTGGCAAAGATTCGATAAATATATATATATTCAGGATGGTCATTACGGAACATCGGGAATACATATGCTTACACTAGTTTTATGTCGTCGCAGATAAAATATTTTTCAATCAAGTTTTTCAGACTAAGAGTAAAATATTTAAACATAAATTTTGTTCTCTGACAATCATCATCCAAAACTTAATAGTAAGATTCACGTTTTAATGTTCAATTTTATTTGTAAATAAATAGATTTTTTTGTAATTATATGAGTACCGTCATTCGGGGCTACTTTGTGCAAATTCGAATTTGGCATTTTTCAAGTGCTGCTATTCAGTATTATGTTTTTTTTCACGTTAAAAATGTGTGGAATTTGAAGATAGAAGTCTCCTCTATTACTACAAACATTTTTTCGAATTTTAAAACAATCTCAGAGTGTGTTTTGTNATGGTCATTACGGAACATCGGGAATACATATGCTTACACTAGTTTTATGTCGTCGCAGATAAAATATTTTTCAATCAAGTTTTTCAGACTAAGAGTAAAATATTCAAACTTAAATTTTGCTCTCTGACAATCATCATCCAAAACTTAATAATAAGATTCACGTTTTAATGTTCAATTTTATTTGTAAATAAATAGATTTTTTTGTAGCTATATGAGTAGACATTTATTTTCATAAAGTACACTAATGGTTGGCGAAACTAGACTTGTATAAGAATTTTCGATACTTTGGATTATAAGTCATGGAAGAAATTTTTTAAGATTAGAACCAGCCAATAAAAGCTAATTTAAAATAAATTAATAAAAAATAATAAAAATGTTGCAAAATTGGCAATGTGCTTCTGTGAAAATTTTTCTATGCTTAAGCATAAGGTTGTTGCAATATTAAGGCTGTTACAATATCCCTGTGCTACTTGCCTAAATAATTCTGAATATTACAATTCAATATTTTAGACGCTCCTTTATAATTGCATTTTAAATTATAATTTCAAAATGTAGAGAATAAAAAAAACCCAAGATAGATTGAATCGTATTGTTATGAATTAAACTCAAGTTTAAATTCTCTAGGTCTGAGTGGAGTTAAATTAATCTGGAGTCACATATTAGATAAGAAGCTTTTTTTAAAACTAAATTAAAGTTTTTTTAAAAGGTTAACTTTGGTTTTCACTAAAATATGTATTTATATATATTTTTTCCATGACAACTACGTTATAATTTCCAAATATGTTTTAGAAAATTGTTATAACCTTTATTAAAAAGAGCATAATTCATTCTAAATTCTTTTCAACTTAAACTTACTTGTTAATAATGCAAAAAAAAAAAAAAAAAAAAAAAAAAAAAAAAAAAAAAAAAAAATTCAAATGTCATTTTATAATTATTTCTTACTCTGAAAAAGGTATTTAAGCATTACAATTTCGAAAAAAAAAATCATTCAAGGCTAATTAGCATTTTTTTTAAAAATATTTTACTGGCTCTAAGGTTTAATGTTTCACCATTACTAGGCATAAACTTTTGACAATATAGAATAATATGTAACTATGTCAGTTTCATGAACATGCATGCAATTACTTAATAAGGAAGCGCAAAAAGTCGCAACCTAGTCTAGTTTAGTGAGGTTTAAACTAGATTGTCTAATTTGAACCTTATGTTTACAAGTTCATTTTCGCAATTTTTCTCAGTAGCATTAGTTTACTTCTTAGCATAATATTTTTATTTAACCCCTGAAAAATACCAGAATATTGTTAAACATTGTAGGCGAAAAGGCAACATCAAGGAGGCTTTGACTATGTTCATATCTGCAGAAATCACTTGTGCCTTTTTGGGTTAGTCATTATTTTCTGTGGTGAGAATGAGAAGCCTTTATTACATGAATTAAATATTAAACTAAGTAATTAAAAGTCACAATAAATTATTAAATCAAATAGAAAAATAACTTTATTTTCAATATTTTGTGTGAAGAATATTCTTATTTATCATATTTATTATAATAAACATATTTATGCTTACAATTGAGTGCTGGCAACTTGAGAAGATGTAAGGTACTTATGCCTAACCTTGTGATTTAAATCAGATTTAATTGGATACCTGTAAGCAACGGCACGCGTATGTGCCGATCCTGATTGGCTTCTGAATCGGCAAAAGTCATGCTTTACCTACGATGACGTCACTTGCAGGAATCCAATTAGAAAAAGATGGAAAATAAGACGAAGCAAGTATTTCTGAATAGTTACACTTCCGTTTCTGAAGGATTGCAGCTAAGCATTTTCATATTATTTCTTGGCATTGAAATTTTGACTTTATGTGCTCCTTTATATTCTACTATATGTTTATTTTGAGCTTCACTAATGGCTTGTGTTTCCTTTTTCCTAAAAGGAGTTTTGTTGAAAACTGTGAAAGCATATGAATTATTTGTGATGCTTGAAAAATTTAACATTTTTTCAATGTGTGCTTTTTTGGATCGCATTATGACAATACTTAAAATGATGAGGCATGTTGATATGAAATATAGTAGATGGTGCAGTTCAAATTCAACTGTGAATTCTTTTGTGTTTTTAATTACAGGTCTGGCGATAGAAGAAGGGTCTTGTAAGTTTTGATGACGGAGAACTATCATTTTTACGCTACTTTCTTTTTCTTTTACTACGTGAGGAAGATTTAAGTCATCCAATGAACGAGGTAGGCGAGTTTTGCGTATCGGTGTAATTTGATAAACAACTTGAAGGAACCATTCCTGATTGGAACTTATCTGAAAGTAAATAAATAAATAAAAAGATATTAAAATTAAAAAGAGAAAATTTTCATTTGTAAACATAATCGAAAGCTTTACAATTATAGAAGCATCTGAACTAGAGAAGAACGCAGTAGTTTAAAATACACAGGGCATTTCGCGGGCACCACGTTTCTATTTTTAGAATCCATGTCAAAAATAAAGTAAAAAAATATGTACGCAATAGAAATCGCAAATAGTTAAGTTTAGACAAAAATACTTCTTTAAGAGTTGATCAACAAAAACTGCGAGATAAAAACATTAAAATTTGGCTTCTATTAGAAGCACCTTCTAGTTTCGTCAGGTAATCAAACAGATATTGATTAATTGAATATCGCGATTTCTTATCAGTGATTATCCAGCTTTTGATAAAATTATTTTTTCCCCTGGAGTATTAGTTTATAACGAAAGTTGTGTATAAATTTTGATAAGAATATTAAATACATACATAAAGGGCAGCGATTGCGGAAAACCCAGTATTATTTGGAAAATTGGAAGCAACTAAATATTCGGAGTTCAGGTGAAAATCATGGACGATTAAATTCCTTGAAAGATACATTTTTTAATGACTGAATTGAGGAGAAAGACTTTTTTAAAGCGGATAAATTATTAAAAGCTGATAAATTAAATTGCTTTTAATTTTTTTTAGAACTTTTGTTTGAGTTGTATGATTTTCGGAACTGCCGTATGTTTTATTTCTTTTTGATTGATATAACGTTTTTAAATAAGCAATATTGTAGATACTTTGTTTGTTATAATTGAAAAATTTTTTTGAAGTATTCAAAAATAAGGAAAATATAAACCCGTTGATGATGAAATTAAATTTTTTAGGGCGTTAAAAATATGAAAAAATTAATACGCAAATAATTATGATTAGATGCTTTGTAATGTAGCATTGAATTACAGGAATATGTAAAATAATTAACAAAATGAATCAAACTAAAATTTCACTCATCTTATCTGAAAGTGTACACTATAATGTTACCTCATACAAAGGATCAACGTTAAATATAAATCCATCCACTCCTGATAGAATTGATAGTGATGAATATTCAGAGGATTCTGATACAAATTTAGAATTGAAAGGAATTCCTTGAACTTCTTTGGTAGTAATTTCTGTATCATGTCTGTCCTGCAAAAAATAATTTAAAATACAATCAAAATGTTAGATAAAAGTTATAAATTAAGAATTTTGTTTTAAAAGTAATTTTTAAGTATTCAAGCTCATAAGTTTGAGATACTCAGCTGCTATAAATTTGAATTAAAAGAAAATGGATATTTTCAACTCGAGAAGTGATGTGATAATGCTTAACAGCATAATTTAAATCAGATTTAATTGGATACCTGTAAGTGACGTCACACGCGCGTGACGAATCTGATTGGCTTCTGAATAGACAAATGCTATGATATACCTACAATGACGTCCCTTGCAGGTACACAATTTCATGAACTTTTTAGCTGATACTTTTGTATTATATGTCTGTTGTTTATTAAATAGAACAGAATCAAAAATATTTTTAATAAGTTATTCGGAAATTCTAACTGTTATAAACAAAACATTTCTATACACAGTTAATTTTTAACTGAATAAGTAATACAGATTCTGAAAGTGTCATGTGTGCCAAGTTAATTCAAATTGTTATCAAATGAAATCCTGACACTGGACATCGAGCGATTTCGGTGGAACTTTTTGTTCGTATTCCGTACAATAAAAAAAAATATTATTATTTTTTTTTTGTAAAAAAAAGGCTTTTAAGAAAAGTGTTATTTTACAATAAATTGCACACATTTTTGAAAATAAAAAGAAATCTCGGATTGATGATTTCATAAGTACTTACATAATAGAGTAAGAGACATAATTTTTACGAACTTCGGTGGTAACATACGTTTTAATGAAAAAAAAAAAATCAATTTTTAATTTTCTAAATTTTATATATTTCGTAAAGATTAATAATTTTGGTTAGCTGAGGAAGAATTAAAAAAAAAAAAAGAAAAATATTTTGGAGGCATACGAACCAAAAGTGTAAATTTGTATTTCAAGTGGTTGCTCGGTAACAGACATCCATATTGAGAACCATTACCATGGACTTTACCAGTTGGATCAAATGTAGGTGAATGACCGTCCTTTCCAGAACATATAATCACTTCATTTATGCTAAGCTCATACGCAGAATCTAATCCTTGATCTGGACTCCAAAATACTCTTCCGTAAATTCTATCCCCTAGAAAGAATTTTGATTTTCAGTTTATGATTAATGCTATAAGTTAATTTTAACGAGTATATTTGGAGCTCCATGATGATTCCAGAACACTCTTCCGTAAATTTTATCTCCTAGAAAAGTTCTTTTAAAAGACCCTGATTAATTTCATGCTTTTAATTTAATTATCATGTTTTGAACTCTATGATCTGAACTTCAGAGCACTCTTCCGTACATTCTATTCCTTAGGAAGAATTTTAACTTTCAGGCTTCACATTAAAAACAGTGGGTACATCAGGAACGAAATTATAACTTGGATGGTTTGGTTAGAACATTAAATTTGTCTCGACATTTTAATGATTCGGAAATCGGTGAGAACGAATGAAAATAAATTTCAAGCTTGTGCAGGCATTGAGTAGATCTCATTCGTGTAAGTCTCTTGTTTTCTTTTAAACGCCGATAGGATTTCACACTTGTTGGAATCCTTTTTTTCAATGTTACGTAAATGTTTTGCATGTGAGTGGATAACTTAGTTGTAAAATAAGTAACTTAAAAGTGAATAACACGTTTTTAGTCAGCATCTCAAAATTTATTGAAAGAGAAAATTTAAGTTATATTTGGTACGGTTACCTTCTATGACTATATTTTTTATAGCAATAAAAATAAGATAGCGTATTTACAAAATTATATTTAAAAATTCTGATAGCTAATTCACCAATCTAGTGACTTACCTTTGGAGAAAGGCCCTTTATATTCCACGTACTGCAAATTCTGCGAGTTTTTCATTGGATCTATCATGAATAGATTTTTGTCATTAAATAATTGAAAAAAGGTTTCTAGAGCATAGGTAACTGGTTGAGGTCGATTAGTTACTTGATAAGTGAGCGGTAAATCAAATCTAAACAGAAAAAAATATTAAGAAACGGATAAAATGTTAAATAACATTAGTTTCAGTAACAAAAAAATGCAACAATGTTAAACAATTAATAACGAAAGCTCAAAAATTAATTTTACGGGAATGCTTACGTCTGAGACTTTTGTGCAATACAGGGAAGATATTTATGACCACTGAAAAGCAACGAGTGTCCAGATTTTGTAACCTTGCATGGGATGAGATGTATAGAATAATAGCCACTATAGTCCTAGAAACAACGGAGATAATTATAATTTCATAATTGCATAATAAGCTCTATAGATAATGTTAATTTGCTAAAGTATTATTAAGGCAAGAGAAGTAATAAATCAGATCACATAATGAAATTTAAAGTGAATGTATAATTGATCTAATAAGACTACTTTCTAAGCAAAACAACGCCAAGTTGCATGATTTTTTAAGGGCGGAAGGTGATTGCACCATTCCTTTACTTACATCAGATAAAGTGCTTCTGATGTCCCTAGTAGTAACTATTTGGTTACCCTTAATTATTTTGTCAACAGCAAAAGCGGTTTCGTAGGAGATCATGAATTAGGCTTGTCCTAGGGTCTCGGCAGATCGAATATTTATGCAATATTATGTATTACGTTCTTCACGGCAGCTTTTACCCTATTTCTTTTCAGCCGTCTGTCCTACATACTGTTCCAAATAAAGATGAAACATTTTGAGTCAAATATCCTCGTTAGGTTCATGTTCAGCCACAAAGAATCACGCTATAGCACATCGTTTAATTGTGGACGCATCCCTGACTAGAACAATTTTACTTGCACTTTGAATGCTCTCATGTGAATTGGAGAATCAATGATGCAAAATTAGCAGTGTACTCCTTTACACTGATTCATAAACGGAAATAATAGCATTTCTATGCATTTCCAATGCTATCACGAGGGCCTTTACATATTACTTTGAAAATTTGCAGGTATGTAATATTTCTTAACATCCATTTCATTTTAAAAACCCTTGTCAAGAAGGAAGTGAAAAAAAAAAGTATTCGCATAAAGATTCTCACAGTAATATTTAGGCCAAGATAAAGCAAGTACAATACCGAAATCTAATTAATCACTATTGAGGAAGGTGTTATTGAAGTTATAAAAACCTGTTTGATTACCAGAAGAAACAGAGAGGAGTTGAAAGGTGATTTATAAAAACATCTCCAAATTTTATCAATAGACTAGTTTTCACGATTTTACTTCCCTCTTTCTCATTAGTGATTTGCAGGATTTCAATAGCATTTTTGTTTTTCCATTGCTTTAATATTAATTTGTATACTTTTATGACGGCTGGTTATACTTTTTACGTTTTAATGTAATTTTGTATGTTTTCCGCTTTTAAAAAATAGCACTTTTTTAAAATTCTCAATATATAGCATATATTTCAATCATAGCATATTTTTCAATCTCAAAATCCATTCATACTGTTAAATAAATTTTTATAGAAGTCTAATAAGGAAGCCAATACGAATACTCAAAATGAAATACCATACGGATAACGTCTTATCTTAAAAAAGGAGTATAGCAATTTAGTTTCACTGATACTTCATATTTGTATTACAATGACTAAACTATAAAAAATATATTAATTTTCAATTCGCTCTTTAATAATGCGGAAGTGAGTGTACTAAATATCATATTTGCCCTTCATTTTTAGAATAAGACAGTGCTTATCAAAAGCATATTGAATTTTGGTCAAAATTAGGCAATTTAATCCCTTAGAAACTTAAAAGAAATGAGGGTAGAAGCTCTTACTTTAAAGTTGTAATCCGAAGTGGCTCTCCAAAACTGTATTGGTCCATCAAACGTTTGTTCACTCCATAAAAGTTCCAAGTGAAATTGCAGATGAAGATTTTCGGGAGCGGAGACGTAACTTTTTTCACTAGGAAGAGTATGGTGATCTAAGACGAAACATCCTGAAAGGGTAAAGAATATTTCATGAAGAATCAGACAATAAGAGAACTTCTATAAATAATGTACGGTCAATTACAAGATGCGGTTAATAATAAACAGGATTGATCAGAAAATATTATGTGAATTACAAATCCATTTAATAAGTTTCTAAATATCCCCCTTTTCTACCGTAATGCATTTCTATGTAAAAAATTCAGAAACAACTTTAAAAGTTCCTTTTCGAAACATTGACATTGGGTTTTTTATTAATGACTTTGACATCAATTAAAAAGCTTGTTAATTAAGCAAAATATTTCGTTTAGGAGGTTATGGAGATGAATCATTCATATAACAATTCGGAAAAATTTCTTGCAGCCTTTTCATTTTAGAAATTGAAAAGTTTACTAAATCGAAAGTTGCAAGGTTTAAGGTTGTTGAAGACATTAAAAATTAAAAATGACTTAATGAAGAACTTTGAAGGATCTAAAGGAAAAAGACTTTAATGGAGCATTTCGAAACAAGACCCTAAAAGTTGCTTCTGAAACTTATAGATCAAACTCAGAAGTAACATTGAAATAATTATATTGGTGTGTAATTGGTATAATATTTACAAGAATTATTATATTAATCCTGGAAATGAATAACCACACCAAGCTTTAGATGAAGTTCAAGCTCATGAATGTTATTTTTTCTTCGCAAATATTATACTTCATTAGTAGCTATAATAGGTTTATTCAGTTAACCAGAATACAAGTTTATAGATTGATTGTATATTAAATATGGATAACTGATGTATTCTATTTACATAATAATTGGAAAAATGGATTACCACAGAATTTCACAAATGTTTTGTCTCAAAAGAAAGCATGACCGGCAGAATTATTTATAACTAAGTAGTTGTAATTATAGATCATTAGGTTGGTTCAGTTAACAAGTATCCAAGTTTATACATTGAGAACATATTTAATGCAAATAATTGGTTCACTTTTTTAAACAATTATCGAACAAGCAAAAAAATTACCATAGAACTTCGCAACTGTCTTGAATTCGAAAAACATGTGACCGGCAGAATTAGTACTGACACGAATAAGGCTTACACTAGCTCCAACTGATGTATCTGAATGAGCACCAGATTTCCATAAGAATGTGTTGTAGAAAAAGGAAAATTCTAATTCTGTTCTATGTTCAACTGAGGTCCATCCAGTGGGTGCAGTTGCAAATACGTATGTGACATATAGGGGGAGCAATACTGTAAGATATGTTTGATCAGAATCTCGTACCTAGAAAAAAAAAGTTTAATGTATATCATGCTTATAAGTTAAGTAAAAAACATATTTTTGCTGATTACTCAAGAATTAGGGAATCAAATCAAATGAAATTAAAATGTTGATAAATCAAAGAAAACAATTCGAACTTAGGATCATTAGTTGGGCATGACAATACGATAGTCCAAAAAGGATGTAGAGAAATTGTACTCGTGTAGGGTTTAATCGCATAACCCCCTGACAGCAGTGCTGGTTTCATAATGAACTCGCAACCTATTTAAGAGTTTTAAAAAAAAGTTTTGAGGCCAACTTATTCCATAAAGAATTTTTTCGTCTCGGAAGGTTTCTGTCACGAGCATCCTAGACATCGTCGATGAGATCTAGATCCTTTGAATACCATCGGTTTCTCTGCATTCCTCGACCTGCCCAGAGTCCTTTGTGTGCCCATGTTGTTATTCAGAAAAGTCAAGGTATCTTCCTGACACTCCTGATCAAAGGAGATCAGTCCGATTGAATTTATGCAGGTAGCATCAACTTTCGACTGTGTATCAGTGTTCTTTTCACAGATAAATCCCAATTCAATCTGAACAATGAATATTCAAAGTGTTTTCATATGAAGAAAACAAGAGGGTAGGTACCATCTTTAACATTATCGAAGTGAACTATTATGAAAGTTCGGGTGTTATGGTATGGACTAGCGTGATGTTTTACTGCCAAATAGGTCTGCACTCTTTCAGCAAACTCGACTCTTTTCGGTGAATACAAAGTATTTATTACACAGTGAATATACAGTAATAATAACAGAATTTTACAAAAATTAGCATCGGGTTTCCTATGACTTACATTTCTTTAAATCAAGTTTGTTTCTGCTACGAGTAATGCAATATTTTGCTGTTTGATGATTATAACTCTTCTTCTTCTACATTTTAATATTTTCTTATTAAGAATTACTTTTTAAAATAATTAAAAGATTAAATTTAGACTGAAAGGAAAACTGATTTGGTTACTTGAAAAAGCCAGCCATTGTAATTTATATTTAATTTGAATAGAAATATCTGAGGTAACATCCGTCGAAGATACCTCATTTTCAACCATACATCAATTGATTAATTAATTCTCAGTTACAGCTTCAGTTAATGGAAAAAAGGCATTGCTCTCATTTGCAATCAGGAGGTGTTGACAGATTGATGGATTCAGGAACAACATAGGTTGGATTTTTTTTATGTAATATGTAAGCTAAAACAAAATGATCCTTGCTTATTTGCCGAACTGACTGTGGGAGTTAACGGTTAAAGCTTAAAAGTTGCAAAAATATTTTAATAAGTGTTGAATGAAATGCGAGTATTTGATAGTATAAATATTAATAGAAAAATTTATAAATAATTAAAATATTAGTTAGCTGTCTTTTCGATAGTATCTTTTTTGATCTCGAAAGAAAAATTCGTTTAAGGTTAGAAAATCTTTGACCATAGTTTTTGAATGTATTGTTGGAAGGGATAGGTGAATTGTGAAATTATTAAGAAATAATTTTCTACCATTTGCATTTAACATGATACGCGTTAAGTAATTAGCAAATTTAATGTAATGACAGTCTCAGTGTGACATAAGTTTCAGACTACAACTTATGCTAAATATTTAAAAAAAAAACTGACATTTTGTTACGATGTCTATTTAGGTTATAATTTTATTTCACAATTAACGAGGGCAGTCAATACATCATTTTATTTTCCACTAGTTGAATACTCGTTCTTCATATGGGGTAAACAAGTAAATAATCAAAAATGAGTATTAAACAACGTTCCGTAATCACGGTCAAAACTGAAAGGTCACAATTACTAAAGTTAAAATAATTCCTATTAATTTACAATTACCTATGACTTAACATTATTAGATAATGAAAAACAAGCTTTTAAAAGTTCAACTCATAAAAATAAAGTTTAATTATACTCCGTATCATTCGATACCAAAAATGATGCTACTGATCACTGCGAGCACACTGAAGTCCAAATAGCAACAATCAAGTAATTTTACCGATGATTTTTCGCTTTAGTAAATAGCTTAGAATTTTTAATACATATTACCGTTGATTTTTCCTTATTTAGGTTTATAGGAAACAAATTTTTAAAACATAACTATAAATAAAATTAACACGTGGCTTCAGATAATTTTAAATGAACTAACTGTGTAAAATCGCCTTATCATGACGTCCAACTTTGATTTTACACAAACTTGCCTGACTCGATGAATACACATAAAAAACGTTCTTGTACACGCAAACACTGAAATACACCGTTGAGCTCGCCTTAGATCAAATATAGTTTTAAGCTAGCAAGCATCATTAAAGTTATTATTTAAACTATTGAAGAAACAGAATAATCTGTCGTTTAATAATCGCATAATTCCGACTCTATGCGAATAATTTGTTTTTCACACCCGAATCTTCCCACCCATTCGTCCTTCTCGAAAAGACTACTCAAAATTTTTGAGTGTAATATTATTATGTTTTTGTTGTTGTTGATCGGAGGCTATTATTACCCTCAAGACCCTGGCACAAACGGTTCTGGAATTATTTTATAACCGTCGTTGAGCAGTCAACCCAATTTTTGGGTTTATGACTACTAATGTTCAACTCCGCAGCCTTGTAATTTTGAACCCAATCCAGAAGACAAGGGACCACCTGGATGAAGTATTGGGAGAAATTTATTTGCCTTCGTGGAGGACATTTTAATGGAACTAGCCCGCATTTGCGTTACATGGAGAGGAATACCACGAGAACCTCCCACGGTTAGCCTGACGGCAAAGGGACTCTAATCTATGATCAGTCTATCACTGAGGAAATTTCACATCAGCACTGTGGTCGGTGTAAGCCGGATGCGGATTCGTATAGAATAGCCATCGCTGGATTCGAACCCGGTTCACTTCATTGGTAGGTGAACACTCAATCCTCTGAGCCATCGCGGCCCTCTTATAACAGAGACACCAGCGGAATATTATAATTATCTTAGATTTGAAACTTACCTTAAAATCAGTGGTTACGGTTCCGCCACATAGTTCAACAAGTTCAGCCATTGTGTACCATGCATCGAACTCCCATTTGCATTTCTTTAAATTAAGATGTTGATAGAGAATCCTTGTATTATTAGGACATTGCTCTCCGTTGAAAGGGAAAGCAGAATTAATATCATCTAAGAGGGGATTAAGGCTCTTTATGAAGCTTTCATGTTTTTCAAATGATGACACGCTCTGCAAGTTTGAGCAAATGTGTTGCTGTCTGTAAATATGCTGGGTCAATAGAAAATCCACGTTATGAAGTGGATAAGTTGAGAGTAGAGGTAGAAGTCCATCCTAAATAAAAATAAAATAAAAAATAGTAAAATTAATTGAAATAAAAAGGAAATAATATAAAATTAAAATAACAAATGATGTAAAATAAAGCAAAAATAATAAGGTACTTTTAAAAAATCAAAATTTTTTTTCTATGGCTTTCCTCTACAAAGTAAAATATTAAATATAAGATGTAACTTATTAGAATCGAATTGATATAGTCTTAGTTACTTTTTAGATATTATGCTTATTTTATAAACGGTTTATCTTAAAATGTGTTGCAAGAATTTCTTATAAATTTTTTTTATAGAAATAAGATGAAGAGTCAACGGTTCATTTGATGTTATTATAGTCTTTCGAAAGTCACCAACTTTTTAAAATGAGTAAAACACAAAACGAAACTCCCGAATAGCGCGAGTTACGACTGATGAAAGAAAATGAAAAGTAGTTGTTTTATTTGATGTTATTAATGATATTCGAAAACCACCACTTTTCATCTGCTTTCTATAAGAAAATTTTTTATATGAAATTTTTGTTACACATTTTAAGATAAACATTTATAAAATGAGCGTAACAACTAGAAAATTAATAGAGGCTATATCAACTCGTTTTGTTACAAGTTACATCGAATATATACATATTTTCTCACTTTTTCGAGCAAAACCATGATTTTTTCCTTTTTTATTAATTTCTTAAAAAATTATTTTATTTTATTCTTTTTTATCTACGGATTCGTTTTTTTCTTTTTTTTTTAAAATATTGCACTTTATTTTTTTCATATTTGCAAATTTGGTATTTGTCTATTTGAAGTTGATTGTATTTGTGCATATCAAGAGATAAAAAGTTAAATAAATCTGCTTATCTACTTACTGTATTACCTGATTTTATAGTTTGGTAAATCGAAATATTAGCACTTTCCAAACGCCTGGGAAACAAGGTAACAGATCTGTTGATGCTTTTACGTTCAGTTTTAAGGTTGTTTTTCGAAGCTTTTGTTGTCTCATGAAAAGATACCTTTTTGCGAATAATATGTTGTCTTCATAACTGATAAGAGTTTGCAACAGTTACTCATGACTGTTGGGTCAAGCTTAGCCTATCTTTAGCCAGCTCCCTCTAACCTGAAACCAGCTAATCTGAAAAACCACAATTTTGTGAAAATGAAAAACGCTTGTGGTTTAATTTTTTTATATTTAAAATCCGACTCCAATGCTAAAATTATCTGGGCTCTTTAAAATTTGCAAAAAATAGGAATAAGGCCTTGATAATTTTCATCGTGGTGGAAAAATGTCGCCAAATTAGCGATTTTTACAAAAAAGTTTAATAACTTTCATAAAATTCAATTTATTTGTCCGTTCTAAAGCACAGATAATTCTTCACGGCAAGATCTGTAATATCACGGTGAGATCTGTAATGTTCATGGCAAGATCTGTGATATCAATAAATAGTTATTTCAAATTTACGTACATATTTCACCCGAAAAATTCTTTTTGGCTTATAATAGCAATACATTATTAGATTTTCACCCATAAAAATTGAATTTTTTTGTGAATTAAAATCTTTTTTTGCATGCGTCAATTCTTTATAAATTTCATTTCGATTTTTTAGTATATTGAAAAAGGAAATAAAACTATATATAGTGAAACAAATATTTTTATCATTTGTAAGTGATATATAACACTGCAGTTGAATGATTCTGCGGTATACTCACCTCGTGAGGAATTTCAACATGAATATGAAGTTCATTTGGATGGTACAAATCAGATGAATTCAGATGATTGAGTGTGGCTAAAAATGGCTGTATCTGAAGATTAAAAGGAGAATCCTTGGATCTCAAAGATGAATGACAAAATCCTGTAAAATGAAAGCTAGTTAAAAGCAAGTTTGAAAAAAAAACAGACAACGATTTTGTGATTAATGCGATTTTGTGATTAATAATACATTTTTTTTTAATCAATAAAGTACGGAAATGTTCGTGTTCGCCAAGTTCACCATTTAAAAATGACCTTATTTCTTCAACGACGTTTAACAGCCGAACCATTTATCGGATATAATTCTTAGACAGATTTTGCATTCCTTTCTAAATTTTTCATACCGATTTACAAGTTCAACACAACACAAGTTCCACGCGACAAGTAATTACTTAAAGTTGCTGTAGTGTCGATTTAGTTAAGCGGATGAAAGTTGTTATTTGATGAAGAAGGGTGCAAAGCTTTTCTAATTTAACTATGAAACATAGTAATTTTAAACTTGTCGCAGATGACCAGCTGATTTTTTAAAAGTTAAATAACGAAACAAGCCTACCTTTGTGTCGGACATTTTTAGTGAAATTTCCCTATTTTCGTTAAAAGGAGAGGAAGACCATGAAAACTTCTAAAAAAAAAAAAAAAAAAAAAAACAGGTAGTCCAGCGCAATGGGATTCAAGTAAGTGCTCCGTTGATTCACTTTGATACTATGATTTATATATATATATAATTTTCTGACATTTCTTTCTTCTAAAATCCTTACATTTTTTAGCATAGGGTGTTCAAAAACACTATTTATAGCAAGAATGTCAACATTAATTAACGTAAGTTATCTTCAAAATCATTGCAATGAACTGAATATATCTACCTTAAATTGCAATGCACTCAAATAAAAAAGATATTTTAATGGCCAATGTACAAATATTGTTTTACCTATATCGGAGCTGATTTTAACCACGTCACTTTTCAAAGGAATTCCCAGAGAGCCTTTTTCATCTTGAGGCTGAGCAATGCAGCGAATTCGTTCTTGAGGGCGGAAATATATGCTATCTAGTATCTAACAAATAAAAATTAATTAAAAATAATTATTAAGACATTGAGTTAAATAACACTGGGGAACAAATTTTTTGTTATCTTTATATAACTACTTAATCTTGCCTAATTCAGGTGTGGAGATTTCAAATCTGAAATTCGTTTTGCTCCTAAAGATACAGATTTCTTTTGAAATGACATTTTTAGTCACTTTTTTTGGTGGATTGCACTAGTTTAAAAAATTATATACAACAGGGGTTCACGTAAATGTTGTGTCAAACTTCTAGGGGAGTTAGGGCAAATCACCAGGATTAAAAATGCACAAGAAATGTCCGGAAATATGGTTGCATGCAGCTAAGTTCGCTTCTCTATTATGACCTATTTAGAAGCACACGAAGAATCAGTTTATAATCGGGAAGCGTCCCTAGCGGCGTATGATGACATTTCCTAGTATAGATTCCTAAGCAATTTTAATCTTGATGTTGTGCCCTAACTCCCCAAGAAGTTGGTTGTAACACTTATTCGACACATTGTTATGTATAACGTTTTTAGATTTGTGCATTTCGACAAAAATTAGACTAAAAATGTCATTACAAAAAACCGTAGCTTTGAGAGAGAAATAAATTGCAGACTTAAAATCAGAGATACGAAAATATCTGAGATTTGTTAAAAAGTTTAATGCAACAGAAAACAAGAAAAAAAATTGTTCCCCAGGGTAATCCTTAACACATTGATTTGAATAATTATTTTAACTTTAAATCAAATAATCGTTTTGACATTAATTCGAGTGTTAGAAATTAAAAAAAATCAAATGCAATATATTTAACTACCTTTTCATGTGCTGATGTATACAAAGTTGATTGAACAACTGTTTCAAAATCTGACACATCTTCATTATCTGAAGGCATAGCAATCTCCCAAGAGTATCGGATAATCGATGAATTAATTTTAGATTCCGTACAAAATGAATTCGTTGTGAAGTAGTTAGGATAATTTTCATCACATGGCTGTAAAGAAATGTTTTTGTTTTAAAAAGAACATTATAAGTGTATGATTGGTTATTTTTTTAATTATTAATACTTACAGATACACAAACAAGTGGGTACCCAGCAGTAGGATTTTCGGACATACCTTTTGAAACGTTATCATAATATAATAACGAAACAACCTGCAATAATTAATCAAAATAATATAATTATGCATAAATTAAATAATTAGAACTATTTTATATAGAATCAAAAATATAGAACCCAAAATCAACTTATCCATGTGAATACTATTTTACCAATAGTATATGAAAGTAAGTTGAGTGAAATAGTTAAATAGTTCCTAAGAAATCGAATTTTGAAAATACTACTCTTTTAAAATTCGATTTCTCAGGAACTATTCGACCTATTTCGCTCACATTTTGTATTTTACCATACAAAATTACATTCATGAAGTTGTAATACATAAAGTTATAATACATTAAGCTGTAATGCATGTAACTACATGAAGTTGTAATGGTAACTAATCAAAATTATTAAGTTTTAATTTTATCCCAATAAAATTTTAAATTAAACATGCGTTAATACAATAAAAATGTTTCAGGTTTTTTAATTGAATGGTCTTTAGTTTTGATTTAACAATTTGTTTATAGTTAAGAAATAAAAATCATTGCGTAGCAATTGTGGGATTGCTGCTCAGTGAAATGAGCAAGGTTCAGAGTCTACTTGTTCACCATTAAAACAATTTAAAGAGCTAACAGAAATTGCAATATGTTTGTTATTAATCTGGTGTTATAAAGTTATTATTTAAGCATTTTTTAGCATATTAGCAAAAACATATAAAATTTCCATCGTAGTGCTAACATGCTTAATTACTTGAATTACATATACATACCACAGGGATAGTGGGTAATATTAAATTTTCTGACGATTGAACACCAGCTATTCTGATAAGGGCTTTTGAAACATTGCCAATTTTTGCATTCACTACTTCATCTGGGCCCAATAAGACCGTGAAAAATGTTGACCAGTTCCTTCGTTTGTTGTACAGAATATCAACATAAAATGTTTTATTCTGTTCTCCTAAAAGCAAAGAGTGCGAAATATTTTTAAAACAATTATTTGATTTGCAATCAATAAAACAATACACGTATAGCAATATAAGAAAAAAAGAATAGGTATTGAGAGAGCTATCAAAATTTTTATAATTCGACGAATTAGCTTTAAAAAATATCAACTAAATTTATAATCTATATAAAAAAAAATAAATAGAAAACAAACTTTTTAATTATATATTTCTACACTTGTTCCTTTTATGGGGAGAAAAAAAATCGAAAATAGTAATAGAGTTAGATTCCGTGAACATACATACTAGATTTTAAATCCATAACTTCACTGAGAAAAAAAGTATGGTCCAAACTACTAAAATATGACAAAATTTACCATGCTTCTGGCTCTATGGGAATGCATTTTTTGTCGAAGTGCTTTGGTAATGATTTTTGTAAAATTAACAATAAAATGTGGTTTTACAATATGTGATAAAATTTGGTAATTTCATCATGATACCTTAAAACTAGCAGAAAAACCATTCATTCAGTTAAATTTACTTTTCAGTTTTGCATTTTTTATGAAATGTGTGGTATTAAGAATTATAACTTTAAAAACCAAGATTTCTGGTAAACCATTACTATATGAACGAATGGATGATTACTGAATCAATGGTTTAATTACTGCATATTTTGGTTACATTAACAAAAATTAATTATTTTTTATGTAACCAGAAATGTCATTCCTATACAAATTAATTTTCAATTAATTTGTCAATTTTATCAATTAAATTAATTTGGTAATTTTTCAATTTTACAGCAATTTTTTTTCCCTTCATGTTGTTTTCAAATGTACTTGATCTGTATATTGTATAATTTATGTAATAAAATGCACTAGATCTGTCAAAAAAAAAATCATACTTACCAGGCAAAAAGTTAAGAAGTTTGCTTTTTGCATGATAATCTTCTCCGGATGATGCTGATCCATCAATTGTGCTCACTCTAATTTTTGATGTCACACTCAAATCTCCTCTTCTCACAATCGGTATCCGTACTGAAAGTGATCCACTGCTTGGTAACATCTCATCAGAAATGATAAATTCTTTTTTATCTAGCTCTATCCTGGTAACTTAAATAAATATAATCTTTATTAGAATTTATTTGCATAATTGATAACAACCCAAAAATTAAATATTACATAGGCTAATCAAAGAATATATTGAGTTTTATTTTAAGGGTTTTACTTCATTCATATTTTATCAAGGAAATGGGTAAAAAAAATTGAACTCAAACTTTGCACAAAACTATAAAGTTAGTATTAAAATATTGAATTAGATAATTGTTTAAAAATAAATAAATAAAATAAAAATCTATTTAAAAGTGTGAAGGAAAATAAGAATATGAAACTTTAACTCATCTGTTTAGGTAAAAAATGAATTTACTGTGATTGTGTTATAGTTTTGCATCAGTTAACATATTTCATATTAATATATAAGTTTGTATAGCACATTAATTCAATAAAAGAAAGTAATTTAACATAAAAAACAAATTCAATAGAAAACAATAATGGTAATGTATTTTACATATTCTGAGTTAGTCTCAGAATATGTAAAATGTACAGTCATCTGTTGAGTTTTCATAGTTTTTTTACATAATGAGTACATAATGAATCACAGTTTTTTCATAGTTTTTTGCATAATGAGTCAGCAACTTTAATAGGTTATCATTAAAGTTAATAAAATTAAATTACTGTCAAAAAATGTTTATCTATCTTCATCATATTAAGATATAGAAATTAAGATGTTTTTGTTTTTAGTTTAGAGTTATTTTGAAATTCATTTTGTGATTTTTTTAAAAAGTTTAATTAAAGGTATTTAAGGTATCTGACTGGGTTCGACACAATAATTTTTGAAAACCGCTTTGACTAAAATTTTGACATTATTTTTTGGAAGCAGGGGTCCACAAATTATAAATCTAAACTAAGCTTCAAAATTTATAAAATATTTCTCCAAAATGAGTTCAAAATTGAGCTTGAAAGCTACAATTTTTTCATGTCATGCTAACATTTCTGTAACTAATTGTAATGCATAAATATCAGAATATACTAGATGTGGTTACCTGTGTTTTGAACTAAAATATTTAAAACATTTCAAATATACAATGAAATAGAACTGAATATACTGACCAATAATGATTTTTTTTAAAAATTCTTAACATTCTAAGAAAATCACACTTATACCTTAGCTTTAAGTACAAAACATACCTAACATTAGACAAAATCTGCATACAAAGTCTCAAAGAATTTTATTAAAATTTCTTTTTGTAATACGTGTTATCGCGATGAAATTTTTATTAAAAGTAATGTTTTTCAGAAAATGTATTTAAAATGCCCTCAAGGTTCCGGTACTTTTTACCGTAAAATCCATTTTTACCGGAACATGTTACGGAACAAAGAAATCTGATATCTCGTAGTTTTTACAGTGATTGCCGTAAAACCCCTGAATTACTCTAATTCAACAAATATTACGATTAAAATTATGGTATAATATTTGACGGTAAAAATGGATTTTACGGATAATAAACCCATAGTACCGGATTTCTTAGTTTTTTAGTGTTTTGGTTTAAATTTTGTCAGTCAACAAAAAATAAGACAACTATAACTTCATTTCTAAAAACTTAAGTAGAAATGTTTAAAGTGTTTTTGAAAGGCAATGAGCTAATGTTGAAATTATTAAAAATCAAAGTTTTTGTCGAAATTTACCCAGCCTGATACTTCTATAATTTTTTTGGAAAATGAAGTTAAATTTCTTAGACTAATTGTTATTAAAATATTTTTTATTTCCGGAAAAAAATAATAATTAAAAATAAATTAAAAAATAATGATCGAAAGTTGTGCCAGTGTGTTACTAACCATCTTCTTCATCAATTATATGAACATGTACTAATTTAGTTTCGCCGATTTCTGTTGCAGTATCTTTCGGATTTGGTTTTAACTCTGCTTGGAACGATTCTTTAGTTTCATAAATATCATCATCGTATAGATTTATTCTGCAATATGAAAGCTGAAAAAGACGAAGAAATATTTCAGCAATACTTAAAATTAAAAAAAAATAATAAATACGCATTTTTTTACTTCAATGAACAGAACTGATTTGTTGATTGATTTCAACCCTTAATGAGAATTAAAAAAAAAATGTGAAAAATTAAATTATTCTTAGCGCTTAACTTTTCATCATTGAAACTTTAAACCACTCCTATCATAGGAACTCCTTAATCTACAATTTGTTTAATATAATATAAGGAATACTTATTCACATTCGATATTCTACTTGCAGTGATTTATTTAAAATGGATGAATTAGTTAGAGGTAGAGGATTTTTATCATTTATGTTAGATTAATTTATTTTATTATAATTTTGAACAGAATTTACAAGAAAGTTATCTCAAATGAAACTCATCATATGGGTTTTATTTGCATTTAAATGATTTAATTATGGAAGTCTTGATTTACTTTGAAACTCTCCGATTTCGATTGTTCTCTGGTTCCGATTTATTCTGATATATAAACTTGGTTTTGTTTTGCTTAATCTAATAACATTAAGCCACCGGGAAGAGCTACAAATAAAGATAATAATAATAATATCCTTCTTTCTCTCTGTATATATATATATANATATAATGGAACTGTTTAAAGTTTTTTTTGTTGTTGATATTACCACTAAATGCCACTTAGTTTTGTGTATGATTTTGCAGCACTGATTAATATTTATTTTAGTTATTTTCTTTTAGTCCCTAACGAAGAATTGGTATTGAGTTTGCATGGAATATGTTGTTGTAGTTTATTTACGTCGCACTAGAGCTGCCCAATGGGCTATTGGTGACGGTCTTGGAAACATCCCTGAGGATGATCCGAAGACATGCCATCACAATTTTGATCCTCTGACGAGGGGATGGCACCCTCGCTTCGGTAACCCGACGACCTGCACGCTAAGTCGAGCACTTTACGGTTGAACAGTTTAACGAGGACCAATGCCACACACCCTCGGTCCCTGCGCAGACTGATCCAAGTGGTCACCCACCCACACACTGATCGCAGCCAGTGATGCTTGACTTCGGTGATCTGCTGGGAACCGTGTCTTAACGATCAGTCCACTGCGGGACGCATGGAATATGAGACTGGCATATTTGACAGTTATAAAACGATACACGAGTTAATAGATTAATCTCTAAGATTTAACTAGACTCGAACTTAATATTTATTCACGATTATTATCAACATTAAAAGTTTTTGGATAACATTGTTTTCATTATCATCTTATCACTTGAGAATTTAACCTTTTGGTCAGGAAGAAATAGGATAATCGATGTCCTCCTTGAGACGTATCTTTCTTCATAATCCTCTCTTGAAGTAGCACTGCCATCACGAGTAACACAATACATTGATGAATTTTGACTTGTATCTCCAGTCCTCGTAATCGGGATATCAATGAATAGATCCGTTTCTTTGACAGTAACTTTGCTGATATTAAATTGAACAATGGATTCTGCGCAAACAAAAAGTGTAGTTAAGTTATTTAAAGCAGAAGATCTTACTTTATGCATCTTTAGGGCTTTTTGATGCAGTAAGAAATTTAAAAACTTGGGAATCTACTATTTATAGTGATATTTCTGAAATATGAAAGATCATGCATATCGAGCATATGAAAGATCGAAATCTGTGAATGTCACGCGAAGAAAAAAAGTGTATGCAGAACTTATAAAATATACAAAAATTTATTGTGTTACTGGCATTATAGGTACACCACCGAAAGCGTTTCGGTAATTTTTACCGAAGCTCTTCGGAAATAATTTTGGTATAATTAACAATGAAACATGGTTTTAAAAAAAGAGATAAAATTTCGTAAATGTGGTAAAATTTTATAAATTTATCATGTAGTAATAATCAATCATTCAATATTCGGTTTAATTTACTTTCCAGTTTTATATTTTTTAATAAATAGTTGGTGATAAAAACTATAACTTTGAAAACCAAAATTTCCGGTAAACCGTAACCATATGAATTGTAAAAAACAAACAGACCAAATTGAATAATTTAAAGACTGCATATTTCGATTTTATTAACACAAATTATAGTTTTTTTTTCTTCTAGAAATGTCGTTATCATCATTAAATGTCATTTCATAGTTTCTTTGGTAAATATTTAAAAATATTTAGATAACAATTTCATAGTTTCTTTGGTAAATATTTGAAAATATTTAGATAAAAATAAGTTAATGTCAACACACTCCAGTGTATGTCGATATTTTCATAATCGTGGTAATAGTTTCGACGATATTCATATAATCGTGGTTTGAAGTAATTAATATTCGAAACATTTCTCTCTTATATCAACAAATTTTGATATTTATCAAGCACTGATGGTATAAGTATTGTTATGAAAAAAAATTATGGAACTGAACTTATATTTTATTCAACATTCACTGTTGAATATCAACATTTTCCGGTCTAGAAGCGAAACTATGATATTAACTAATGACTAAAATATGACTGAATTTTGGATATTCAGTCAAAAGCAACCATATGAACGACGACATTAGCTAGAAGAAGCTTACATAAAACGAATTTCAGATTTTCATGGTATCGCATATATTGTGTTAAATTTGGGAATTTTTAAACTAGTATAACTTGAATCAATTTTTGAATAACAAAGTTACAAACCAATATTGGAATTTCATTGAGAAAAGTTTGACCATTTCTGTTTTAAAATTTAAAAAACTAAATTATTATTACTGAATAAAAGGGTAGTGTACCATAAAAAGAGAAGAAAAAAAAATCACTACATTTTAAAATATTATGGCCAGTAGTTCAAACTCATATATATCTACGCTTTGCGGAATGAATTCAAACTTTGAAGCATATTTTAAGAAGCAAAACAGCACAGTTGAGTTGAAGGAATATAACATAGTTTTGTGAAAAGAGAATTAAAGGTTTCGTAATGTGATTATTAAAAAAAATAAAGTACGTTACGATTTTTTGTCCTTAAAATGTAAACGCAAGTATTACATTTTTTGATACAAAAACTGTAAATAAGCCCTGAATCACTGAATTGAAAAGTAAAGTTTTTTCAACGATGAAAATTATTTTCTAAGAGATTGTATTATAAGTAATATTGTTTACTTTTCGAATGATTTTGATGATCTTTATAACGGATGTTGTTCTGTGTGAATGCAATTGTACAAATTAAAATTGCTATGACGTAAACCAGGGCTCGAAAATTACATTGTCCTTGCATGCTAAGACCATGTAAAAATTCTGATTGGGTATGTATTTTTTACACATTTTGGTCGGGCAAGTAAATATTTAATCAGGAATATTTGAACTGTCATAATAAATATTTAATCAGTCGCATTTGAAAGTTGGCTATTTTGCACAAAAAAAAAAGAAAAAGCATGTTGAAAGCTATGTATTTGCTGATAATAGTACTTTTTTTGACAAATTAATTAGTGATTTCATGTCTTCATAAAAATGGCTTTTTAAAATTTTTTTTTTGTGGTAATGAAACTTTTACATTATGGTAAGAAGTTTATAAACTAATATGGCAGGCAGGGCCTGTTAAAACTTTGAGTATAAGCTGAATAATATTTCTGGTATAAACTGAAACTGAACCATAATTTCAATGTTTAGAATTATGATATGATTTTTTATCAAAAATATGTGCTTTATAACGTTTTACACAATGAATTTTTATTTTGATTCATTATTGAGTAGAATAGGGTTATATTCTTATGATTTCTTATTTTGATATGTTTGCAAGCATTAAATGTTATACTGAAAATAACAGTTATAGTAATCTAATCTAATGCAGTGTTTCCCAAAAGGGGCTATTCGTAACACTAATGTTCCAAGAAAGGATCACACTATTTACGATAATTGGAACTTTTTACCTAGAATTCCACTACTTATTTCATTTATTTTTATGAAATTATGTAAGTAAAATGCAAGAAAAAAAAAGAAATGATAAAATTCAAGAAAAAAAAATTCATATTTTTTTTTCAATGACAGTAAAATTATGGACACATTTTTTAATTTAAAAGACCTATGCACCAAGCGAATTCAGAACTTAAGTTGATGCCACTACACGCACACACCAACGAATTCAGCTTTCTTTATATAAAACCCAATTTTAAAAATTATTTGAATGAATGAAAAATTTGCATTCCGTAATGATAGCCTGAAATTGGGTTTTAAGGTTTAAATTTTTTTAATAGGAATGAAAAAATGAAATCTAACGTACCTACAAATGTTAAAATGCTTTAAATTGTTAATTACACAATTTATAAATTAAATTACTCAGTAGTAAATCAAAATGTACGTCGTTGCTGTTTTAAATGCACAACATTTTCTATCAGAAAAATTAATTATGTTTTTAAGTGTCCATACTTATCTTTTCTTTTATCATCGTAAAATTGATGTTTCTTGGATTTCCTAAGACGCAACCGGAAGGAGAATTTAAATAAATTCCGATCTGTCTCTCCCTAGTTTGATTTTCTTCAAAATTAAAACTAATATTATGAACCTGTAAAACACATTCAAAAATATCACTTGATTACATCGTATTTGCGATTAAAAAATCTTTGAACATTCATGTAATGTTAAAAATTAAGTAAGGGTAATCAAAAGAATGTTTTTTCTGTCAATTTTCTCTCGATTTTATTAAACATGATATGAAATTATTTTTAAAGCAAAGATATTCTAAATAAAATACAAGCGCAAATGCTTTCAGAGTAGTAGCCGAAATTCTGCGGCCATCTTCATTTTTAGTATGTTCTTTGGCTGCAGGGCCTACATTTATTTTTAATTCTCAAAACCTTTTTCATTTTTCATTAAAAATTATTGCAGCTAAATACGTTACAATATCAACTATTTATATTGAATGTACCATTAATTCTTTTTCCTACACAATTTAAGCAAATTACTTAAATAAAAAAATAGTAAAAACTATAGTGTTCTACTGAAAATATTTTCTTATATTTTTTTTATAATCGTCGTTGAACAGCTGACCCATTTTTTTGGGTTTACAACTACTATTGTACAACTCCACAGTCTTGTAATTTTGAACCCAATCCGGAAGACAAGGGAACACATGGATCAAGTATTGGGAGATTTTGTTTTCGTGGGGGACTCTTTGATGGAACTTACCCGCATTTGCGTTACATGAAGGGAAAAACTACGAAAACCTCCCACGATTAGACTGACGGCAAGGGGACTCTAATGCATGATCCGTTCATTACTGAGGATATTTTACGTCAACACTGTGGTCGGTGCAAGCCGGATACAGAATTCGTATCAATCAGGTATCACCGGGATTCAAACCCGGTTTGGAAGGCGTTCTCTTTATACCCTGAGCCATCACGAATCCTAAAAATATATTGATAGGACTAAGAAAATCCATTAATCAATTGAATGAACAAGTTAACTTGTTCATACATGTCACATTGAGTCGTAAGTCTCACGGCGCGATTGACATATTATGTTGTAACTTTTACATATTTACGAAAATCAATTTAATATTTGAATAAAATAACTTAAAAAGGCTAAACTAACAAAAAATGCAATAAGTTTATTTTTTATTTTTTGAAAATCTTGCTGTGTTATTTCATAACCATCTAGAAGAGTAGACTAATCAAGAACCCTTCGAAACAGATAAGGTTTTTCCCTCTTAAACTGAAGATGAACTGCAAATTTTAAAGTAAGATGTGGATTTTAAATTTAAGCAAACACAAGCGTGGGTTGTAAACTTAAGAATACATTGAAACTGTACATTGAAATAAACAGATGGGGTTCTGAATTATTATAATCTAGAAAGAAATTATATTACTTACCACAGTGGTTTCAAAAGGATAGAATTCAATAGGATTCGATGAAATCAACCGTCCTTCCTTACTTGTTAAAAGTTCGGATGAAACAGATATGATACATCGTTGTGAAAGGTCTACTCCTTTCCTAACGACAATAACAGGCAGATGTTTACCATAGAAAAATTCAGACGAGTCTTTCTTTAAAAATACTTCTGAAACTGAAATTATTTGGCTTAACAAACGCAGTATTAGAATATAAATTGCAATTTATAATTTAAAAGAATTATAATTTCTAATAATTTATACTTCTTAATATTTCTTTTTAACAAATCAATGATTTTTAAAGCAAAATATAAGAATTTATTAAAATACACTGGCATTTTAAGTGTAATGAAAAATTATTATAACCTCAAAGAATTAGATTAAAATTTTGATTTACCATCATTAGGACCATTGATTATGATTCGTGCCGAGCTATTGCCTCTAATTTGGCCAAAAGGATGAGGATTGGTCAAAGAAAGAAGAAATTCTTCTTTATTTTCCATTATATTGTCATCAATAATCTAAAAAAGACATTAAAATTTTTAATAAGAAGAATTGATTTAATAAATTAGGATTAATTGAGAAATTGATAACCATTTATAACCAGAAGTCGAAATTGTATATTTTTTGATTAGTATTAAAAGTTAAAAATAGATTTGAAAATTTCCTTAAAAAATAAAATTTATTGCTTTAATTTAACACTAGAAAGACGGAAATTTAGTATATACCTACATTGCCCAAAAGCAGTCAAAATGACTGGATTGTGAATGCGTAAATAAACTTGTTTAAAATTAATTTTTAAAATTTTTTATATTATTTTCAGTTATATAACAAGCTATTAGTCAATATTAACAATAAAAAAATTGTATGTTCTACAAAAAGTCACAAAATTCTAAGAAATTGTGTCATTATATACATCATTGTTTTTTCTAATTGAAATTAAAAGCAGTCAAAATGACTTCCTTAGGCAATCTAGTGTTAAAAAGGTAAAATATTTTAAAAATCTTGGGGCATAATGCAAAATGCTCAAAAAGTGTTGAAATCTAAAGCAATGTGAGGCTTAACAGCTAAAAATCATTTTTACAATTGCATTTACTAAACCATTTTCCATTTACAAATTAAATTTTGAATAGGATATGTAATAAAAAAATTCCCTTCACAAATTAAATTTTGAATAGGATATGTAATAAAAAAATTCCCTTCACAAATTAATTTGAAAATAAAAATTTGCAAATTTTGAACATTAATAATAGAAATTTAGTGAATTAATAGTTTAAAATGATGTGAAATGTAGTAACTTTACTTTTTATACATTTTCTGGTCATAAATAAAAATAATAAAATTGACTATTAAAGACATGCTTTATTTTTTTGCGAAGAACTCCTTTTTGATAAAAAGTTTTTAAAAATGTGTGAAAATTATTTTTATTTTGCCCAAATAATCCAGAGATTTGGCGAAATGCTCAAGTATAATTAATATTTGGAGCTCAAATTAATGACTCTCCCCCAGACTAAACAATACTAAGAATATTATCTCGATCGCGACTGTTATGTCTTGAGATTCGTTAGGGAAAGGTACGTTTATTCCGAAAAAAAAAATTTATTTTTGTTGTATATCGTTTTATCAGAATTAATAACCATACTTAAGGTCTGACCGTTAAATAAATACAATTAAATATAACATGATATAAAACCATAATCATAAAACGCAACCTCTACTATGCAATCAACTGTGGTTATTCCAGCAGGGAAAGTTATAAAAGATTTGTAATTAGAGAAACGACTGATATAATCTGATCCTGATCCTAGCCCATCTTCAGTGTTTCCTCTAGCAGTGATGTCCGATGTAACACACATTAAACTGATTTCTTGTCTAAGGTCACCTGAAATAATAGTATATACATTGATATTTATATTTAAATATATAGCTTGGTCATTATTAGTGTTTTTTGTGGTTGGTTTTTACCATTATTTTAAAATGCTGAAAGAAATTTGCATTCTTATTTACAATTTAGCAAGAAATAATTTAATATTAATTTATTATACTATCCATAACTCATAAAATTACAAAACAATAAGCAATGATATTTTTTTTGCGTATGCAGCTTTCAAGTATTTTGAAAGAATAGTTTTTGCAATGATATTTATGCTTGAATAGCATTAAGATTTGACATACATACATAAATAAATAATTAATTTATTCATTACCTTTGCGTTGAACTGGAACATGAAGTTGAAGCTCACTTTCATTAACTTTAAACACAGCATCTTTAAAACTCAAAGAAGGTTCTAGAAAACAAAATTATGAAGAAAGTATAGAAGTAATTAATAAATTAGTTCTATATTTTGCATTTGGCTTGCATATTGCGATATTTTTACACCATTATGAACACAGCATTATTTATTTAAACTAGTATTGTTAAAATTTATATCGCAAAATATTTCCGTAGTTATTTATGCTTGTTTAAAGCACCAAAATATTCGAATTTATTTTATAAAAAGTACACTGCTACACATGAAAAAAGTTATCCAGAGGTTGTAAAGCGTGTTTTAGCATACATTTGTCATTAAAAATGTATGGGTTTTATGAAATATGTTCGTTAAGGGTTTTATCACTCTGTACATACAGAGAAATGAAACTAAAATAGCATGCGCACATAATTAAGAATTTTGTCGAATATGAATGTATTTAAAGTATGCAGTATGTATATTATGTATTTGAACTAACAATTTTTTTTTCGGGAATTGATTTGGAAAGCATCGTCTAGTTTTAATAAATAAGTAGTTTTAGTAAGATGCACACTTACTGATTTATACTTAGCAACGAACCCCTTGATATATTTTAAGATTTTAAATGTAAACACGAAATAATTTATATTTACAGATTAATAATAATAATAAAAAAGTAGACTAAAGTTTGGAAAAATAGTAAGTTTATTAAGCAGGCAAGCTAAAAAATATTACTTTTTTTACGTAATATAAATTGATGAATTTTAAGTGAATATATTTTTCAAACTAAGCAGACCGGTTTGCAATTACTGCTGTTAATATATAAAGTCGAGGTAAATGGGTGCATGAGATTTACTAAAAGAAGCAGAAACTAATTTACTTTTGGATAAATCTAAAAGGATGGTTTCAGCAGCAAACAATCTTAAGCTTGATGATTTTAACCCCTTTATTGAACTGACTGACTTCGATAATGTAACAATCAATTCAGTTTAATGTTCAATTTTTATTTACGTTTTGTCCCCCTATCTAATACAATTATTTGAAATATCGATTATGCAGGTTTTTGAGTCTTAATTTTTGACAATGATTTTAAAATCATATATTAAGAGCAGAATAACAGAACACCTGCGTATCACTCAGGACTGACTGATTTCCATACAATAATAAAAAAAATTAAACATTGCTAAATTTTTTTATTCACAAGAGCAGAATATTCAAATCATGATTAAAATGTAATTATTATTTAAAATATTAACAAATGAAAACGCCAAGTTCATTTTGCAATATCTAAATAGTTAACGAACTAATTTTCTCACATTTAAATTTTATAATCAAATGTTAAGAAAAAAAGTTTAAAAATTTCTATAGAAAAAAATCAAAAAACGAACCAGGAAACTAATTGTGAAATATTTAATGTATATACCTACCGTCTTCTTTATCATTAACTTGAATCACAGCCTCATTGATTTCGCCAACTAAAGAAGAACTCTGTAATTCGATCGTGTACTCCCTTAGACCATCAAAGTTAGTGTCATCGACCAATTTAAAAACGCAATTTTTTGTGCTATTGCTTACGTCGAAGTAAACCTAAAAAGTATTGCAAATTTGGTTAATTTATGCTAACTTATTGATGTAATTTGGCAAAAATCTAAATTTTAATAAATAATCTAATTGAAACAAGTGTAAATTTTAATTATGTATATATATATATATATATATATACACACACATATATATATAGAAAAAATAACTTAGGAAACTATTGTCTTTGTCTTATGCGTTCAGCCTGAACGTGATCCATTTAGCAATCTTGACAATTACAGGAAAACTTGGCTAACATAAAAAAAGAACAAAGGAGACACTGTTAAACACAAAAGGGTAAAATTGTTTATTTTTAAATCATCGTTAAAGAGAATGCATAAAAATATTTTTAAAAAAATTGTGGTAGATTTTTATTTTTGGGCCAACATGCATCTTTTTAAGCGCAAGTTGGTTAAGAAGATTAATGGATTTCATTTTTATACTAAAAGTTTTTACATTGTATAGTATAAAAAGTAAACAAAAACATAATTATTCAACCTGTTTCATATTGACTACCCTTAATATGTCTATTTAGAATCCTTGTCACAAAGGAAATTTAAAAAGAATATTTAGTGGTTGCAACTTAATATGCAAGTGAGGAAAAAATAAAATCTTTTTTCGAAATCTGTCAAATCACTGGAATGGAAATGGAATGTAAAAAAACAAAACCAGTTTAGTTACCTGATGAAATTTGGAGTTGTTTCAAGTTATCACTTTTCAACTCCTTTGTTTTTTCTAACAATTAATCTATTAATCTGATTTCATGTATTTTGCACCGTTTTTCTCTGTAGTTATTCCTATCTTAAATATTAGCTGACATTTAAACTTTTTGACAAAGATTCTAAATATAAGCATGAAGGGTGGTCAGTGTGTTTCACTCTGCATGCTTATGATAATTAAAACGAAATACTTCATTTGAGACGTGTATTAGAATATCTTTATCTCTCTTCGCCAAGTTGTCCTTGATTTTGCATAATGCTAAAGTATCCTATAAAGAAAACAGAAAAAAAAATTAGATTATAAAAAAACAAACTTTTCCCTGTAAAAATTTTAGCACTAAAAATGAATGAACTCACCCAGCAATATCCTAAACATTTTACAGGCAATTCCAGAAAACCATCAACTTCTGAGACGTTAAAAGATGAAATTTTGAATGAAACACGAGACCACTCCAGAGTAAATAAGTTATTGAAAACTTTATTGGGTTTGGTATCTTCAAATGAAAATATGAATTCATCCTTCGTTGACTTATAATTATCGTCTTTTAGAATGTATAGTACTTTATATTCATTTATATCTCCTAAAAATAATTTAGTTAATCAAAAATAAAATATTTAATTAAAGAATACAATATTTAATTAAAAATAAAATATTTTATGCCTAACTTTTATTAATGGGTCACTCTACGATATTAGAGTATATCTCTTCTGAGGCAGAATCTTTACTTAGCAACCACTTAAAAAAATCTAGTATTAACTAGAAGAGACTAAGAATTTTTGTAAAACTTTATTTTATTGCCTTTAATTATTTAAAATTCCCTCGTAACAAAATATTAATTTAAAATTTTTTCCCCTTAAATAGTTTATTATTTAATATATCCACCATAATCATCAACAAGATATCTGGATTAAGTCTTTGATACCAATTTCAACAGTATATCATATAATATATGTGATATATCTTTATTTCAGTTATTTTCACTCTGTATTTATTTTATATAATATGAATATGTGAATTTAAAATATCACCCCCTTTTCCCAAAAAACATTACAAAGTTGAAATTAGGAAAAGTAGACCACATATTTGTGATTAATTTTGTGGTAAATTTCTTTAAAAGTTAGTTCATTACTTTGTGTGAATTGAGTTATCTTCTGTCCTTCCTTCGTAGAAAGTTGCAGGTAACCAAACTGGGGTTGTAGTGTAATGCGAAATATGATATCCTCTGTACTTGTATCTGAATCTTTAACAAGAATGTTATCATTTGTAATTAAACTCCACACCTAAAAATAAAATAAATCAGTAATTCATAAAATATAATATTAAAAGTGTTGATTTAATGTAACGTTTAAAGTCTTATTTCTTAATGTGTCCGTTTTAATAAAATGTTTATTAATTTTATTTCTTATGACTAATTTTTATTTCATCACTCTCAGCAATTTATCTAAGTAACTATTTTCAACAGATGAAATTTTATGAAAACATAATTAGTTTTATCACATTTTATCTTTATCCATGAAATATGGTAAATATCGTTAGTCTAATTAATGATTGTTATATGAAATTTACTAAATGCAGTCTAAATTTATTATAAATTAATTATTTTATCAAAATATGGCAATTTATCAGGAAATAATAATGTTTCATAGCAACACATCGTGATAATAAATACGTGTACAGTGTGCAAAACAAAAAATATATCATCCTGAATAACTTTCGTTCTAATAATCAGATTTTCACATACTAAGAGTCAATCTTTATGGTTTCTGGGGGTGACTACAAATATGCTTATTAATTATCACTGAATATAAATTAAGTTAAGAAATCAGGCACAAAAGCCCACTTTCTCTGAATAAACATATATTTTTTCTACATTTTTAGATTCTGACCTTCAAAATAGAGGGGGGGGGGTGGAATCTGGAAATTGTGGTTCTAATAGATTAGTCAGGAGAGCGTTAAAGAGTTTGGCCCCTTTAATGTTAATTTAACTTTTTGCTTTTTTGGTCATATCTTTAAAACTAATCGCGAATTCTTTCTTTAAAAAAATTGCACTCACTTATGAAACTCGTTTACCTAAAGATAATTTCCTGCAAAAATTAATTTTCAATAATTACTTATCATTTTTTATAATTTAATTTAATACTGGACGAGAAAATTTTGAATTATGAGCCATAAACTTTTTTTATTACATTAATCTACGAATTTTTCTAAAGTGCAATCTAAAGTTTCGACTGTTTTTATTAAGTATAAGCTGAGAAAAATGAAAATTAATTATTTAAAAAAATAATTTGGTGACAATGAAAAAATATTTAAATGGAGTGATTAATGCTTAAATTTGGCAAATTTACAAGGAACTTGACTTGCACAAGAATAGTGTAATGCTCATTAATAGTGTAATACTCATTAATGTTGAACTTTCCTTCATGATTTTTCGTTGTTTTGATTCAATATCGCTTTCTTTTTTTAATTATAAAATATGATGTTTCTTTTTAAATTGTCTGCTAATTTATATTTAATTTAGTAAAGAGATTTGGATAAAATATTATATTTAATGAATTCCAAGCAATACTCATTAATAGTGAAATTTCCTTCATGATTTTTCGTTGTTTTGATTCAATATCGCTTTCTTTTTTTAATATAAAGTACGATGTTTCTTTTTAAGTTGTCTGTTAATTTATATTTAATTTAGTAAAGAAATTTGGATAGAATATTATATTTAATGAATGTCAAGTTTTATAAAACTATGTTTTTGATTGAATGTGGTTACACAGCTGCTTTTTTTAACCTTAGTTTTTAATTGATTCATTCCACAATTGATTCAATATCAGTAATATGCATAAGTATGCATTTATTAGGAATAATATATTTATCAGTTGCTCAATATATATTTTAACTGCCAAGCAATAAAAATATAAAGAAGATATTAGTTATGTAAAAGGCATCATTATATCATATTGAACCTAACTCTCATGACATCAACGACCATTAACTGTAATATTTTTATTACTTACTTTTGTGCCGTTTTTTCCTAGAAATTTTGATGCTTTATTCCTTACCAAAACTGGAACAACATCGTCAACTTGTATAATATTAATAGGGAATATCTGCAATAAAGAAAATATTTTAAGTCCGAAAATATTAACATGAAATTTTTTCGATATCATATTGTTTGCATAAAGAACTTACGAGTGGTGAATTTGATGTTATGTTGCCTTTTCCTGATGTAAAAATATAACCCTTATTTGAATTATCAGAAACTGTGAAAGTTAACTCATCTACTTCTACATCTGATCCGCCACTTTGATAAAATATCTTCCCCTGCTTCAAATCAGCAACAGAAAAAGAATCGACTTCAAAACCTTCAGAGTTTCGGACAAAGCCATATTTTGGGGGTTCTACCACGCGAAAAATGATATCTTCGTCCTAAAAAAAAATTTTAAATAAGGTATCAGCACTTATTAAAATAACTACAGCTAGTACATGATTTCAATTTATTTTTCCTTGTTCAATTATGATATACAAGAATCATATTAATAAAAGTTGAAAACATTTTGAAACATACTTGTGTATCTTTATTCACGATGTCCAACTCAAACTCCGAAATGACTTTAACTGATCCTTCCTTGACGTACAGTGGCTTTATTTTCAGAATAGGAATGTTTGATTTATAAATGATTGATATGTAAAAATTGTGATGAGCCTGTAGTAGATGTCGAAAAAAATTAATAAAAAATTGAGTTAAGAGAATTATACATTATTAGAATGCGTGTTTATAACTTCAGCTAAAAGAATTTTTAAAAAAAATTGAAAGTCACGTAATTCAAAAAATAATTGACTAAAAAATGAAACAATTTTATTTTTGCCACACCTATATTAAAAGATGGTTCATACACTTAAAAAAAAAAGATGCGGTGTACATTTAAAGTTCTCAAGTTAATGGTACAGTGAAGTTCTTGCGTAATAATAAAGGGTCCACGCTTTTTGTTTTAGGTGTGACAATTAAAAATCTTATTTTGAGCCTATTTGAAAAAAGTGGTTTACATAATCTTTTTTAAAATTTCAATATTTATTTTATTTTATTTTTGTGTTTGTTAGTTGTGCCTAAAAAAGTTAAAAAAGTTTGCTCACAATTGTCAGAATGTGTTTGAAACTTGCTTTATTTCATTAAAATATGCATATTGATAAAATTAAAGCACTTTAGTTTATGAAAAAATGGTCGAAATTTTGAATGCAGGATAGTTCCTCACAAACAAACAGACACGATATAAGTAAATTAAAATTTGGTAATAAAATACTTGCCCAGTTTTTACCATCACTGATTGTAAAGCTAAAATGATCCAAAGAATCTGAGGTATTTTTTGTGTGAACGTAGCATATGATTCCTAGTTTAAGGTCACTTAGCTTAAAATCTGTTATTGACATTTCATTTGTTTTCTTGTTTTCCAAGTACCCATAGGAAGGTACTGAAGTTAGAGTAAAAATCAGGTCCAAGTTTTTCTGATGCTCATCAGTGGCTGTTAAGTTATTGTGTGTAATGCAACTGCTTTGGTGTTCTAAGACTTCGAGTCCTGTGTTTCGAGTGATGATAGGTGGAAAAATATCATCTAAAGAGAAAAGAACAAGGATTACGCATATTCACAGACTGTTGTTTATGAGTTATTGAAGAAATGAGTAGTAAAACATGAATGAGAAATTAAAAACCCTCAATTTTTCGGGTTTAAAAACATGATATTCTGCACATAGAATTTTAGAGTATAGTGCAAAATAAATAAATAAATAAAAAATGAACTACCTGAAATAACGTCTTGTTAACGAATAGCTTTCACGTATTAAGACTCAATCTTAATGGTTTGAGAAGGTGATCTTAATTATCCTTATGACTAGAGCAGGCGGTATTTTAAGTTACGAAATCAAACATATAAACGTACCTTTTCTGAATAAACATACCTTTTATTCAACAGATTTGGCTTCCTTACCTACGAAATACAGGGGTGGGGGGTAGCTGTAGTCTAGGAAATATGGTTCTAATAGTTAGGTCAGGTTTTTATATCATTTCAAGAAAGAAATTTTATATTACAAAATATAAAATTTGAATTAACCCAGTTATATATTTCCTGAGAAATTTGAGAAATTGAAATTTTAAAAAAGTTAGATATTTAAATTTTGATTTCTCAGAAACTATTCGACAGATTATGTTAAATTTCATATGTTGCCTCATAAAATTGAATTCTTTAAAATTTATATGCCATTCAATTACAAATGTTTTAGATTATCATTAAATAAAATAATAAATAATTATCAAAAATCAATTTTTGCAAGTCAGTAATTGCCTTTGGATAAACTAAACTTATTATTGTGCACGAAAATGTTTCGTTTTGTTCAAAAACTTGAGACATGGCGAAATACGCAGAAACTAAAGTTAACATTAAGGGGTCTAAAAATTGGAACACTCTCCTGACCGAACTATTGGGACCATATTTCCAACATTGCGGCTACCCTTAATGTTTTGAGAACGAGAAATTAGAATACTTTGAATAAAAGTCTTCAACTTAAAATATCGTCTACATTAATTAATTAATATATTTGAACCGTTAAGCATGAGTCCTAGTGAAGGAAAATCCAATGATGAAATCAAAACTTATTCAGGGTATTTCTTTTTTCTTTTCTTTTTTTGCAAACTATTGAGCATGTGGCATAGAAATTCATAAAGAGTATTTAAACGAGATAGTTTTCTATGAAACAAATATGTCTTGTTGAAATTAAGTATAATTTAATAAAATTATTAGTATGTATTATTAATATATATTAGATGGCGCCACTGGAAAACAACAAAAAATCACACCCTCTCTGCCTTAATGGCCAACGACGACAACAACAACAATATTTATTTATAAAAGTTATAAATTATTTAAAAATAGTGCCATTAATAACAAATATAAGGAAATATATCTATGTTTATTAATATATTGATTGGAGAAGCATTTTTAATTCTGCGAAAAAAAATCTTTTCAAAATAATTTTTGTTTATTTTGAAACAAATAAATTTGCATACTCACCAGAAACCGTAATGAAAAACATTTGGTTCAAAAGTGTATTGTTCGCAGGATCACGAATATTAAACCGGAAATGATGAACTCCTGTTGATCCATTTGCATTGTGATGATATTTAAGATTTCCCAAATTAATGTCTTCCTGGGAAAAAGTATTTTTTCCTTTAGATGACAACTGCTTCACCTCTCCATTTGTTGTCAAAAAAAGCTGACCAAATAGTGGGTCCGAGGTCAAAGAAAATAGAAGAAGGTTATCTGGACTATCGATATCAGATGCACTAAGAGTGTTATTATTAATAACCGTTGAATTTCCTAAAAGAAGGAAATAAGACATGTTTAGAAAAAATAAGAAATTAATTAACGATTAGCATACGTTTTTGTAGAGAAACTTTCTCGAATGTTGTTCAGAGAATATCATTTATCTAATAACCAGCAAATTTATTTAATATTTTTTAAACTTTAATTTAATATAATATGGAGCTCAAAAAAACTTTAAAGACGCAAAACATCGCGACTATTTATATTAAAGGGAAAACTTAAAATTTGAAGTTCAATGTTTAGTATGAAGCATTAGAAAGAAGTTCGATAAATAAAAATGCACTTTAAATCTATTTTAATATAAATTTTATTTAGAAAAAAAAATGAACTTTAGTATATGAAAACGTTTTTGATAAAAAGTAACTGTTTGCCTAAACATTACTGCTTCTCAGGTGATGAATAGAGCTGCCTTAGCTGAGGTCACTTTACCTGTCCGCTGGCAATCCATAAATGATCAATCAGTTGGATAGCAATCAATAGGAATAGGTTTCTATAGGGATTGGAATACTTATCATCCAATAGGAATAACACAGACAGCTAGTTGCCATTCACAACTGCAAAATTATGACATTTGATTTATTTATTCCACTCAATGATATAGTTCAGACTCTGGATTGGACAACTTTATAAGCTTATTTCCACGAATATAAAAAGTCTTCGAAATAGGTAAGTCTAAATTTTATACTATTTATCTTCAAACACGAAATTTAATTTAATAGATTGATTATAATTTATGTTCTTATAAATATTCGTGAAAAAATCATCCCATAAATATTTTATATAAACTAACATCAAAACTTCGATATATATAACTTTCTATATACCTATAACCAAAACAACTTTAAAGTAATATATTTACTTTCTGGATAGAAAAACATTTGGGAAGCACCTTGAAAACATCTGAGTTTAATCTTTTTACAATCACACGTGTGAAATACGATAGTCTCGGATACAATGATTATTCATTCATTCGTAAAGTTCGAGTAAGTTGCATAAGTTATAGCAAAAAATAACAAAACAGAAAGTATATTTAATAGCATTAACGAAGAATAATGTTAACGTTACAGTGTCTAAATTGATTCTGAATATTAATTAATAATAGATCACTGAGCAGAGCACCATCTGTGAGAATGAGAAATCAATATTATTAACAAAATGAATTTTATTTCATATTCTGTAGTAATTGGTGAATACAAGCTATGAGTGAAATTTTCTAAAGGACGTATTTCTTAATATTCAAATTTTTCTGCATTTTGATTTTTTAAAATTAAATGTACGGATAAGATTCAGAAATTCATTTAAAATTAATAATATTCTTCAAATAAATAAATTACCAGGGATTAATTCTACTCCTAAATTTCTAAGAATGAAAGGTGTTTCTTTATCTGTTTCAAATACTAGTACATGTATATCAGACACGATAGTATGGTGTCCGTCACTGACTGAAAAAGTAAGCGTGTCATTCTGCACTGGCTTCTTTCCACTGTGTTCATAGAAAAGCAATTCGTTCATAATATCCTAAAATATAATGAAAAATTATGTTAAATGACTTGAATTAAAAAGAATATACGAAATTATTACTTGTTATCGTAAAAGATAAGTAGTACATGGATATTCAATTGAAAAGAAATTACTTATCGTTTTGAAAGTGAAGTAATGAACTGATATTTAATATAAAGATTGAAATTCTGACGAAGTTTTCAGTAGTTTAGTAAATCACGTTAAGCAATGAATAATTATAACAGGGAGTTATTTCAACCAGTAGATAGAAGAAAATATTTACGAAGCCGTCTTATTTGAATAAGGAAATTTTTTATTTAAATATAGTTGAGAAAAATACATATCATCAGCTTAGTTTTTTGCCAATAATGCTTGCTCTATGAGACTATAAAAGTTTTGATAAGCAAGTCAAAAAGTTTTGGACACATTTTATAGTATAATATTGAACTCATGATCTGAATTGGTAAGGTGGTTAGGGCACTGAGCTATCATTGTGAAAGACAGGGGTTTTATCCCCGGTTGCGGCTTGAAGGCTACTTTGTACCAATTCGATTGTTAAGTAAAAGTGGCTGATGAGCAAAGATGCACACATTTTTAATATCATGATGTTGCTTTTGAAAGTATGGAGTCTTGATCTCAATGAAAACCATGACATAAACTAGCTGTTGTAGTTCGTAGTTTTTTTTTTAAATAAAATTTTTTTTTTGTATAACATAAATGCGAAGCTAGCTGATATATAAATTTAATGTTTTACATTATTTCATGTCATTTTATTACTTTAACAAAAGATGCAAAAATCAATAGGTAAGAAAGTACACATAGAAATAAAATGCAAGAAATATCAAGTTTTAAAAACATAAATTATAGCAATACTCACGAGGAAACTAAATACATCTCCCTTATGCAATGTTGTAGCTTGACTCAGAAGATGTGATGATTGATTCAATGTCTTAACAGAACCTAAAGAAGTCATTTTTAAAACGAAGACGTCGAAGAATGTCGTGAAATTCTTTTTCGAAAACATTAAAAAATCATTCATTGATTTTATCAAAATGATTTGAGGATCATGCAGAAACTATGATTATTTTATGAAATATTATGAGCAAAAAAAACAAAAAAACAAACACTAATTTTAAAACTGATAGAGAATTATTGATACTATATAATTTGAGACTAAAATAATTTATTAATATTATATAAATTATTGATATTACTTATATAAATTGTTGAGAATTTTGAATTTGAGACTTCCACAATTTTCCGGAAGAACTTAAGTATTGTACGCTTTTTGAACCAACATTTCCGATAAAAAAATACATTAATGTCTATTTTCTAACTTTAACAAAATATGGCTTAAAATATATTGTTTAAATAAAATAGGTACCTTTTAAAAACTATTTTAAGAAATTTTAATAAATAAATAAAATAAGTAAAGTTAAGTATAGATAATATATATAAATGAAATGAAATTAATAAAATAAAGTAGAGATAAAATATATACATAAAATAAGATAAATAAATGAAATAAAATAAATAAAAAAAACTAAAAAACTTTAAAAAAATTATAATAGAAACTGAGGACGAAAATCTAACAATAATAAATGGAAACGAAAAAAAAGGTTGTTGCAGAAATGCTGTTTGATGAGAAATATTTGCTTTCGTCATATTTTCGAAATGCTCTGACGTTAAGAAATACATCTTTTTAATATCCCTGCATTTCTTTAAAGCAATCAATATAAATCAGTAAATCTACTCAAGTGTTTGATGCTGCATGGTGTGTGGTAAATATATAATTTAATATACACCGTTTTTTAGCAGTATGCATAATAAGTATCGCGTATGTATTTTAATAAGTATAACGCAGCCTCCTCATTTCGTTATACTAATAGGTTGCTCAGATTATTTAGAAAGTGAGCTGATTTGCGCCTTAGCTATCTATTACAGGAAAGCGAGCAAAGATAAGACAAATTAAACTTTCCCAACAAGTATATATCTTAAAACTTATTTCAATTAAGACTAAAATTGATTTTTCGAGCATTCTTGTCAAGCACTTGATATAAATATATAAATAGGATGCAATATAAATATTGAAAAAAAAAACATTTTTCTTATACGAATTTCGAAAAAAATTTTGGCCTAACAATAAACTAATTTTAAGTATTCTCAGCAGCCTACTAGCACAATGCGGTTCGGAGGTGATGGTCAGATTTGAAATGAGTTCTATATAATGATTTCAGACTAAAATAAGCATTACCTTGTTGGGGTGGATTTAGAATTGAAATTTCAAGATCATCTGGTTTAGTATCCACATCGATCACAGAGAAGCTAGAATTTGAGATTTTTGTGTAGCGTCCGAAATCCACAATGACATAATCTGTAAATACATGGGGTGTTTCATCGTTCATAGGTTTTATGGTGATATTTAGAAGATGAGATGATGATGATAGATATCCGTCATTTATGTGGATGTAGACTGAGTCTCGTTCTGGTTCCACGCCGTGGTGAGCAGTCTGAATGTATTTTACGAATCCTTCTATTAAATCTATGTATGGGAAAGATGATATTGGAATGCCAGCCAGCGAGTTTTCCGCACCTGGAACTAGAAGATCAGTAAAATATAAGAATTCTACACAAGTCTGTCCTTTAAGAATAGAGAATCTTTATGCTTATATATTTTTTTTGCGAGCAATGTTACATAGAGCCATCAAAATTTTTCATATAAATAACTACTGCCATACTGTATCAAAAAATTTACGATTTACTTTGATTATTATAACGTCGCACTAGAGATACACTAATGGGCTATTGATGGTTATCTAAGATTCATGCACCTCATCATAACTAAGATGCATGCACCTGGAACTAGAAGATCAGTAAAATATAAGAATTCTAAATAAGTCTGCTCTTAAAGTATAGAGAATCTTTACGCTTATATTTTTTGTAAGTAATGTTACATAGAACCTTCAAAATTTTTACAATTTACTAACTACTGCCATACTGTGACAAAAAAATTCATGATTTACTTTGATTATTATAACGTCTCACTAGAGATACACTAATGGGCTATTGATGGTTATCTAAGATTCATTCTTAATGAAGATTGGGAAAAATACTAGCCCCACTATACGTTAACACAATGGGCTATTGATGGTTATCTAAGATTCATTCTTAATGAAGATTGGGAAAAATACTAGCGCATGCCCACTATACGTTAACACAATTTGGATCGATCGGCAGGTGATGATAGCAAGTATTCTATAGCGCGGCTTTAAGGAGAACTCCTCAGGACTGAAAGTCTGGGGCTGTCTGCTGCTATGGTAACAAGCGAGAGCACATTTCTAATGGGGGTGAAATGTAGGAAAGAAGGTGTCTATTGGTTTACTCACGACGAGCTACGCTAAGATTAAGACAAAACTATTCACCTCACACCCCTATTTGAAGTGACCTTTCCTCGTAACCATAGTACCTGCCACGACGTGAGTCTGGAGGAGTTCTCTTGAAAGCCGCACTATACATCCGCATCATGTTTCTCAAACGCCCAACAGCGAGTAAAAGTTTTAAGTTTTGAAACCACAAGGGACATCATATTGCAGAGAACCGAATCAGAGAAAGAGTAGCCTTGGGGAGTAATCAGGCCTAAGCTTTGACCCAAAACGCCAAACTGACAGGTGCTAAAAAATACCGGCACACTTTCATCATAATTTGATACGGAATTTTTCAGAATGTGTATATTTGCATACATTCATAGCGATATTTAATAAACTTTCTGATGTTACCATAAAATAAATGCACATAAAAATGAGGATAAATAAAATTGTTGTTATGAAAATGCACTAACTTGGTCTGGAGTTTTCTATAAATCCATAATCAGGTTGTGTATCTAGTACAACAGTAAGGTCAGAAAGCGCAGAGTCTGGATCAAATACAGTAATAACATGAGGTTCAATCACAGCTTCTCCACCTTCATTAACCTGAATGAGATAGAAATTATTATTATATCATTTAAACAAAGTAATAATCAAGTAGAAGTGAGATTAGACTTAACTAATATTTCAATTGAAATTTCGCAGCCGTTACAGATAACCTTTTTGTAATTCTGCAGTTTTTTCCTAACATTTGTCGAATAAAAGTAAATTATAACCACCTTTTTATTTAATTCTATCAAGATTTATTTGATGATTTTAATTAGACCTTAAAAAATATTCGTCAGACATCTGTAATAAATGAAAACCAAGAGGAAAGAAGGTTTTGTGTCCATTCTTCGCAAAAATAACGATGAATTTTGAGGATTACTAAGTTTTGAAAAATAAATAATGTGAAAAACCGGATTTGCCCGAAAGTTATTACATAGTGAAGATGGGCCGTACTGTTGAAAAGTCCTTCCTTTCCGCTCTCAAAATCGTTTTTTCTCCGAATCACACACACACAACTCTTATGGAAATAAACTGTTCTTCTTCAGTGGTCTTCATATATTTATTAATAAATTCATATAAAAAATATGTATTAAAGTCAGCAATTGGGAAAAACGCTGCCTATTTGCTAAAATGCAATCCTTTTTAGTGTCTCACGAAAGTTCCCGATATTAAGCCAGATTCATAAAAATTCCCTTAGTTATGCGATGTTAAAAATAATTTTGTCTTACGACTAATAAGCACACGTAGTTTGTAGTTTAAAACTCAATTAAACGAAATGGTTGACTATGATAATGTCTGCTTAAAATCAAACTTAAATCTCCTACTTAAATCTAGATCATCTTATACCAAAAATCTCGTTTCATAATAAACTAATTACGCGGGAAATTAGTATAATTATAATTTTTTTTTAAAAAGTCAATTATAGAATACAACAAAAAAGGGTCAATTTGTTGACTGTTAAAAATTAGTTATGAAAAAAAGAGCGATTCAAGTCTAATAAAACACTTATAAATAAAACTTCCCAATTTCAACGAAATGGATTCATTATTGAGTATATAGTCCTCATTGCTGATACAGTCTTAAAAATTTATATTTTTATTGGAAAAACTAAATAATTTGCAAAATAAAAGATGTGTTAGAAATTGAAAATATCAAAGATTCCAAAGTCATAAATTTTCATGAAAACTGCTTTTTTATAATATTGCGCTATACCGCTTAAGAAGTGCTTTGTTAAAAGCTTCGATTAACTTTTTTTAGTTGAAAATATTAAGAAATTATGGGGAAAAAAGTTATGTACCTGAACATCAGTTGTTATTTTGACAGTAGGTGGTTCTTTCTTTTTCGGCTTCACTTTAATAGTCAAAACTTGATTAGCTTGCACATTACCACTTGCATCAGAAACATCAAAATACACAAACTCTCTTACAACGTCATTGCCAATATCGGTGCTTGCGGTATATCTATAGGTAAATTGATTGTCATATTAATGTCGAAAATAACTAAGTAGAAAACATGCTTGTTATAAATTTGTAACGATGCTTACTAAATAAATTTTTTCCCCCCAACAGATTTGGATTTTTAACCCACAAAATACATACATGATAGTCGCAGTCTGGAAAACATTTCTTAGTTAGACAGGCGAGCCGTCGTAATTTTGGGTCCTTAAATGTTAATTTTAATTTTTCCGTATTTTGCCATTTAAAAAAATTAGAATTTTTTAAAAGTCATTTTGTAAGGGCTATTCGATATCAGTTTCTTAAAGTTTTGATTTTATCATTTAAAATTGCGCAGATTAAGTTGAAGCAAAAGTTGGTTGAAATTGAACAGAAACATGCTTCAATCTAAAATCTTATAAAAGTTGCTGTCAATTTTCACAGTATTATGGTTCAAGGAACCAATAATAAACCGAGTTAAACAGTAAACTGAGAAATTTTACTTTGAGGGTAATGAAGGCACTTGAAGGATTACTTGCCTATCAGTTTAACGTTTCGTATTTGCACTGAGGGGAAAAAAGTATGGTCAAAACTACCAGAATATAGTAAAATTTACCGTATTTTTGGCTCTATGTGAACACTAAAAAGCTCGACAATTTTTACCGAAACGCTTTGACAATGGTTTTGTTAAAATTAAAAAATAAAATGTGGTACGCAAATGGTATACGAATAAAAATTAGCAAATGAATGGTTTAAATACTGTATATTTTGGTATTACACATTATCCAGAATTATGAATTTTTTAAACAAAGTTGTCATTACCACACAGTATGTTAATTTGACCATAGTTTTTTTCTCTGTGAAATATAATAGTTTTTTTTTTTAATTTAAAAGGGTATTATTAAAAAAAAGCTCTTTGAGCAATTCTGAAGCTTAGATTTATGCTTACTTGATAAAAATATTTAAGAAACTCTAGCAAATTTAATTAAAAATTTAGAGATGAAACGTATATTTATTTAAAATTAGCTTATTATATTGTTACGTCACTAAAGCATAGATAATTCCCGATCTGTATTGTTCATTCAAAACCAAGTATTAATAAACTCATATCGTTAATTCTTATTAACGAAAATTAAGAATAAAAATTAAATACCTGTAAGTTAATACTTACAGGTATTTAATTTTTGTGTTACAGGTATTTAATTTTGTGACTGTAAGTTAATACTTACCGTATTATTTGTTCATTGATATCTTGTTGAGAAAACTGATCTTTGGGATTTAACGCGTAATAAAGACCATTTTCTTTTTTCTCCAGTATTCCATGTTTTGGCGAAGCTATCAATGTGAACATAATATCTTTATCTCCTGACACCAAGTCCGTAAAGGCCAAATGATGCCTCAAAATATTTAGCGATTTGCCTAGAATATTCACAAGAAAGAAAAAACGTGAGCATCAAGTCTCTTAAACAAAATAAAAATAGTATGACAATATCTATTATGAAAATGATAATAAATACTTAAAGTTTAACAAATTTACACCAAGTCCTAGATAGAACTTTATTTAATAAAATAAATCCTCTTTTCAGTTTATTATGCTTTGAAATTCTATTTAAATACTGAAAAAAAAGTAAGGTCAAAACTGCAAGAATATGGTAAAATTTACCATGTTTTTGGGTCTATTGAAATACTAAATATCTCGGTAATTTTTACCGAAACGTTTTGGTTATGATTTTGATATTGAAATTTGATATGATCTTGAAATGTATTGAAAAATATGGGGGTTTAATACGTGATAAAATTTGGAAAATGTGGTAAAACTTGGTAATTTTATCATGATAGCTTGCAGCATGGCATAAATACAATTTATTCGGTTAAATTTATTTTTCAGTTTTGCATTTTTTACTAAATGTGTTGTAATAAAAACTATAAATTTGAAAACTGCAATTTTTGATGAACCGTTACCATGTGAACGGAAAAAATTTCCAAATGAATGGTTTAAATACACTTGCTTTCATTAAGCAGATTTATGGTTTTTCTAACCAGAAATGTCACTACTGTACGGTTATTTCAGCATTTTTTTTCGTGTACTATAGTTAACCAAACTCTATCTCAACAAAAATTTATAATGAGCTCTAAACATAAAATTGATAAACAATGAACAAAAATAATCATTTTAACTCTTCACTGCAATACATATTTTTTGAATTCTAGCAATTAGAACAAACCGTTATTCTCCCTTAATAGCCGATTATTATTTGAATGGTTAATTTGTTTACAAATTAACCAGTTAATATAATGAAAACTCCAAACAATAACACTTGATTCTTTGTGCATATGCATATAAATTAGCAAATTTTTTTTCTTGTTTGTTACGCTTCTGTTTCTGTGATCCATGTTTAAAAAATATTTGCGTCTTTATAAATAAGTAGTTCTAATGAGAGATGATTGTAATTAACAATTGTTAAAATAATTACAATGCCCTATGGTCAACAACTGCTTAAAATGTAAAAATTATATATTTATAAATTATTACATTATTTTACAGTTATTACAGTAGGTTATTATTAAATAAGTTTAATATTTACCATTAGACCATTTAACTACTTGCTCATTAATTATGTTTTATATTAATTTGGATAACAAAATTAACATATAATATTCTCTTAAAACATAAAATCAAAGCTTTGAAATTCTACTAGACGAATTTATTTGAATTAGTAAATTTATCTGATTATGTAGTTATAAATTATAACAACGTAAATTCTGATATTTTTTTTTCTAGTAATAACTTGAATTAGTGTAAGGAAATATGCTGAAAAAGAATATATCGGTCAAATTTAAAATTATTTCAAAGTATATAAGTTTAAATGTATATTTATATAAATACAAATAATTAATTATTGCAATAAGGGTGTAAACTTTAAGAAAAAAACGCACCTTCAACAATTGATCCCATGAGTGTCGTGGAATCAAGGATTACTGGACTTTCTACATCGTTGAGTCGAATTTCAAATATCACACTGTTTAATGTAGATTGCTTTCCACCCATAATGGAGAATACTGCATTGTCGTGTATATTGTTGGAACCATCATGTTCGTAGTACATATCATTTACAATAGATGAATATGCAAAACCATCTTCTGCAAAACATTTCCAAGAAATTAATGGAATCATTGCCTTAAAAATTGTGTAACAAAGAAATTTTTTTTTTACTGATTACTTTCCTCAGTTGCGTTTTACTGACATTTTTAAAAATGCACTATAAGTCTCCAGAAATTATTTGTTCGACATGAAAAAATAATTTAAGTACTATTTTCCTTAAAATTTTTTAATCATAAGATGCAGGGCAGCCTTTTTGGTTTCCAAGTTCCAAGTTTTTTCAATGATAGCTAGTATTGAGTATTAGTGCCTTACGATTACGAAGTTTATCAAAGGTAGCCAGTATTAAAAGTTAGGGGTATTAATTGTAGCCTTAGTTACTTTCAAGTCCACATTTTATCATTGGCAGCCCATAACAGGTTGTTTATGCTGCTTTTTTTACTTTCAAATATTTATCTACCAAATTTCATCATTGGCAGCTCATATCAAGTGTTAAGAATGTTAATGTAGCTTTTTTTGCTTCCAAGACCAGAATTATATGTATTCCAACCCGTATCTGAGTGTTTGAATTGTTAATGTAGCCGTTTTTTATTAGCAAGTACTAAATTTCATCAGCGACAGCCAGATTAAGTGTTATGAGAGGTCGTTAACGTAGCCTTTTTACTTTCAAGTCCAAATTTTATCAGTTCAGCCCATATCAAGTGCTAAGGGACTAAATGTATTTTTTAATTTCAAGTCCAACTCAAATAAAGTAGTCCTTTGCAGTGTCTAAAACCCATGTTTTCAATTTGTTTAGGTATGAATAGAATAATTATGTTAAACTAATATTTTGGATTTTTTTTTATTTTTTTGAAATCTGAAATAATTTTATATTTCGATAGTTTTCTTTGACGCTTTGATTTTTCCAATCCTTCGAATATTCCAGTTTTTTAACTTTTATTTTTAAATGAGACAAAAATTTTAAGGAAGGATTTATTTTAGAAATTTCTTAATTAATTTTATAGCATTTAATATTAATGATCTTAATATTATTGAGAAGTTGTGATTAAGGGATAATAAACTTTTAATGCTGCAAATCGCTCACTTTCACTGTTTCATGTTTTAGGTACTGGTCATTTTATTTATTTTTTCAATTTTTGGGTTTCACAAATGTATTTAGTTAAGTTAGTTAACTAACTGTAACTTATGATAATTAGTTAGATCTTTAATTAATTATTAAGAGTTATAACTAAAATTAAAGATTAGTAGATATATCAGTAATTACAGCCATTTGTTATCTCAATTAAAGAAGGGAGGAAATTAACTCCAATTTATGATTTAAAGTAGTAATTGTTCTTAATTTATGATAATTAATAACTACCAATTGTGGTGAAACATATGGAGATTGAAAAGTCCGGAGGCGAAATATTCAAACATCAAGAGGTCCAGGTATGAAAAGTGATATAACGTTAAAAATAAAAATGCTCGCTTACAAAAAAAAAAAAAAAAANAAAAAAAAAAAAAAAAAAAAAAAAAAAAAAAAAAAACAACTTATCATAGCTTTTAAGAAAAGAAAGCTGATGTATTTAAAAAATACCTATGTACCTTCTCCAATTTCAATTCTTGTACCACCAGTGATTTGAACAAGATTGCCATGTTGAGGAGCATTAATGAGAACAACTTCAAGTTGATCTTCAGGCATTTCATGTCCATCAGTTGTCAACCATTGTGGTCCTAGTTTAGCAATTTCACCTTGGCGAACATGAACAGTGGATTTATGAGTTATGGAAGATGCTGGAGATGTAAAAACATCTGACGCTGGAGTGATGGTAATCACAAAATCTTGAACTGGTGAAAGTTGCACTTCACTTATGGCATCAATAACTAAAAAATATCATTGTGACGATCAGTTTCTACTTTTTTCGCAAAACGGTGCAGCTAATCATTTAAGTGTTTATGGTTACACATAGTGTTAAGTGTTATGGTTTACACATAGAAACAATAAATTAGGTTAACTTAAAACTATATCCAAAACATGACTATTAAGGTTGTTTTTCGAAGGTCTAGAAGAGGAATTAATAATGCAGGTTTTTCTTTAATTACTACCTTTAATATATATTTTAATAATTCATGGAAAAAATTTATTGAAAATGCATACTATAGGGGTTAAGAATCAATATTCAAGTGAGAATTTTTTTAGTGAGAATACTTATTTACAGTAAGAAAATTAAAGAATGCTCTTCTTAATAGTCATGCCTCTTTCTTTTCAATTTGATGCTCTTTTTATTACACATTAATTGATAACTACCTCAAAGACTGCGATGACTTGTCCCATAGACCTCTATAATAATTTAGATTTTGATAGGGTTTTAGTTTTTACTTTCACAAATATATTTATTGGGGACCCTTTAATGACTTCGCAATCATTTTACTTTTACTCCTATCAGTGAAAATTAAGGGTGAGGATTGCGAAACACCCAGTATTTGAAAATTATAGTGTATTATGTATTGAGGCTTTTTAATAATATTTGTATAAAATAAAACTATAAAAGTCGAAATATACATTATGTATATAATATAAGTTGCCCAGTACTTTCCATACAAACGAAAAGTAATAAATTTTGAAACTTAAAAATTGTTGTTTTGTCTTCTTTTTTATACAATCATTTTTTAAAAGTTTCATGAACGGTTTCTTTTTACTACTCGATTACTTCAACGATTTCTATTTTTTCAAATGAAAATAAATAATTTTCACTGCAGTTTAAGCAAAAGTTTGATAAAAAAAAGGTATCGAAGAAAAAAAATTGGCAGTTTTGAAAAAAAAGGCGTTTAAAATCAATATGTATATTTTTAGACCTACCAACTCTTAAGAAAAACATTGGACGCACGTGAGAAAGAGTTTTACTTTGAAGACATTGTTCAGTTGCCCAACTTTCAGAGTTTTAAATATATAAGTAATTTTTTTCAATTCAAAGTGTGTAAATTTCTCTTAGAGGGTCAGTGTTTGCAAGGTTTACAGATTTAACAGCTTCTATTACTCGTTAAACTATGCAACTAGTAATTAAACAAATAATTCTGAAATATTTACCAACGAACTTGAAAGTGAATTCTTTTTCAGAACTGGCGACTAACGGTGGAGGATGGTAAACAATTTTTAAATCATTGATGTCTTTTTGCGTGAAAGATTGTATTCTTTCACCTGGTTTATCAGTATTTTCAAGAGTTCCTTCACTGTTTAGTAGTTTTTTAGTGATCATGTAAACAATGTCGTTTGAAGGTATTCCATCAATATGTACTAAGAGATGATCATTAGTTATCGTTGCGGGGTGGTTTTGCAAAACCTGTAAATAAATTTTAGACACTATTAGAAATAAGCATTAAACCATATTTCTTCAAAAGATTTTAAGCAAAATTTAGTTCCTACCATCATTCCAAACTGGTTCGTTACATTCGACTGACTTGTTTCAGGTTTCAAAACAAAAACTTCGAAATCAAATTTATATTCCTCTTGCGAGTCACTGTTTTTAACCTATTTGCAATAAATAATACATTTTTATAGTTCAGTTTATTTACAAACAATAACAAATTTGAGTGAAGTAATTTTACAAAAAAGAATTTTGGTAGTTTGAAGCTGATCCTGAACAGTATTAAGTCTAATATGCGAACAATTCGATCTCGCAGAATTTGCATTAAGAAAATGCATAAAAATAATCGAACCATTTTGAATTATTTCATGCATTTAAATAGCTAATATTTCAAAACCCAATACAAGTTCTCAAAGAAAAAACTTTATTCGTTTTTCTCAAGATATATATTTTCTTCTATTTGCTAATAGACATGTATAATACATTATTAACACGTAAGTTAAAGCTATACAAAGTAAAAGTTATCTAAATGAAGTTTTTTAAAATTTGAACTTATTTCCAATACGGACATTGTAACTTAATTAGGACGCCTTGTCTCTGAAATTTTTAAGTTTTCTTGTTCAGAATTTTTACATAGCTCTGTTTGTCAAGTGTAGGTATCTGAAATTTGAATTTCATTAAAATTGGAATTGGTAATATAAGAAAAAAATTAAAAATTATTCTTCTTGGCGAGGAATGGCTTTTAATTTGCAGACATCTAAATTTTATAGTCTTAGAATTTTTGATTAAGCCTTGACTTAATCATTCATGGTTTTTTTTTCGGATTTTACAGATTGTTGAAAAAGGAATTGATTTCTATCTATGTTCAAATTTAGAATAAAAAGATAATTAAAAAAAATCTTTATGGTATTAGCTTAAACTACGTCTAGAAGTACATCCAATATTTGGAAAAATTGGAAAGTTAATCAGTAGAAAATATGGTCATCAGTCGAAGAAATATCATCAGAGAAGTTCAAACTTTAAGGAACTTACTTCCAGAGAACGTGTTTAAAGTTTTGCCAGCAATGCTGGTGTCTTGTGTGAAATTTTGTAAACGAAAAATGTGAGTTTTTGATCATATTCCTCTCTTGTCACATTTCTATATTAAATGCAATGCTATAAAAATGTATTAAATTCAATACAAATTATTTAATGCAATACTAATAAAACATTGATTCCTCCCATTCGATAAAAAAGAAAAGCCTTAAAACGCCATTAAGGTTTCGTTCACACAAAAGAAAAAGTTTAAAATTCTACTTTTCATTTATTTGAAATAATGCACACAAATTCTGAAAGCGTCTATTTTACAAGTATTCCATTTGATAGGTATTTATGAAAAATGATTGGTATTCGTTATTCTTACAATAGAGGGAAAAATCTTACCATAAAATTAATTATAGCGTTTGAAACACTCGTGTTTGGGTGATAATAGTAAATGTTTTCGTAATCAATATCCTCTTGTGAAAATGATTTCAATTCAATGATATTTTCATCTTGACTTTCAGTATTTAATTTAGATTTCTTCTTGTAGAAAGTTCCTATTTAAAAATAATTATACATTGTGTAACTTCCAATAATATTTAGGGTTTATAATCATAATCAAATAGTGATTAATGTCTACATACCTATTGAGTATTGTACATGATAATGGGTATTGCTAGGATATAAGTTATCTCCAACAGTGAGCAGTAACTTATTATTTAGTTTCATTTCATTACCTGCCGTGATGTAAAGTGGGTTATTGCGAGCAACAAATAATTTCGTTTGGTCCTGAAAATTTGAAAGAGAAACAAAGATGATTAACTTGGTGAGTAACAATATCTTATCTTAGTTGGATTCATTTTTTGGGAAATCACGAAGAATTTCCCTTTCTAACATGTTCTGCTGAAAAATATATTTAACCGATTAATAAAAGCATCGTTTTCTTTCAATTTTTAAAAAAATAATAAATTAAATATTTGTAGTAAAGATAGTAATCCCTTGTAAAAAGTTTCTGAAGAGAAATTCGAATTAAGAAATATTTGGCTATTATTATAAAATGAGTAATAGTTTTTGAGCACTCTGTTAAACATTAAGGAACCACAACATTGTTCTAATTTATATCAACCGTAATAAGGTGTTAAGTTTAATCTTATTAGCGTATTTTTTAAACTTGATTTCCCTATACTATGGTTCAACTTGAACGAAACTATGGCTTAATTTAACGCAATTTTAAAGTAGCAGTAAATTTGTCCCTTATCATGGTTCAAGATCCCAATATTATAGTTAAACTTAGAGCCGATTTTTCCGAGATCGTACAATAAAAATTTATTTTCAAAGAAAAAAATATGATTAACATTTTTTCCCGTTGAATTTAGATTTATTTTACAAATAGCCGAAGAGTCTGATAAATGATTAGTAATCTACTAATAGTTTTATTAAATTTTTGTACATCATTATTTTAATTTTATTTGCTTAATATTTTAACGTTTGATAGCAAAATCTACTACTGGACAACATTTAACTGAATTGTATGATTTTTTCGAATTTATTAATTATTCCGATGAGCAAAAGAGGATGATATAAGAAACACATATGTGAATATTTTATTTACTTATTTAAGAAAAACACCACATACCTTGGGCACCACAAACACTTTCAAATCAAGTAGTTTTGTATTAAAACCATCATAGGCTTGTATAAGTATATTTCCTTCTGATACCTTGTCAGATTTCAAACTTTTAAATGCAAGTTGATTCTGCGAGAACTCTTTATAAGGAACTGTAGACATTTCTTTCTCATCAGGCAAACGTATTAAAACTCTATTGCAAGGTCCTGATAAACAAGAAAAAATTTATAATAACAATTTTACTTGAAAACATATCGTATCTTATTAAAATATATTATAGAGCTGAGAAAAAATTATCTTAAACTACATATTTAGTAATGTAAATTATCGATTATCTACAAATTATTCTAATGGGATAATTTGAAAAAATGACATCACAAGAAAATGAATAAAAGAAAGTTATTTTACTTTTAATTTGTACTCTAAACATCGTAGCAGCCTGTAACGCTGTTACTTTCAACAAAATAAAATAAAAATTAGTTGCTTAAATATAGATTTTTCTTTGTTTAGATACAAAATCATATGATTGAATTCAACCTGATTGTTAACATTAATTAATCAAATATATATTTAAATTTTTCAAAGCATGAAATAAATTATTCATTACAGAGAAAAGAAACAATTATTTCTACTTGCCTTCAATAACTTTCAACGTAATATCTTGTATGTTGTCCAAATCATCGATATGTAATGATGAGGAATTTATGATAATTGTTGATTCATCAGGTACTACAATATATTGTAGTTGCTCGATGACTGGTGGGAATTCAGAGACTACATGTATAGGCAAAATGATTTCATCACTGACAGTGTGGCCATTAGAAATTATAAAACTCAGTTTTCCTATTGCGAGAAAATATATAAGTTAAATGCTTATATATATATAGACACATTACAAAGAATAATTTTTATCTTAGGACAATTGTTCTATATTCAGAAATATCGCATTAAACTATACCAAAAGATGTGTCCTGAGGAAAACTTTTGGTTTCCCCCATTAAGAGTTTTCTTTTTTAAATTATTTTATTATTATTATTTANTAGCTATACAGGGAGTACAAAACGAATTTTTACACAGGGGTGACATAATTAGCCAAAACGCAGTGTGGCACATTGTAGGGTAAGCTTCGAGGACGTACTTTCTCGGGAGTGAATGAAATATCACCGTTTGTATAGGGCGGTTTTGAGGAGAACTCCTCCAGACTGTAAGTCTGAGACTGTTTGCTGCTATGGTAACAAGCGAGACCACATTTCTAATGAGGGTGAAATGGAGGAAAGAAGGTGTCGATTGGTTTACTCACGACGACATAGGCTAAGGTTAAGACAAAACTATTCACCTCACACCCCTATTTGAAGTGACCTTTCCTTGTTACCATAGTATCCTCCACGACGCGAAATGGGTGTCTGGAGGAGTTCTCCTGAAAGCTGCACTATAGAATCCATCATTTAACAGTTATTTGTTGAAAGGCATTCAGCAACATTCGAAGACAGAGAAGGTTGACTTTTACTCATTTACGGTATAGCACAGAGCAACCCCGTAGAAGTCATAAGACTTGACCAGAAAATTCAATGTCTTTTCCAATTAGCGTCACATCTGCAGTCGTTAGGGGAATTTTCAAGCGAAGTGATTCGCTCCGTTATAGTGTGTGTGAAGCCTGAATTGTAACTCATATTCGCTAATTTGAGAATATGTTGTAAAGTTTTCAATAATAAATGTTTCTTTGCTCTTTATTATTCCTCTTTTCTGGTATTCTCAATTTCATTTCCTGAAGCTCTCTCGTGGCCCGTCCTTTTCTTTCCAACCCCACATGGTAATATGAAAATTGCTTGTTTTAGCAAGTTATATAAGTAGGTTTTACCAAGTATGTCCTCCATTACAGTTGTGACCGTTAGTTTTGTAATATGTTACATAGATAAAAAGAAATTGTTATTTAAAAATTTATGACAAATTAAGGTAGAAGAAATAAACATTTGGATGATCATTGTTATTGCTCTTATATGTTTAACAAACTCCACACTAACAAAATTCTCAACTTGTAATTTCTGAATCAACTCAACAATAATTTCAACAATAACTAATTTCATTTAAGTTTTTTTTCTTCAGTCGGATAAATTTCTGTTAAAATTTTCGTTTTAAAAATAAATTTACTTAAAAATGATCCAAATAAAATTTATAGTGAAGAGTAAGATAAAGCTTTGATAATTTTTATTTGAAAGCATTTTCGCATTAAAAGACTTCACTTTGTCTGAAATAATGTACTAAAAGAAGCTTTAAAAGACAGTTTTTGTTACTTTTAAGTTAAGTTCAAGTTTAAGCGTTAAGTTCAATATAAGTTATTAAATTCAAACTGTGCTACTCAATTTTAATGGAACTTATATAAATTGTCTTTGTCAGGATATGAGTTTATCAGGATATAGTTGTCTTTATCAGGATATAAATAATTAAGAGTTCAAATTATTTATTTATTTTCAGTAATAAACAATTATTCACGAAAAAATAATTGTTCAAAGTCTATAGTGATGTTTCATAGAGATAAAAAGATAGTAGTGACATTATATTAGTTATGTATTACTTTTTAAAAATAAACATCACTATAAGATCAGCGTTTGTTAATTGCATTAATAACCATAGTAATTAAAAAACAATAATTTGAGCATCAATTGATAAATTAAAGTTCTTATTTTCATTATATTACTAGGAAAACGGCTAAAAAAATACTCAGTATTTCATCTGAAAGAAATAACAAATCTAATTATAAAAAATCGTTAGAAATTTGGATAGGAACTAAGTTTGATTAAATTGTTTCTTCAGATAACTATTTAATTCTTTAAAGTTAAATATTTAATTTTCGAAATTTTGCTTTAGGATAGATTCATATGTACAGTTTAAATGAAAGAAGTGAAGCAATTTTTTGGACACTTTAAGTTTTGTATACAATGGGGGAAAAAAGAGACGTATTTACTCTGAAGAAACACGTTTTTTTTGTGACGAATTCTGACTGACTCCTCAAAATATATTAATTATCCGCAGTCTGGGAAATATGGTCCTAATAGTGCTTAATCAGGAGAGCAGTCATAAGTTTGGATCCCTTAATGTTAATTTTACTTTTTGTGTATTTTGCCATTTCTCGAGCATTTAAGCAAATTGAAAATTTTTGCATACAATTACAAAATAAATTCACCTAAGGAAAATTCTATGCAAAAATAACTTTCAGTAAATATTTATTATTATTTTATTTAATAATAGTCATACAAATTTTCAATTTCAAGGTATACAATTTCTTACGTCATTTCAGAGAATGTAATTTTACATGGCAAAATGCAAAATAATGGCAAAAACTTTCAAATAGTTCCTGAGAAATCAAATTTTAAAAATACGACTTTTTTGCACTCATCAATTAGAATATTTGAGGGCATTAGCCTTGAGCAATTAAGCTTGAGCCCTCGAACATGAAGATCCTATGATTAGATTAAAAGTGATTCTGGGTGGTCCGTTTTTCTTGTAAATCTGTTTCAAACAACATAAGTTGCAAAAATATATTTGAATTATTTTTTCCAATGCCCAGCCGATTGACACTCACCATTCAGGTATTATTAGAGTAGATTTGTTGGTCGCTCTTCAAGGAGCACCATATTAGGTGGGACAGCGTTGCTCCCATAGTGAGGACAGATAGTAGGGAGAATGAAAGAACAGCCATGCCTTGTCCAGGATCGAACCCAGGACCTTTCTGATTTTAGGTCAGCTCTCGCACGACTCTTGTCGGCATATTTAAACCATTGCTTCATTTAATAAGAAATATTTGCTTTATCAACAATGGTATATTTCCTATTTCGTTTTAATTCTCAGAATTTTTTTTTAAAACTCTACGCTTTACATTACAAATTTTCTGCGGGAATTCGGGTTAGGAATACTTATTGAGAACGTCGTAATGTACCTTGAATGGGTAATCCATTGAGATGCTTGAAAAACACCCAGCCATTTTGGAGTTGATTGGAAGTAAAGTTGTCTCCAGTTTTTAATTCCACAATATTACCTGTGTCTAAAATTTTTAAAAGCTGTGTATTTTTAGGACGGTCAGCTAGCATAATAAATAATTTTTCCAATGTAGCATTTGACAAATTGAGTAAGTCTGTCGTAATCAAAAGGGAATGTCCTAATTGAAGCATAACACTATTCTCAACCATCAGTTTCGAAACATCAGTAAAATCTGAAAAAAAAGGAGAATTAATCAGATGTAAAAAAAGGTATGCTAATTTTTTATCACTAAATAAATTGATTACAAGAAAACATAGTGATTGAAATATTAAGATATAAATAAGATCTTAATTATTTTAAAAATGACGATTGTTTTTTTTTAATTATAAATAAAATAATTTAAATGTATAGTTTCGCTTTATCTTAAAAAATCACAAGACCCGCTATTTTGAGTGTTTTGCTGCCCAAAAACTGTATGACTAACAAACTTAAAATTGCAAAAGTGCGTACAGTAGGTTAAAAAAATGACGATCAATAATTAGTTCGAGGATTATTAATCATTAAACTTAATGTAAAGAAATACCTCGAAGGTCGTTCTGTAGGTCGTAAGGTAAGCAACTACACATTTGAAATTTAACGTGCTGAAAGATCTCCTTTAGTTTATGAGCGTGACACGAATTTTTTTAAATATTCTAATTTGGATATTCAAATGTCAGCGTTTTTCAATATTTTAATTTAAATGTTTTTACAATTTTTCTCACTTTTTTGTTTTACGTTGCATTTCATTTTGTAGCATAAAATCTCAATAGGAACTTGAGATTACAAAGTAGTGTAGAAAAAATGTACAGAACAGAAACTGAAAAAATGTACAGACTACAATGAAATGAAAAAAGGAGATTTGATTACTTTTTCGAGAATTATCAACTATTAAACTAGAAGTAAAAAAAAAAACCAATCCAGCTGATCCATAGCCATCTGAAATGCAACAACAGAGTTTAAATTTGACGCGCCATTTCCATTTATGTACTTAATGCGAGTTGCTTTTGAAATTCCAGTTTGTTCGAAAGTTATAGCATTTTTAAGTGCTCCTTCGCAATTCGTTTTACTTTTCATTCTTATTTTAAATAGGTAGGTAGGATTTATTTATATTTACACTAGACTTATATTATAGACTTTATTTACGTTGCACTAGAGCTGAACAATGGGCTATCGGCGACGGTCTGGGAAACATCCCTGAGGATGATCCGAAGACCTGCCATCACAATTTTGATCCTCTGCAGAGGGGATGGCTCCCCTGCTTTGGTAGCCCGATGACTTGCGCGCGTAGTCGAGCACTTTACGGTAGAACAGTTTAACGAAGAGTGATACCCCACACCCTTGGTCCCTAAGCAAGCTGATCAAAGTGGTCACCCACCCGCTTACTGACCGCAGACAGTGATGCTTGACTTCGGTGTTCTACTGAGAACCGAGTCCTTACAATCTGTCCAGTGTGGGACTGATCGTAACATAAACAACGATTAATTATCCATTAATGTAGAAAAATTTATTTATCTCTCTCAAGACCATTTTTTTAGTTCGCGCTTGACTTGGTGAAAAAATTAACAAAATAAACGAATAAATATAGAAAAATAGAATGAGAAATAAGATGTTACCAGTTGTAGATCGCTATATTTATATCGAAATATTCCACAAAATAATATTCCATGCATCTAGAATACTCCAGTATATTTTTCCGATTTCGCTTACATTATCTGATTTCAATTATTTTTAACTATTTTATTAAAGTTCGCAAGTTTTTGTCAGAACTTTTTCAAACCACTTAGTGAATAAAGTAACTTAGACATCGACGCAAGATTCACAACTTTTTAAGCAAAATAATTTGATAAATTTAATAAAATTTAATACATAAAATTTATTGTAACTTGTAATTAAATATTAAAGGAATGAATACTGCACTTCTACAAATTCTTGTGACAGGATCTCCATAAAGGTCGTCAGGACATGAATTCACACAAAATCTTTCCTGCAAAAAATATCCTTTTTGACATAAATCGCATTCCTCAGATGTTGTACAGTAGAGACAGCCTTCAGAACAAGCTAAAAAAAAAAGCTCATGCAAATCAAAAAGATAGTCCAGTTTTAATAGTAAAATGGCAAAATTAGCATTTATTTTAACGATTTTGGTTTTCCTTAAAACTAATGCAAGCAAACTAAAACCAAATATTAATGCAGATGAAAAAAAATCAGGATGGTGAGAAAAAATACCAATCGTAACTTAAATCTGTGATAAATGATAAAATGTGAATAAAAATTCTTAAACATATTTTATTTCAAGATTGAAGGACTACTTGTATTAGGTCAATACTGTATTGTATTTACTAGTGAATATTGTGTGACTATTTATAACTACTAATTGAGGAAACTCTAAACTTAGTGACCGAAATATTATTTAAAATTTCTGTTCTGCAAATTTTTCCTTAAAAAAGACGAGATTAAATAAGTAATCAGTTTTAAGACTCGGCTTCATTTGTTTTCAGTCAAAACAGGGGGAAAATATTTTCCTTAACACATTGTACAAAATTCCAATTACATTTCAGTATAAAATACCAGCACTTTACCTGTAGGTGCATCATCCGTAAAATCCATTTTAACCTAAAATCAATTTTTATCGTAAAATATTATATCGTAATTTTTGTAGTAATATTTATTTAATTAGAGTGATTCATTGATTTTATGGTAATTATTACAATAAAAATCAAAGTACATCAGATTTTTTGCTCCTTAACGTGTGCCGGTAAAAATGCTTTTTATGGTAAAAAATACATACCAACACCCTGAGTGCATGTGCTAGAGCAGAGGTCGCCAAAGTGGTCTATATAGACCCCCAGGGATCTATTTAACAAAAGTGGGGGTCGATGTGAGCCAGGGGGTCGAATGGGGGTCGATCCGAATAGGAAGTGTCGGTTGGGGATCGAAGAAAAAGCAGTTCTTAATACCCAAATCACACATACCTAATTAAGTATGTAAAATTCGTGATTTTTTTTATAATTGACTTCAGTTTTATAATTGATATCAGTTTCTTTATAGAACATAAATTAATAAACATGCACTTATTCAGATGAAACAAGTATTTACGTACCAGCTCGCAGTGGCACGAACTCTGCACTTCTGGTTTATAAGTCATATACGTATGTGCGATNTAAACTTAAAATTGCAGATGTGTGTTTAATGGGATAAAAAAATGACGATCAATAATTAGTTCGATGATTATTAATTATGATTAATTATTAAACTTACAGTAAAGAAATTATTAATTATTAAACTTACAGTAAAGAAATTATTAATTATTAAACTTACAGTAAAGAAATTATTAATTATTAAACTTACAGTAAAGAAATTATTAATTATTAAACTTACAGTAAAGAAATTATTAATTATTAAACTTACAGTAAAGAAATTATTAATTATTAAACTTACAGTAAAGAAATTATTAATTATTAAACTTACAGTAAAGAAATTATTAATTATTAAACTTACAGTATGACTAATGATTATTACTTATTAAACTTACAGTAAAGAAATACTATGAGGGTCGCTCTGTAGTTCGTGGGTGTACAACTACACATTTGAAATTTGACGTGCTGAAAGATCTCCTTTTGTGTATGACCGTGACTAGATTTTTTTTCAATATTCTAATTTGGAGATTCAAATTTAAGCGTTTTCCAATATTTTATTCTAAATGTATTTAAAATTCTTCTCACTTTTTTGTTTTATGTTGCATTTTATTTTGTTGCGTAAAATTCGTAGGCTTAGAAACTTGAAATTACAAAGTAGTGTAGAAAAAATGTACAGAGGACTACGATGAAATAAAAAAAAAGAGATTTGATTACTTTTTCGAAAATTATCAACTATTAAACTAATCGTAAAAAAAATACCAATCCGGGTGATCCACAGCCAGCTGAAATGCAACAACAGGGTTTAAATTTGATGTAAAATTTCCATTTATGTATTTAACGCGAGTTGTTTTTGAAATTCCAGTTTGCCCGAAAATTATTGCAATTTTAAATGCTTTTTCGCATTTTGTTTTACTTTTTATTATCATTTTAAATAGATAGGTAGGTAAGATTTATTTTTTATTTACACTAGACTTATAATATAGACTTTATTTACGTTGCACTAGACCTAAACAATGGGCTATTGGCGACGGTCTGGGAAATATCCCTGAGCATGATCCGAAGACATACCATCACAATTGTAATCCTCTGCAGAGGGGAGGGCTCCCCATATTTGATAGCCCGATGACCTGCAGGCGCAGTCGAGCACTTTACAGTAGAACATTTTAACGAAGAGCGATACCACGCACCTTCGGTTCCTAAGCAGGCTGATAAAAGTGGTCACCCACCCGCTTACTGACCGCAGCTAGTGATGCTTGACTTCGGTGTTCTACTGAGAACCGGATCCTTACAATCAGTCCACTGGGGGGCTGATCGTAACATAAACAACATTTAATTATCCATTAATGTAGAAAAATTTATTTATCTCTCTCAAGACCATTTTTTTTAGTTCGCACTTGACTTGATGAAAAAATTAACAAAATAAACGAATAAATATAGAAAAATAGAATGCGAAATTAAGTGTTACCAGTTGCAAATCGTAATTTTTATATCGAAATATTCCACAAAATAATATTCCATGCAGCGAGAATACTCCAGTATATTTTTTCTGTTCCGATTTCGCTTACATTATCTGATTTCAATTATTTTTAACTATTTTATTAAAGATCGCAAGTTTTTGTCAACACTTTTTCAAACCACTTAGTGATTAAAGTAACTTAATCATTGACGCAAGATTCACAACTTTTCATGCAAAATAATCTGATAAATAAATAAAATTTAATACATAAAATCCATTGTAACTAGTATTTAAATATTAAAGGAATGAATACTGCACTTCTACAAATTCTTGTGACAGGATCTCCATAAAGGTCGTTAGGACAAGAATTCACACAAAATCTTTCCAGCAAAAAATATCCTTTTTGACATAAATCGCATTCCTCAGATGTTGTGCAGTAGAGACACCCTTCAGAGCAAGCTAAAAAAAACTCATGCAAATCAAAAAGAAAGTCTAGTTTTAATAGTAAAGTGGCAAAAATTAATATTAATTTTAACGATTTTGGTTTTTCTTAAAATTTATGCATACCTACAAACTAAAACCAAATATTAATGCAGATGGAAAAAATCAGGATGGTGAGAAAAAATACCAATCGTAGCTTAAATCTTTTAACAATTTTTTTAATCATAAAATTTGAATAAAAATTCTTAAACATATTTTTGATTAATAACATTAAACACATAAGATTGAAGGGCTACTTGTATTAGGTCAATACTGTTACTATAAATAGTCATACAGTATTTGCTAGTAAATACTGTATGACTATTTATAACTACTTTTATTTTGCTAAAGAAAAATAAAATTGCTGAGACTTGGTAAACTTGGTGAACGAAATATTCTTTAAAATTTCTGACTTGCAAATTTTCCCTTAAAAAAGGCGAGATTAAATAAGTATTCAGTTGCAAGATTCGGCTACATTTGTTTTCAAACAAAACAGGGGGAAAACATTTTTCTTAACACATTGTACAAAATTCCAATCGCATTTCAGTATAAGATACCGGCACTTTAGATGCATTATCCGTAAAATCAATTTTTATCGTAAAATATTTTACCGTAATTTTTATAGCAATATTTATTAATTATGGTATATCAGATTTTTTGCTCCTTAACGTGTGCCGGTAAAAATGCATTTTAAGGTAAAAAATACCAACATCCTGAGTGCATGTGCTAGAGCATGTTTTGCATTTTAAATCGCAGGCTAAAAATAGAAAAAATACACAACACCCTCTTAAGCTTTTAATGAGAAAAGTTTTACTTTTTATTGTATTTTGATCCAGAATTTTTTACGGTGCTGGATTGCTTGTTAGAAAATACGGAACAAAATCCGACATGTAAAAGAAAATAAGTTCTTCTCATTTATTAAATAAATGAATATGTTCTTAAATTTCATTATTTTTGTGAGAGTAATATATTTTAGAAAATAAATGTGAATACTAATCTGAAATGACATTTAATTGATTAAAACATTTATATCAAGTTTCATTAAAAGTCAAATAATAATACTTACATTCACATTTCAACGTATCAAAATCAGCGAACCTTTTATTGCCGCAGTCATCAACGCATTGTCCATCTAATAGCAGAAGAGGCAGATCACACGACGTACATTTGTTTAAACTCGAACATGTTTTGCATTTTAAATCACAGGCTAAAAATTGAAGAAATATTAACATTCCTTTGAGTTTTTAATGAGAAAAGTTGTGCAAGAATTTTAAAAACTATTTTTGAATAAATCTTTAAAAATGCATTTTTAATTCAAAAAAAATGTTTATTTAACTACTTAAAAAAAGAAAACAATGAGAGTTTCTTAAAAAAAAACTGCTAATTATTCTAGGGGTTTTATTTTCATTGGTTTCGACAATAGATCTTTTACATTTGCTGTATTTACGTTGCCTTTAGGCAGGATGTATATTACATTAATTTTGTAAAAAATGAGTACTCAAAGATTATGTAATGTTTTTCGTTTTTGTGGAAAATGCTTTTTTTTGGGTAAATGATCCGAATACTTCGCCAAAGTGAAGGAGTTACTATGTTCACTTTTCTGGGGATACGAAATGTCTGTACCATGACGTCATTTAGTGCAAGTGGTTTTAAAAAGAAATAAAAAAATATTGGAATAGGTTGAAAAGAATATTGGAAGAAGGTATAGCTTTTGGAATGGAACACAAGCGAGGAAGCAGTTTCGTGAAATATTTGAGAGTTCGTATTCCATCAGAAATCACGAGATTTCATAATGAAATGGTTGTCAAAAATAATGAAATATTGCTCAATTGAAGAATCATAAAAAAAGAGGCCTCTATTTCTGAAAGTGGTAAACTAAGCATAGAAAAATTTACATGACGAATTGTTTGAATTAAAACCCCCATTTATTTCATTTAAAAGGAAGTATTACAATATTACAGCATTGTGGGAATCAATGGCAATGAAAAGGCAGACAAACTAGCCAAGAAAGGGACTCTCGAACCACAATGTAATAAACCGATTCCACCAGACTCCCTTAAAAAACGATTTTTCGAGAAACTTATGACCGACCTAAAGCACAACCAAGCAGTAAAATCCACCGGAAAACCCTGGGCTAACATCCAAAACAGTTGGAAGAAATTTTGTCTCAGTCCTCGTAAGAAGGCTGTGGCAAGCTTCAGACTCTCAACAGGCCATGACTGCTTGGCAGAGCACCTCAACAGAATAAGTATCCTTCCATCTAGTGAGTGCCGAATCTTCAATTCGGGAACCATGAACTCAGACCACTTGCTTGTATGCCCTTTACTGGACAAACAATCTCAAGAGCGGGGTGATCTCTGTGAACTTTACTGGGATGCCAGAGATCACACGAACTCTCTGTAAAGACTACTCTTCATTCTTCACTGTATATATATATTTTTTACTTTAATTTTATCTATGTGTTCTTTTTGTGTTTATATGCGTTTGTCATGTGTTTTCTTTGTTTGTTAATGTAATTTTGTTCCATTTTACTCCTTGTTTATGTCCACTTTAAGCTGAACATTGTATATGGATTAATANCAGTGATGCTTGACTTCGGTGATCTGCTGGGAACCGTGTCTTAACGATCAGTCCACTGCGGGACGAAAAAACAATGAGTTAATAAGTATTCCGTCACCATCAGGAATCGAACTTGGGATGCCTACTGGACGAGCAAGAGCACTAATCTCTGTACCATGCCGTCATTTAGTGCAAGTGGTTTTAAAAAGAAGTAAAAAAATATTGGAATATGTTAAAAAGAATATCGGAAGAAGGTATAACTTTTGTAATGGAACACAAGCGTTTCGCGAAATAGAGAGTTCGTGAGAGTTTCGTGAAATAGTTGTCAAAAATAATGAAATATTGCTCAATTAAAGAATCATGAAAAAAGAGGACTTTATTTCTGAAAGTGGTAAACTGAGCATAGAAAAATTCTGCATGACAAATTGTTTGAATTAAAAACCCAATTTATTTCATTTAAATGGAAGTATTACAACATTACAATATAAATCTACAATGATTGATTTATAAACATACAACATTATAAATCAAAATTACTTACTTTCACAAACACCGTCATTTTCATAGAACCCATCGGAGCAGTGGTCAATACAAGATCCATCTTCGAGTAAACTTCCATCAACGCATGACAAGCAATCAGTGTCTGATGGACCCCTACAAGAACTGCATTTTTCCGGACATTCTAAAGAACACATATGTATTTTTTATTTTAATCATTCGCACAAATTTCATTTTAAAGTAGCGAAACAGAATAGTTTTGACCTTTGCATCGGCGACTAATTGCATCGACGTAATGATGACTAGTGCATGTCCAGACGCATTTTCCGAATTCTAACACCAAATCTCCTTTGCATTGGAGACATTTCGAAGCATCAGTGCAATGGTGACAATCAGAGTTACATGCTAAAATTTCAAAAGTTGATAGAATGAAGTTAAATCTATAAAAATACACACCAAAGTTAAGCCTAAAAATCGTAAAAGAGTTTTAAATTAAAACTCATTTGCTGAATTAGTCAATTTATACCAGTATTTTTAAATATGATTGAATAAACTGATTCAAATCTTCGTAAACTGATCCAAATCTTTGCACCAACAGGTTAGCTACAGTTTGAGGTACGTTTTTTTTTCTCTTAAAGTCCTTATTTCTGAGAAATGTGACGTATAAGTTTTAATTATGTGACTTTCATAGTAATCAATACTTTATTATAAAATTAATTAAATTAAGTAATTTAAATAGCTACATCCCAACTATTTCCAGCTACAGTAACACTATAGATAAATATTCAACAGGGAAAAAATAATATTTTATACTGGGACGAGCTTAAAATAAGTGTCTATCTAAATGCATTTCATTTATAAAGAAATTTAACATAAAAGAGACTTAGGGAAATAAAAACTTATAAAAGCTTAGTTTAGTTAATAGTATAAAAAAGAATTATTCTATATAGCTACAATAGAAAAAGTTAAATGAGCAAAGAAACCTTGACAAAGTCCGTTTGCAGGGAAGTATCCTCTATGGCAATAGGGTTCACAAGTTCCAAGATGAGTTAACAAACTACCTTTCCAACAGCTAACACAGCTGCTTGCACCGCTTCTCTCACAGGTTGCACAAGTTGGATGGCATTCTAAGGAAAGATTTAAAATTGTTAAGAATGAAATTTTGGAAGTGAAGTAAAAGTGTCTTAAAGAAATTAAAGAAAAAACTTTAACTAAATATAGAAGGCTTTTCAATGAGAATACATACGTAATTTTTAATTACATAATTTTTAAGGTATCCGACTGAGTTCGACAGAGTATTTTTGAAAACAGCAAATTTTATTTTTGTTAAGCAAGGCTTCTAAAATTGTAAATCTAAGAGTAAACTTCAAAAATTTATAAAGTACTTTTTGAAATTAAGAGCAAATTTAAGCATAGAAACTACAAATTTTTTTATGCCTACAACAAAAAGCAATACATAAATATCAAAATAAATTTTTCTAGGTCAATGATATCGGGACCTGAGTGTTTAACTAGATTATTTAAAATATTTTATCTATACAATGAGATATGGTTCAATATTGATTTTTTGAAGAAAAATTCTAAACCTTTTTAGTTAAAGTACGACAAAAATGACAAATTCACATTTTAACCTTAGCTTTTAGTTCGGAGCATAGCTGACATTACACAAACTCCATATACAGAATTTCAAAGTATTCTATTTTTAGCTTTTTTTTTGTGTGTTAGTGTAAAGAGATTCAAAATCAACGTTCTTCTGAAAATGAATTTTAAGTATTCAACGGACATAGCTGCCAAGTTGTTAAAAACAAAAATATGCATATGCCTATTTTTGCAAAAATTTTACCTTAGCCCTTGTTAGGTTTAAAATTGGCTCAACATGGGTCCTATAAGAACATGCACCGAGAGACCAATATTGGAATGTCTCGATTTTTTTAATAATGGTTCTAGAATGGCCTATATAAGACCTATATTGGCCAATATAGAACCTATATTGGCTAAATAATGGATCTAAAATATTGGGTTAATCTGACAGTTCTATGTAGGACCGATATTGGTTGTAAAGTAGCTGTAAAAAATCGGGTGAATGGGATAATGCTATATAGGGCCAAGATCGGAAAAATAACGTTCCTTTTAACCCTTATTGATCCAAGATGCATGAATATTGGCCCAAGGAAACAAAAGGTAAGTGACAAAAATTTAAAGAGATACAGAAAGTTAATGAACAGAAGTTCAAATGTAAACAGTAAAATTTAAAAGAAAATTCGAAATTTTCGTCGAAATTGCCGATTTTCCTCCAATTGTATACCTTAAAGAATATAGCAGCAAATTTGTTTTCAAAAAGTAACAAAGTATATGCATTGCTGACAATTATTTTGATAACTAAGTTCATAAAAGTTATGTTCTAAACATTAATAAAAGTTGAAACATTAAGTACAAAACATTAATTGAACAAAAAATTTAGAAATCTAAAAATTCGTCGATATTCCTCTAAATTAACTTAAAGGCAAAGCTTTAAAACTATGTTTTATTCTGTTGTTGGTTTTTTTGCATGATACCAAAATTTTTTTTAAAACATTGTTATACAGTTATTGTTTACAATTTAAAGTTTGACTATAGTCAGGATATCAATAAAACTTAAAAATCGGCTGTATGATGCATTTTATATGTTTTTCATAATATCGAATAAATACTAACTAAGGAAATGCAATCTTATTTAAAGAGCTTTAAAGAACACGCTAAGTTAGTTTAAGAAACTTAACTATCATTTGCACAGAAGAACAAATCTTTTTACTTAAAAAACAATTAAAAGTGTGGCAAAATATATTAATTTTCATTTCTTATAACTAACGGTAACATTTTTTATAGCAAATCAGTGTGATTTTAAAATATTGAAGATGTTTATTCCATTTAGGTTCTTCATTCGTTAAAAATGAACACAAAAGTACACTGTTAAAAATTTTTCAGAAAAAAAATGGTTAAATGAATTTTTTAAAAATTATTATTTTGCCTTATTCTAATAAAACAATCAAATAACCATTAATAGCATGGTATTAAAACAGTTAACTAAGGAAAGACATATTACAGCGGAGAGGGTAGAGGGCTAATCTGTCAATCTCATGAACGACTTTACAGGGGGGTCAAGATCCCCCCCCCCGTTGACACTACTATATTTCCTCCATTCCCTTCAACACATGCTGGTTATTTTCGAGTGAAAATTCTAACAGTGTAAGAAGATCATTTAAAAACTACACTTAACATGAATTTCCTCTTAAGACCGTTAATTATAAAAAATGAACATGAAAGAATATCCTTTAAAAACTACATTCAAGAATGATTTTCTACTTAAGATCGTCCTTTGTTAAAAAAAGAATTAGAAGGTAAGAATATCACTTGAGAAAAGTTTCTCCTCATGATTTTTCACAGAGTACTTTAAACGTTAAAAACGAGAGGTCATTATTAAGAGATAAAATACTAACCTTGGCAGAACCGATATGAATTCAAATAATAATTAGGTGGACAATCATGAACACATTCTTCATTTAGAATGGACAACTGCTGATTTTTACACTGTAAACATTGAACACTGTCACTTTCTGTGTGATTAAGCATACAATCGTTGCAAGATGCATGGCAATCTTAAAAGAAAAATAATAAATTTTACTCTAAAATAAACTTCAAATAATAAAGATTGTTTTAACTGCACCCATTGCTATTAGGGACTGATCATAGAAGCTTAAGGGTAGCTTAGTCATTGATTTTTAACTATACAGGGTGTTCTATAACCGCTTTATCTATATATTTAAAATCCTTGTTAAAAAGGAAGCTAAAGAATACACACGATAAAGATAACAATTTAATATTTAAGTAAGAGAGAAACAAAAATGGTTACTAAATATTCCGTAACATTGGTAACGAAGGTAGAATAAACATATCAAAACCAGTTTCTTTGCCTGATGGGATCAATTGTGTTTTTAATAATCGCCTTTTAACTCCTCTCTGCATTTACTGGCAATCAAACAAGTTTTGATGACTTAAATCTTGTTTTTCTCAGAGTGATTCGTTAAATTTTAATTGCGTTTTTGTATTTAATTTTCCGCCAACCGTTCCGCCGTGATAAAAATGTTGCGATTTGGATGGCCAAAATAAACTACGACACAAAAATATTCAAAATATTTCTCAATTGTGCGTTTTTTTCGTGAAATGTGTTGTTCTCTCGTGAAGTCTTCCATTTTTAATAAATCTGAGCTTCCAATCTCTTCTTAATTCTCTCATAAGTAGCACAAAATTCAAATCCTGCTTGAGTTTTTAGATACTCCTCATAAAATGTTCTTTTTCGTTTCTTTTTTTTTACACTGATGCAACTTGCAGCAAAATTATATTATGGAATAACATTACTTTTCTTTTTGAAATATTGTGTGGTACGTTATATATCTAAAATATTTTTTTTGAAATCAAACTAATACAATTTAATAAATATGGATTGAAAAAATTAGACGTATTTGATGTGTATAGGAGTGAGGAGCAATTGAAAAGTATGTTTAAATGAAAGGCAATTTCCTTGCTAATTTGATTTGTATGGATTTTTCTTTATCGTAAACTCACATTTAAAATTAAATAAATGACAATTCAAACAATATATCAGATAAATAGTATAATAATCAACCTCGGCAAGAGCCCTCCACGTCCAAAAATTTCCCATCTTCACACTCAGAAATACATCGTCCATACTTGAAGTTTCTTCCGTGAGGACAAGTGTAGCATTCTTCTTCGCTGAATCCATAGCAAGTTGAACATGATGGGTGGCAAGCTGGGGAAAAAAATAGGCAAACATTTTGGTCAAGTTATTCATGCTTGGAAATTAAAATAATATTGCTATTTTCAGTCTTAAAGAAAACTGAGAATTTTCATTCCCATTAATATTTGATCCACAATGTGAGAATATGCGCATTAATTTACACGGCAAAAAAGTTCGAATCAAATTATGGTATAAAATATAACTTTGGGTGTATCATCCGTAAAATTCATATTTACGTCTAAATATTATACTGCAATTTTTAAAGTAGTATTTACATTTGATTAAAGTAATTCAATGATTTTACGGTAGTTGTTATTGTAAAAATTCCGGAAAGATAGATTTTAACGTAATATGATCCGAAATTTTTTACAGTGTATACAGTCAATGCCAAATCGTCTTCAAGAGTTCCTCGCCACCAAAGAGATATAGCATTTATGAATGTATTTAAGAGCAAACAAGTATAAGCAAGAATTTTAAAACAATTATGAATCTAGTCACATTTTTTTTTAAGCGCGATTTTTCACTTCGTCCCAAATTTTTTGCACAGTGTATTATTTGTAATTCCATTGAAATTAATATGCTTACCGTAACATATTCCGCCATCTTGAAAATACCCAGCAGAACAATGAGGTACACATCTACCATGTTTATAATATAGTGGAGTAATACAAGATCTACAATCAGTATCGTTTGCTCCAAAACAGGATTCACAAGATTCATGACAGGCTAAAAATACATTTGTCTAAATACATCATTCATTTATTATTTCCCAAATTCACGAAAATTATTATTTAAAATAATACTTACTCATACAGACGCCATCCTCTGATAAAAAGTAACCACTAGGACAATTTTCTACACATGGTCCAAAATGAGTACCAATATAAGGTAATAAATAACCACTCGAGCAGGTTAAACATTTGTCCGCAGAAGAGCCACCTAAGCAAGAGCGGCAATCTGCATGGCAAGCTAAAAACATTTTTCATTAAAATTAGATTTGTTGCTCCAAATTATTAATCCCCCCTCTTAGTATAACATAACTTGTTTACATCGTATTGTCACTGTAAAGTAAAATTTCTTCATGTATTTAGCATCCATTCAAAACCAAATAAAACTGGTTAGCAATTGAAGACCTTATTTATTTATTTATATTTTTAACAAAGAAGATTTGCAAGAAAAAAATTTAACAAATAAAACAGTATGTCAATCTTAAGTAAGGCTAGTTTCAAGGTTTAGCTACAGTAAAAATCGCAATGACTATCAATAATAATACTGGTTTTACGTTTTAAGTTACAGCTTTAACTTGTTAATGTATTTTGTTAATTTAAATTAGTTAACAAAATTTTTAATTCTATCACATGTATTTTATTTAAAAATATTTGATGGTATTGCTCAGAGACTGATAAAAATGAAAATTTATTCAGAACTTTTTTATAATTCCAAAATGCTAAAACAAAATTTAAGACCGAATTTTCTATTACATTACTTTAAGGTATGATATCAAAGTTAAAATAAAATTTAAACCTCCACAGTGTAGTAATTTAAAAGAATGTAATAATTCAGGTAAATTTTTAATGAAAATGTAAGAAAAGTAAAACAAATGCGTATAAAAATATTCATATACAAATACTTTTATATTAGATAATACTTTAAATAATACAATATTATACTTGTTTACTTCTACAAATTCCAGCCCCAAGATCTCCGAAATAGCCTTGGCCACAATCCCAAACACAAGAGTTTTCAAGTAGAAATTGTCCGAAAGGACAGCTTGTGCATTGATAGGCTAAGGGTCCGTAGCATCCTTGGCAATCAGAGTGACATGCTATTATTAAAAATAAGATTTATTTTTTAAAGAATCATTTATGTCATGAATAATTAATATTTTCACATTTCTGAAAGATAAATTTATATAGGATTCGCATATTACTAATTACTAATCAGTTAATTTTCTTATCAAGAGCTAAGAATTTCTGATCGAAAGATAGTTAAGAACAAAAGTTTAAGATATTTTAAAATTCGATTCTGCAAACTTCATTCCAGTAAAGGAAATTTAAAAAATATTTCCATCAAGTCATTTTCTATTGAAATGAATTAAAATTAACACAATTTATTTTTAAATAAAATCACACACTTAATAATGGTTATGCTCAAAGAAAAAGTCAGAAAAGGGTCGAAAATTCAGGGTAAAAAGTGTTAAATAAAAGCAATTTTTTTTATAGAATTATAACAAATTAAAATGTTAACCTTGTTTTAAAGTGCCATACCATTTTAATTTTAAAGCCGAAGTACGTTGCAAAAATTCTTTGTCTTACTCTGTACACTGAAAAAACTGCGGTGTAATAATTCTCTGAATTTGATGTTGATAAACCCCAAAAATTGCGTAAAGAAATACTTTTATTTAAGGAATTCTATATGAAAAATGGATTTGGTTAATATCAAATCCAGGGACATTGACGTAAACTAGTTGACACGATTTTTGTTGTTAAGATACACGGATATTTTTCACGGTGTATGAATTAACGAGAAAAAAAAGTTTTCTGATTAGCCGTTCTCAATATCGCTTCCCAAAATAATATAATTTTACCGCACATATTATTCTTTCTATAGCATACAAGGTGTTCCAAAATTTGTCCGACAAATTAAAACGGTTGATAAGAAGCATCAAGATAAAAATTTAATAGTGGAACATAGTTCATTGAGCGGGTGAAAAACGCTTGCAAGCTCTCACTCTCATCTTTTTAAATCCCACCCACAGTATCTTAAATCATATATTGCGATATCAAAAGTAGCCTGGGAATGTTTGAGTACGTCTTGGAATCATTTTTACGTCGTTGTAGATTGTGAAATCACATCAATGGATGCCACTTCAAACAGCACTTGTAAATGAACACCACTTTATAAGCGAAAAAAAATTGATGTTTCGAATGTTAGAGGACTCTGGCTTAACGCAAATAATGACACTGAAGTGTAAATTTCATTTAAAGGTACTCACATATACAATATGCATCTAGAAATGTGTAATAACTAGCAGAGCATTCAGGTACACATTCTTCCTCTTCAAGAAAATAATTCTGCTCACAATACTGACACGTGCCATCCTTTAAACATCTTGCGCAGCTTTCATTACACTCTGGAATTGAAAACTTTGTCAAGTAATTTTATATCGTGTAGTATAAAGAAAGTGAAACTCGGCAAATACTCGAATGAATTAGTTGAAAATAGAATTTAATATAAAAATACAATTATCTTTTTCATAATATTAGTAATTTTAGAAGTTGATTACCATTTGAAACATTCAGTCTTTAAACCAGCTCCTATCAAGATTTTGATTTAGTTAGAGTATCTAGAGAAATACCTCAACTGCCAGTTCTGGATTTTGATAAAAATGGTGTCCTTAGAAAGTCTTGTCTTAGGAGAAATAATGACAATGGAACTTCCCGCCTGCGGCAATGGTTTTCCATTGGTTCTTCTATTGATATTATTGTTCCATTGTTATTATTGCTCCCCAAGACAAGACCTTTCCAACAGTACCACTTTTATGAAAATCCAGAACTGGCACTTTCTCTAGTCCGAATTTAACTTGTACTTTTCAGCTGCTTAATAAAAACTCCGTTACTTTTATATGATGAATAAAATTACGAAAAAACAAATGTATAAATTAATGAATTAAAAAGAACTTTATTTATTTTAAGTTTTAATTAAAGCTGATTTTTTTACAGCTGATAATTACAACGCGGGGCACACAGCCATACAATTACTATAGCTTCAATAAATATAAATTTTAGTGACATTTATGGTGGATAGATTTAGAGTTATGAGTATTTGTTAATATGATAGCATGTCAAGAGTTACATCGAGTTAGTAACTATAGAAGGTAGAGTAACGAATCTGTTTGAAATGGTTACTGAGCAATGCTTAAAAAAACATCTATAAGTCAAACATACCCATACAATTATTATCCGAAACATAAAAATGCCCCACGCAATTATCAACACATTCACCATTTTGAAGCAATTGGCCAGATAATGCGCATATTATGCAGTCATTGTGATTGGGTCCTTCACAGCTCCCACAAGATTCATGGCACTCTGAAATGAAAAACTTCTCCAGTGATATAAGTAAATAAAACATTTGCATACGTATATTTGTTTCAAATCAATAAAGTAAAATACAAACCTAAACAAATATTTCCAGAAGCGAAAAAATTCGGACCGCATTCTTTGACGCACCGTCCTTGTTGCAGAAAAAAACCTCGGTGGCAGCTAGAACACTGGCTACTCATACTTCCAAAGCAATTTTTGCAAATAGAAGGGCACTCTAAATGTAAAAATAAATCACTGAGTTAAATGCGTCAAATAATTTATATTAAAAACATTAATTGTAGTGTTTGTGTTCCAAATATCCTCTGGGCAACATTAAAAGGATATTTTGTATAAACTTTTAATTCATTCTCTGCTAGCGAATAATTTTATCAATTTTAAGTATCTCTTTGAAATAAATATTTTATAGGGAAAGAAAACATTTGATTGTTTTTTTTGAGTGTGATTTTAGTATGTCTGGAAAATATTGCGTACACTATTTTGAATCTTCATAACAAATAAAAGGAATTTACTTCCTCAATGTTAACCTACTGAAAATAATATGTCATGAATTTTTTTATTTATTCAGTAACTATTTACCTGTTTGAAATATCCCCCCCCTTTTTTAAAATTTCAACCCCTTTTTTTAATTTCGAACATTTAAATATTAAGCATTTTTTAATATTTTTTGTTTCATTTTATTCAATTAAATATGTACTATTGAAATGAGGCACCGAATTTTAAAATTTCAACTACGTTTAACAATTTTAAAGCTCTTTAAAGTTTAAGAATTAAACATGTTACGAATTTAACATTTAAAATTCCGTAAAATTCAATAGAGCTGCATATTTCAATGAATAAAGTTGTATTTTAAAAATTCGATTCCTAAGGAACTATTTGACCGATTTCCCTTAAATTTTGTATTTTGCCTTGTAAAATTATATTGTAAAATTATCTATCTATCTATCTATCTATATCTAATATATATATCATAGAAATCTATATTTCACTAACTTATAGAGTAATCTATATTTCCCTAACTTATCTAGTATACTATATTTCCCTAACTCATCTTATCTAGTAATCCATATTTTACTAACTTATCCAGTAATCTATATTTCACAAACTTATTAAGTAATCTATATTTCATCAACTTATTTAGTAATCGATATTTCATTACCTTATCTAGTTATCTGTTTCCCTAACTTGACTAGTAATCTATTTTTGACCATGAACTNTACAATATATATATGTTTCTATTTACTTAATTTTTGACCAATTAGCCTTTTTTTTCAAACACTTTCTATTTACAAGGTAGCAATTATTTAAAAAGGAACTTCTAGATTGCACCGTGTGGGAATAGTTAGCGGACAGTTAATAAAAGTGAGGACAATCTTTAATAATTTAATTATTAAATATTCTTAATAATTTGGACGTTTAAACCCATACTTAATAATTTTAAATACTTATTAAACGTTTAAAATTCCTGACTTTCTGTCATTGAGAATAATAAATAAATAATTTAATAAACTAAAAAATATTATATTTAGGGCTATTTAAACATAGCCACAGTAATAAAAAAAAAGTACGAAATGGGGCCAATGTATTTATCGGACTCAAAACACCGAAATGGCAACGGGGCCGAAGCGGCTGGACCGAAATGTCAGGGTCGAGATCTCTGTTCCTGGGGAATTTGCACTAGATGTATGTATTTGACAGGACGTACTCCATTTGCAACATTGTATAGTTATAATATCGTGTAGTCAATAATATCGTGTATTTAAAAATATCGTGTAGTTAAGTTTAAGAAAAGATTAGTATGTACGATTGCATGGTTTTAATTTTGCAACATATTTAGGTCGGTGCAAATTTGAACGATTTTATGGTTTATTTTGCTTCAAGTGAAATGTTTTTTTTTGGGAATATACCATTTACCGATTTAGGATTTAAGTTTTCAATACCAACTTTTGCATTGTCTTTTTTCATCTTCATAAAAACCATCAGGGCATTTCGAAACACACTGCCCATCAAGTACCACACTGCTTAAATCCCTGCATTCAGTACAAATGTTTATGTCATCATCAGCACATTTCAAACATTCTTTAGAGCATAAATCTAAAAATAAGAAAAAGTATAAACTGTTTAAATAATGAAAAAGTCGAAATAAGTACATTTATTATGAAATCTAATTATTAAATACACAATATAAATCGTGCCAAGAAATATATTAGCCACATATTGAGGCTACATACTTTTAGAACAAGGGCAACATTCTGAACTGTCAGTTGAACTGGAATCACATAAAGGACATTTACGAACATAACAATTTATTTCTTCTGCTGATGTTACACACAATGTACACGGATCTTTCCATAATAAATTGATTTCCTAAAGAAATTGTTTAAAAAAAATTAAATCACAATAATTGAGCTAACTTGTAAACATATTTATATCTTTAGCAGTTATTTTGGTTCCTGCACTAAAGAACTTCAGAAGAGAACATCTTAATACACTATTATTTTCTTCTATACTTAAACTACAGATGGATGAAACTTTAAACGTTTAACAAGAAATTGTATTATAGCACATGATCAATTTTCGACAAAACTACTACTACATTAATAATCTAGTTAATATTTATTTTTGATTCAATAGCTCTTTCTTATCTTAAAACTTAAACACAGAAGAGGAAAGGAGGCTAGGACAGTTCAGTCAAATAATTTATAAGTGGAAGTCATTGCATGGAGTTTCACTGCATTTAACTATTTACTTAGTTAAATTATGTTTGGACAAAAAGTACCTTTAGTAAATTTATTGAAATGTCACAATCTCTTAAAAGTAAAATAGTTTGAGTTTGTCGAAAGTAATTTTGAAAAATTTAATAGTTATATATATTTTTTATAAAACTTATTTAAATAGTAAGGAATGAATTAGGTTTATGAATAATAATGAAAATGAAAGCAAATCCCTATTATTGAAAAGTAGTAAGTTAAGTGAATAAGGCCATGAGCATATTATTATTGAATTTTAAACAATTACTAAAATTTAATAAAAAGTATCTTCTTATTAATATTTCAAAATTAAAAACAATATTTCGACTGAATGTACCTCTTTGGTTCTTGATTCAGTATTACAATTTCTTGAAACATTGAAACTTTGATTGGAACACTTATTTTGAGCACCTTCAATAGGAATCTGAAAATAAACGAATCTAATGTGAAATTTAAGAGTTAATATAAATTACAATGTTTGTGATGAACTGGTTTTCGACGTGTGTTATGATACCCTTCTAATTTTATTTTCAATTTTTAAATTTAGAGCTCAGGTGCTTATACCTGTCCTTTGAAAAGTTTGAATCCAAGAAACTAAAGTATCAAAAAGAATTTATCTATAGAGATGTCAAAGCCAGAAGCTAAACTACAGCACTTGAGTAGAATAAATCCATTGATTGTCGTTTGTACCATTTCTATTGGATGATTCACACTCTCAACTCAGTAGAAATGTAATCCTATTAGTTGCTATCTGTAATTGATTGATCATTGATGGATTTCCAGTGGACAAGTAATTAGAGTGACGTCAGCTTAGACACTTTGACAATGGGGTGTGAACAAACTATGATTAATAAAAATTGAATTAAATTTGGGTTGACATACTTTTGTAACAAAGATTTTGTGTAGATACTTGAAAGGCAAAAGTTATTCTAAAGTCAAAACATTAACTGGTAACATTGCATAATAATTTGAAGTGAGAATATGAAAGAGGTATTTCACTTATCATTAAAACTTCATAACTTGAGCCCGCTTGCATCAACTTCCTTTTTTTTAATGGCATTATCGAAATTAAGAGGTCTTAACTTAGCAGGGTCACAAATGTTTTTGGGAGAGTTGTATTCAAACTGCTATGGTTCAATGATTAAGACCATGGCGCACTAATATTTGATATCTTCAATACATATATGTACGCCTAAGTTAAGACACTGGTCTTTTTTCTTATAACCGTCGTTGAACAACCGACCCAATTTTTAGGATCTATGACCTACTAATGTTCAGCTCCGTAGCCTTGTAATTTTGGACCCAATCCAGAAGACAAGGGAACTCCTGGATCAAGAATTGGGAAACATTTGTCTTTGTGGAGTACATCTTGATGAAACTAACCCGAATGAAACTAACCCGAATGAAACTACAAGGTGGGAAAAACCATGAAAACCTCCAACGGTTAGGCTGACGGAAAGGGGATTTAAACCCATGATCCTTTACCTATGAGGCTATTTTTACGTTAGCACTGTGGTTGGTGCAAATCGGACGAGGAATTCGAATCGACCAGCTGTCGCTTGGATTCGAACCTGGTTCGTCTCATTAGAAGGCAAACGCTCTATCCCCTGAGCAATCACGGCTCAAGACACTGATCTATCATTGTGTGAAGAACCAATGTTTTATTCCCATGTGTGGCTTGAAGCTGTACCAGCTTTTGATTGATGTATATCAGCTGATCTGCCTACTGATGGTAGCTGGTGCACAATACTGATAGAAATTGTGGAGCTTAATCTCCATGACCCTCTTTCTATTTACAACTTGCAGTTTTCTGTTGCGGGAGTGCTTTAAATTTTTATAAATTGCTTTTTCAAACACATAAGGATTTTCGTTGTCCTGGAATTTCTAGTTCTTCTCTGAGATACTTATAAAAATTTGGTTTATAATATGTGTAGGCTCATGTGTATCTAATTTTCTTAAAAACAGAAATGGTAAGGTGTGGAAATAGCTCACTTAAAATAGAATAAACGAATAGAATATAACAGTTCTACTTACTTAGACAGTAAATTAATAAATAAGTTTTCAGTTGTAAAACAATTCTTACCATGTCATTTTCAGAACTTTTACAGTCAGATACGCAAACAGGGCAACATTTACCAAGTGGTGTGATAAGTGTTTCTCCCTGAAATTAAATTTTAAAATTGTTACTATCAATATTTAATTCATACAAGTATATTTTATCCATCTACTAAATTTCACAAGGTGAGCACACAAGATTTCTTCATAAGGAATATTAACTTTCAATAAAAAGTAATTGTAGTGAAGCAAATAAAAAAAAATTATTTAGTAAAAAAATTAGCTGAGTTTTATAAATGCTGCAAGCTGATTCGGCGCATTTTGTAATGCCAAAAGCTTCTTGCAATTGTAAGTTTTAATTGTAAATAATTGTAAATGTTTTCCCACAGTGCCTGATTATTTTACATATAAGTAATAAAAAGTAGTAGTAAAAAAAGTAAGTAGCGAATAAAAAAATATTGGGATCAAAGATAGAGATGAACTTGTCCATTCGATAGATAAATAAAAAGCATCACCAGTAAATTACTGATACTGAGAAAGTGCAAGCATTTCCTTCTTGATGGACGCATGATTTAAAGTTATATAATCTGGTTATTTTTTTTTAACTATACTCAACAAATAAAATTTATCAAATTCTAGTTTAAATAATAACGACAAAGAAATGTCTAATTTGGCATTTACCAGTACCTACAGTTGAATCTCCTTATTCGAAACTCATATAAAAATATAACCTGTAATGCTTTATCTATAACTATCTAAGTTGTTTTACTCGAGTAGCTCACGGTGAATCTAAGTGAAATTGAATCCATTTGCCAAAAATCTCAGTTACAGTTAGTAATAATCTCATTACCGTTTAAATATTTTAAAATTGGTGAAGATGAATAGAAGTCGGCTTAAAGATCTTAGTTCATTGACAAGAAATGAATATAAGGCTTGTTTTATGAAAAGAGCCTTAAATTAATCAATTACTCATTCAATTAGGTCGGGATAGCTGGTTGGCAAGGCGCTAGACTCACGTTCGTGAGAACGGCAGTTCGAATCCAGTAGGCCGAAGATTTCTTGTGTAGTAAATGGTGACTGGTGCACGTTAAATCTGTCGGGTCACAAAGTCCTCCATGTTCCTCTGGGGGTACTAGTTCGGAGATTGATTGTTTTCTGATTCATATCAAAACTACGATCAGTGGATGAATGGATGGATGTATGGATGCGTTCACCCTACAAACGGGTGTGACGTATGGGTGCAGCAAAGCGAGAGTTTTTGGCCCTAGATGGCGCCACTGGGAAGCAAGTGCAATCGCCAATCCAATGCCTAAATGACCTACGACAGCAATAACAACTCATTCCATTGGAAGTGCACATTGTATAGAAAAGTAAAATTTTTTATGACATGAAATTTTAACAGAACTAAACTAAACAGAAGACATTACTCTGAATAATAGAATCCGAAATCCCCTGCAGCATATCTCAATTGATTGCTGTTTTGGAGAGTAGTTTAATTTTATCTATTTCTTTTTGGAAATTTTTGACGAAATCCGGAAGCACACATATCGTCTTACTCCCCCTCTCCCCCCCAAAAAAACGCATAATTGATTAGTATTGATATAATCTTACTTGTGAGCAGATTAATGATGGACACTGAATAAGATGAGGAATAATTGAGCCATCTTGACATTGGTATAAAATACACCTAGATCTTCCGAACCATGCACTAGTGTCTGTATGAGATGCTGACCCATCAGCACAGGATCCTAAGTTAATAAGATAATAAACTAGCATTAAAATTTCACATACATATAATTAATTTTATTAAAATTATAAAATTAATCACTCATATATAAATATAAGATTCAGTTTTTTTTACTGCTTGGATAAATAATGAATTTGCAGTTAAAATAATTACTATGATCTCTTAAAAAGATAAAAGTAAATTCGAAAACAAAATATTAAAAATTTCTTTCAGAAAGTTTTTGCAATTAACAGAACTGAAATGCATTTATTTTAACTCATATGCAATGTATTTTGATTCTTATTTATTTGTTACCACACTGAACGTTTTTGGTATTTTTATTCAATATCAATAAAATTATATTTTAGTGCTTCATTTTATCTTGAGTGCTATTAAATTTTTCTAAAATTTTTAAGTGATTCTTAAAATTATTTTGGAGATAATTATTTTAAGATTTGTGAAAACGTGAATAATTTTTAAATATTTATAATAGTTATGTTTTTGTGCTAGTCTTGTAACTCTTTTTAATAAATCAATAAAATAAATCGTCATTAACTAATTTTTAGCGTTTATTTCTCTTAATTTTTATGTCATGTTACGTGGATCTTTTTTTTTTAATAATTTTAAAGTCTCACATGAAAGCAGCTTTTTGCTTATCAGAAAGTAACTAAGTATATTTAAAAATTATTAATTAATAAATTAATTTGTATCTTGTAAAATATTTTTATAAAATGCAATTGTAAAAATGATTCCTCTATTAGAGTCTCGCTAAATTTTAGATATTTGCAACTTTTTGTGATTTGGTATGCTAGTTTAAAAAGCTCTTGTCGATCTCCATAACAGCTTTTTGATAGTTTTAGACTCAATGTAGTTTTAGACGTAATAGTTTCGTACGTAGTTTTAGACTCGCTCTTTTAATATCACTAAATTACAAAAAATTGAAATAAATTACAGTACAAAAGTCAATGAACTAGTGTTATAACAGAATAACTTCATAATGACAATAACAGTTTTAAAAAATCTTGATTTTAAAATAATGGGAAGCATAAAAGTAAAACTCTTCATTCATACCTTTAGAAGATGTGCATTGTGGGCAGCATGAATCTCGTGAAATCACTTCATTGCTTGCGCAGTTAAGGATAGGGCATGCTACATTTGAGCAGCTTACGTTCCCTGAGTCACAGTGGCATATGCTACAAGAAGAATTCCAGACTGCTCCATTCTAATAAATGTAGGGAAAAGTGTTAATTTTGGAGATGAAGGACTAACTGGAAGAAAAAACTGTTGTAAAATAAATAAACAAACAAACAAAAAATAAATAAAGAACTTCGAACAATATTCGAGTAATATAATATAACAAAAATCCTACATTTTCAAAATTTTTCTGTAGGTTTTAAACGAAAAAAAACGAAACAATTCTGATTTCCATGGAATCAATCAAATGTGGAGTTATGGAAGATTCCAAAAACTTGGCAAGCCTCTATCTGGAACCTATTTTCATTACAAATGTCACTTATGGAAAAACTATAGCTTACCCCTGCATTGCTCCAATCCCTTTAATAACACTGGAAAACAATGATTTTTTTCCATTGCATGAGATTTTTTACTGGTTCTTGCGTATTTTCACTTCAAATCTGTAATCGGTTTCTCACTCTAATCTACAGTTTTTTTAATGATATTTTTAGTCTATGTCGAAATGTCCGAGTTTAAAAGCGTTATATATAACAGGGGGTTGCGTAAATGCTGCGACAAATTTCCAGGGAAATTAGGGCACATTTTAAGTATTAAAACTGCAAAAGAATCTATGACAGAAAATGCTGTCATACGCCGCTAGGAGCACCCCCCCTTTTACGAACTGTTCATACGTGTGCTTCTGAACAGTTATTCGTTTAAATGACGAAACACTAAACATTTTTTAAAAGAACGTTACACCAAACAATTGGCTAGGTAATCATTTCTTTTTCTTGATTCCGATGGCGAGATGCTGCTAAAGTAAAATTAAATGTTTTGGAAACTCTGGGTTTGATTTTTACAGCCTTCGACAGTGTCGACTCAAATGCATTTAATAAAGCTTCTCGGGGTTAATTTCTTCTCGGTTACCAACGGGAACATTGATCCACTGGAATAAAATTGCACGTCTGAAGATCTTCCGAAATCGATGACGCGTATATCAGCTGCAACACACATCCTATTACTTCTCAATTCCTTCAATATCTGATTTAATGCCTGCCTTCCCAATGGTAGTGATGAAAATGATGAAGATGACCAAAAAATATCGGAGGATATACCCTCCACTGACCTAGAGTTTAAAAGAATAAAAACTATGAAACATTTGCGAATGTAAACCATAAAGCAAACAATATTAAGAATTGAGAGCGATATTGTTAAAATTATATTTAAAAACAAAAAATGCGTAAAGATTGCAAATTTTTTCTAGTAGTTCATCTCGTAAGTGACAATTTTAGAAAAATATACATGAATTTTTTTTACCCCCATTTTACGTTATGCGTTCGTTTTTTAACGCTAGTCCGACAGAAAACGTAAAATCAGGGTTCCACTGCATAACGTTTTTAAACTTGTACGCTTCAACAAAAAATAGACTAAAAATGTCATTCTAAAAAAATATGTAGCTTTAGGAGCAAAAATAATTTCAGATTTAAAACCCACCTCAAATGAAGCAAGATCAAGTACACTGCTAGAATTTTAATTCCAAAATTACGGTAAAATAACCAGCAGCGGTCTGTGCATCCAATTAACTGTAAAGTTTACGACAAAGAACATTTCCGCCCTTTATGGTTTTTGAGACCATTTAGAACTAGTGTGGTTTAAATATCATGAATATGAAACTATACGTTTTTTTTAACCATTTACAACCAACATAGTTTCAAAACTGTGAAAAAGAAATTTAATTGGAGATCGGCTTTTCGTCAGATAATGGGCATTGGAGTTAATTAATTAGTTTATCTGGTTGTTTCACCTATCGTAATGAATGGGAAATACTAGACTTTATTGTTAAGCTGCTTTATGGTGCTGCCATCTTTACGTGAAGGAGAATATCGTATTTTAAGGGTTAGGGTCACAAATTGATGAGTGTAAGACAATGAAAACTCTTCCTGCGTTGAAGGGAGTGAGGGAAATATTGTGGGGTCAAAGATGGGACATTGCGAACAGATTGCAAAGATGGGACAGAAGCGAAACTCCATTCTGTCAGCCATGAAAGGGACAGATTAGCCTTCTCGGCTATAACATGTGGAACCAAGGAACTAAGTGGCTTTATTAGGTTACCAGTTGGTGCGATAAAATTCTGGTTGTTTAACTGTATCAAGTGAAAGCAGTTAATAAACGATTTTTCTCACAGTTAACAGTTAGACTGTCTTCTTATTTATGGTTATTTAATTGTTTTCTTTGAATATGGTAAAATGACAATTAAATAAATTATTAATTAGCCATTTTTTCAGAGAAATTTCTTGCAGCGTATATGCATAAATGCAACAAAAAATTTGTTCCCCTGTGAAATAGTCAGGCTTTTTCCCTAGACGGAACAGAACTTTTGAAAGGAGTAAACTTGTTATTAGATATATAATATCGTTTTTATTATTTTAAAAGTAAGAAAACCACCATTTAAAGAGCTCGAAAATAAATAAATAATTTTTTTTTTTTTTAGTTTAATAGTAATATTAACTTACAATTAGATATACGGTATCGTTTTTACAAATTAAAAGGTGCTTGCTCTTAAAAAATGTAAAAAATATGAAAATTTAAATTTAATAGTATATTATACTATTTTCAATATTCTAGAATTAGTCAGGAAATGCTCCAATTGAGTAAAGTATCAGTTGAAAATTTTCTGAAGTTCATACTGCACATTCCTATATTTTAGCTTTAATAATTTCTGTTGGGGCTGCTGCCTCATCAACCATCAAATTGTAGGAATTTAAAAATATTTGAAAATGAAAGTAAAGCATCTTATACATTAAGATTTCATTTCATAAGAAATCAGGAGAGGGTGGTCATTAGATTGCAAGTAAGTTTTTGAATCTGTAGTTAAAATATGCTGGCAATCACGTGATATTGCTTTTTTTCTCTCGTTAAAACTCAATTCTATTATTTTATTTGCTTGAGTAAAAAAAAAAAGAAAAAAAAAGAAGAAGAATTACTCTAGATTTTTTCAAATATTCCATATAGAAACCCCTTGTTCATGAGGGATAACCCAGGAAGATACGTCATATTCCTTTTTTTCCTTTCATGTAATGAATTACGCCTTCCTCATATCTTTCAAGAAATAAAAATGTGAAAAACTAACCTTGAGTCTAATGCTTTTTTCTCTCCAGAGAATAAAAGAGGGTGGCTATCTTATTTTGTGGTTGAAAAATCTTCTAGAACGTTAAGTAAATTTTATTTTGACACATAATTAACAAGAATAGAGATGGAAAAGAAAGAAAATTGTTCTTGACTTATTTTATTATTTCCGAAAAAAGGATAAAAATTAAAAAAAAAAATGTTTATTAAAATAAAAAAAAAATCAATGCCAGGCGACAGATAAATTAATATTGCACTATATTGAACCATAGATATCAGTTTCATATTCAGTTATAAAAAATAAGTATTTTTACTGAGCTAAAAATATCAGCATTGCATTGAGCTATATACAAAAATATATATAAAAAAATTACATGGTGAAATAACATTAAAAAAAAATGGAAATTCCAAGAAAATTTTTCTTTAATTGTTGTGTTGTAAAATATAAATATCTTTAAAATCCAGAATAAAATCATTTCAACTTTGGATTTCTGAGTACTATCATTTAAATAAATTTTCTTCCAGTTCTATATATTATATTGTTTTCGTCCTTCGATTCATTTTTGATGTAGGCACTATATTCGATTCAGAATAATATTGCAGATGACAATATTATATTTTATATCCGTTGTTGAACAGCTGACCCAATTTTGGGTTTACGACTACTAATGTTCAACTCCGAAGCCTTGTAGCTTTAAACCAATCCAGGAGACAAGGAAACTCCTGGATCAGTACCCTCAGAGGTATGATTGGTTATGGGAACATGGAGGACTTTGTGAGGCGATAGATTAAACGTGTATCAGTCACCATTTACTACACTAAGGGCAGGCGGGGGTCGAACCCACGACCTCTTGGACATGGGCCCAGAGCCCTACCAACCAGGCTATTCCGTCCCTCTATAGATGACAATTGAAAAAAAAAGTATGATATTTAAAAAAATGAAAGAAAGTTTTTCAAAATGCACTCTTAGATTAAAATAACTACTTCACTTGGCGCAATTTTAGAACTGTTTTACAAGCAAGTTATGAATGAAATAAGGACGTTGATTTGATATTTTAATGGATGAAAATGCTGCTATAGCGTAATGGTCAGGGCACTGAGGAGTCAATTTTATGTATAGGGCACGGGTTCTATTCCTGGCGTGGCGAAAGCTTTCCTAGATTTATATCGATAATCATGCCGTTGATGTCTAACAAATCGAGACCTAAATCTCCATGACTCCCTTAATAGTTTAGATTAAATGAAAAAAAAATTAGTTTGAGTATAAGGAAAAGAACAATACCGAATTTTTCCTATAAAATACAAAACTTCATTAAAAATGAACAATTTTCTATATGTTCTTAAACAATATTTGCAATATTCGCTTGAAATACTCATATATGCTTTTCATTTACAATGATTTTTATATCACAGTATTGCAATTAATATTTTGCATAATTTTTTATCCAGTGAATGTTAAAAAAAATATTGGAAAGATAATTTGCTTTAATTTTCTTAATATCAACGAGTACATCATTTAAATATATTTAAAAATTAAAATTGACACTTTATTTGGCTTAATTTGGTTTTGAGTTACAGAAAATATCAAATAAAATTTTAGGTCATCTAGTAATTAATCATTCTTATGATTTATAAGATACACTAGCGAATGATCAAGTTTGTTTTCAGACTTTATTTATTTATTATTTTTTTTTGCTGTTGATCAAAACTATAAGCATATAAATGCATTTTTTCTGATTATTTTAATTACAAATGAATATGTTATAGCATAAAATAATTTCTCAAAAAGTTAGTTTTCGGATTCAAAATTTCGGAAAAATATTTATTGAAACACGTAATGATTTCTGAAAATTTTAATTATATATTAATAAGTTACATTCTAAAATATTTTTTTTTAATTAAACGTAGTGATAAATATAAAAACATAAAATACTTTCAAAATAATAAGATTGTATATTTTCCTACTCATATGAAAGAGAGAAATGCCTTCTTGATACTAATAACTTGCGGTTATATGCAGAAACAAAATAATTATGTAATTAGTATGTTATTTGTCTCAAACTAAATTTAGCGAAGCTTAATAAATAAATTTACGGTATCAAATTAAAAAAAATTAATTAAGTTATAATGATGAATGATGTTTTGTTCGTTTCAAATAAATAATGAGTATATATCAAATTCAATGGTATTTGGAACAAGTGTTTCGTTAAAAAGAACTACTGTAACTGAATGTTAACACCAATTACAAAGAATGTAATATGCATTCATTCAACACTTAGAGGAATAATGTAAGTAAACCGTATTTCAGCAAGTTATAACAATTTCGACGCTCAATTCATTTAAAAGAAGAAAAAAAAAGTAGATTTTGCATTAGTTGCAGTGGAATTCAAATTTTTGATAGGAAACTTAATACTGATGTTATAATTTTATTTATTTATTATTTTTTTCTTTTACATCATAGATAGCGAATGTCGTTTCCTTTGAGTTAGTACTTTCTCAGTGATATTTTTACGAAAGAAGCTGATCTTTGACCCGAGAGGAGTTATAAGAGGGAAAAAAATTTATCAGGGATATTAGATTGCAGTTAATCGCGTCTTAGGGCGCCTTTTTTAGCGACTGTGTGTATCATAGTGGGAAGTTTGTTATAACGCATTTACAAGACTTGCACCAAAAATCTCGATCGGAGAACAAAGTTTTAAGTTTTTATTTTTTTTCCTTCCTGGCAATACGGTTTAGCAAATAAATTCACCAAGACTAACCAAAAGTTTAGTTCAACTCATATTATTATACCTACACTTATAGGGCGAAATTAGGAATTTTTGCGATAGGTCAGTGACCTGTTGTGACGATTTTAACAGTAGGTATGTTTTAAAACAGTGAGCCACTTTTTCAAAAACTTAAATAAAATATTATAAAAACTGCTGACAATAATGCATGTCATATTTATTGAAACATTTCTCAAATATGGCGAGCCCTAGAACAGTTCATTTCAAAAGTGAAGAAACATTTTAAGAAACAGAATATTATAAAATATTTATCATAATTCCATTTTCATTAAAAAATAATTATAAAATTAACCCCGGGTGCATTTTGGATTAAGAAAGAGGCTATCGCACGGCAACTGCATCGAATGGTTATATTTAGCCGCCCTTCGACCGGTGGCGACAGCTAATTTTGCCCTATATAAACCTACACTGTCAGAAGTTTTGGAGAGGGTTGAACCATAATGTCGTTTATTAATTGCAACTTTAATATTTAATATGTAATGCTTCCTAAACTGGATTACACGATACTGTGAATGAATATGAACGGAAACATTGTTCAATTTAATAATTATCATTAAAGATATAATAATGTGTATGTGTTGCAAAAATGGAACAGAACTTTTAACATAAGATAAATTCTTATTAGAAAAAATTGCAAAGACTTTCTGACTCAAGTTTTTTCCATAGTTTTTATAGCCGTTTGCAGACTTCCAGAAAATCGATTAAAAGTCGAATCAATTTATGATGAAAATTTGTTTCAACTATAAAAACGTGTTATACTGAACAATTATGTTTCCGCTCAAATAGAATTTAATGTCGAGCTATCAATTTTAAGGAGTACGATAATATCTAGTTTAACTTCATTTCTCAATATAACTTAAAAACATAATGTTCTAACACAGTTTCACTTGGTTGTCGGTGCAATTTTCATTAACCGGAAAAATATACTAATTTTAATTTTTTTTATTTTAAAAAACTAAAAGAGTTGTTTCCTTATTATAACGTATTTCTATGATATTAACTTATTACGCTACATATTACAACAAACTTATTTAAATAGGTTTCTAAAATTATTAACTGTTCCACAATTATTATTTTTTGGTGCAATTTATACTAATAAACGATTATAGAAAGATATTCGTTAAATGATTAAGAACTTAACTATCAGTTTCATGCATAAATTTTATTTAATATATCAGCCTGTATATTAATACAATACGTATCGTATTATTCTTATAGTATTTAGTAGATACCTTTACTTTTAAATGATGTTTAAAAAGGAATTATTAACGTTATATAAAAAGAATTATTAATGTTATTATAAAAGAATCATTAACTGTTTCAGAATTATTATTTTTTGGTGCAAATTATACTAATGAACTATTATAAACTACATTTAAAGAGATTCGCTAAATGATTAAAAACTCAACTTTCAGTTTCATGCATAAATCTTATTTATTATATCAGCCTGTATATTAATACAATTCGTATCGTATTATTCTTATAGTATTTAGTAGATACCTTAACTTTTAAACGATATTTAAAAAGGAATTATTAACAAAATTATTAATGCTCACTATAGTAGGTTTTAATAGAATCCTTAAAGAAATGTTTGGACGTAGGAAGTGGGTGCACAAACTTTAGCCAACAAAATTCTCTTTAAAACATAGATTTTAAGGAAAAAAAAAAAAAAAAAAACTATTGACGCCAAAAAACAATTATTGCGAAGCAATCATCGGGGTTGATAAGCGGTAGTGAACAGGGAGATCAGCCCCTAATACTTACATGAAAATTCAATCTGAATTATCAAAAATTCAAAACAAATTTAATATGCTTTGAATTATCATACTGCTGGCTATAAAAAGAGTTTAAAATGATAATATTAATAATAATAATGTTAAAGAATAATTGGCTTTAAAAAATGGTATGAACAATCGGATTCAGGTCAGATGATTAGTTAGATATATTAAAATTCCATAATTTGGTTGTTGATTTATCAATTATTTGAAATTGCTCACTTAAAAGAATCACTAGAGAATTTTCAAGTTAACAAACCTTATTTTATTTATTTATTATTATTATTTTATTTTACATATTATGATATTATTATATTGAGAATATAGAGCTAAAATCGTAATCATGAGCGGAAAAATCCAAGAAATGAAAGTAATCCCGTGAGAATATAGTAGAATTTTTTTCAAACTTAACATGGCATTTTTCTTCTTCTTTCTAAATCGCATTTATTTATTTGACTTCATGTTTCTTCTAGTTTCCACAACTTTGTTACTTTATGTTTCTAATTTCGATAACTTTTTATTACATATATAGCATTTACTTAATAAATTTTCTTGTTTTTATTTTGAGAGCGAGTGTACATTTGTACGTTAAATATTTACACGATAAAAGGATTTTTCATCATCGCCCTTAAAAAGCTCTTCACAGAATTTATTTTACAAAATTTTAAAATGTGGTTTAAAACAAGTACATTAAAGTAAAAGTAAATAAAACACACTATAAAGTTAATAAATATATTTTTTATGATGAATTGTGTATATTTAGAAGAACAACTAAAGACCAGAATGAAAAAATACTATTTTTAAAAATGAACAAATAAAAATATTAGAGATTCATTTGTTCTCACCTGTTGCAATTTGTTTTCATGATAGCAAGAACCTAAAATTAAAATAAATTGTAGTTGTTAGAATTATAAATATTTGATAAACATATTTATACAAATTAGGCAAGTATGAAATGAGCAGGTTTAAATATAACTATAGATAAAGGATTTAATAAATAATTTCTGATTTCTGTACCGAAAAAAAAAATTATGGCTTGAAAAAAAATAGAGACCAAAATTAACTTAGTTACCTAAAAAAGGATAATAGGAAGTTAATAAACATTTTATTTAGTATTTTTTACTAAAAACTAATTATTTGTATTGAAATGGCAGGTTTTATTATTTATTTTAATGAAAAAAAAGGTCTTTTTTTTTAAGTACAAGGTAGATAAATATTGTTATGAGTATAAAATACATACCTACGGTAAGACCCTGTAAAAGTATGGTTTTAAATATTTAATAAATGATTATTGAATATTAATAATTTTGTCACAAAAATAAAAAATGTAGCAATGAAAAAAAAAGAGAAAAGCGTCGAAAAATAAGTTTAACTTAATCAGTAAAAGATGATCATGTGAAATTTAATAAACATTTTATTTTTTAATTAGTTAAGTCAAATAAAGTATCACTTACAAAAACTGATAATGGACTAATTTTTCTTGCCTAGAAAAATCTAAAGGTTACTGTAAATTTGTTATTAAAAATAATTTCCACCATTCATTTTAGGGATTTTTTTTCCTTCTCAATGGGTTTAGGGAAAGAAAGAGAAGTTTTTTTTTCACTTACAGTTTCAATCTTTTACATTGTTTCTCTTAAACGCAATTAATTAACTATTTCTTTTTAGATATAGTTATATAGTTAAAATACGCATTAATAAGAAAAACAGAAAAGTATCGAAAAGTTGCTTAGATGAAATAAAAATTAGTATGTGTAAATTTAAGCATATGCTTCACGTATAGTGAAAGAATTAATTGTATTCAAACATTTAATGTCTTTTTGTGTTTTTTTTTCCTTGTAGAATTATCTTCTTAAAACTTGTAATTAAAGATTTTTATGAATCTTAATTAAACAATAAAAAATAATAATTACTGAAATTTCTTTTTAAGAAATTATTACTTACATCATTATTTTAAAAATAGTGAAATATTAATTCTTAAAATATAAAACTAAAATTTAAAATTTTTTTTAATGTTATTATATAATAATAATAATATATCCTTAATATTATAATTATATGTAATTATTAAAATATATCATCATTATTTAAATATTATTACTGTTACTATTTAAAAATTATAATTGTTATTATTTTCATTTCAGATTAATAACGTCCTTTTTTATATTCTTGTAACATTTTCAACTCAAACTAAGTTTTAATTTAAAAATAAAGTCATTGGTTAAACCATTAATCAATTAATAACTCATATTCTAATATAAAAAAAATTTCCCTCGAAATATTACAATGATAGAATCAGAAATCAAAAACAATTCTGAAAATAAATTCATAAATGAATAAAAAATAAATAAATGTAAAGTAAAAATAAGATTTCAAGTATTAGATCGAAATGAAAAAATGCAAACATTTGTTCTTGTTTTAAACTTCCAATAAGACTCATAACATAACAAATTGTAATAATAAAAATACTTCTTAAAATATTTTCGAGATTTGAATAGATTCTTACTCTTGTAACTAAAAATGTATAAATTCCATAGGAAAATTTTAACTGTTTAGTTTCATTTTCAGAATAACGAATGTAGATATATCTTAAAATGAATGAAAACAAACTTGGCTATTAAACTTGAAAATTTTAAATCCTTTTCTTTTAAAAAAACTAAAAAAAATTCTGAAAACTTACCTAAACAGAGAGAAACAGAGAAAACTAAAAATATGTGACTAAAAATTAATAAATTCAGGAACATTATTTTTCAATTAAATTTAGAGAGAATAAATATTTAAATTTTAATCGTAATTTTAAAAAGTTGATCATGAGTGTGTATTATTTTAAATAACATGCTATTCAATTAAAATAGTGTAAAACATAAGACTGATACCGAGAATCAAATCATCGCGCTCTGATGACAGTTTTGAGACTAGCAGACGACAAAAAGGATTAAAATGAAAGTGGAAGTTTTTAACATTAAACTATTAACAAGAAAAGGAACATAAGATTTTTCAATAAAAAACTTTTTTAAAATTTTCAGTATTAAAAATAAAATAACCACGAAAATTCCTGCATGCGTAAAATTTATAAGTAAACATTTAATTACAATGTGTTTTCTGTATTTAATTCTTTGTAACCGTGTATTCTTTCTGGAGGGAAATTTATTTGTTTACTAACAAGAAATCGAAATCTAAAAGAGTTTCTTTTCATGATGGAAGGACTTAGTTATTTTTTCTAAGTTTAAGAAAGAATTTCTTTAAAAATATAAAATTTAGATAACTTCTCAAGTATTCCCTCTTTTTCTGAATGGATTTTTTAACTGAAGAGGAACTTTATGAACTTCAGCATGAAGATGAATTAGATGTGCTGAATGAAATTGAAGACGTGCACCGTAAGATCTGAATTAGAAATAAAATTCACCTTATTGAAGTCAATAATTAAGTTAACTTTAGTATCTTTAAGTTTGATAATTATAGTGTAGTATGCAGGATAAATTAAAATAAAACGAATGTTGAATTTAAACGATATGACTGTAAATAGTGAATAATTTTTCCAAAACTTTTTCTAAGATTAAAATATTTTTAAGTTTAATAAAAATATTTACACTTGAAAAATAGATATGCGAAGAACCGGCTGAATCTCATAATTAATTTTAAGACACATTAATTAAAATTTAAAGATTATTATTATAAAAAAAAAAGTCTGTTTTGTATACTATTTCAGTACTTATATAATATTAATCACGCATAAGTTGTGTTTATTATTAATTTTGTGAAAAAAAAGTTCTGTTTCTCTAGTGTTTTATGTTTGTCTCTAAAATATTCTATAGAAACTCAAAAATATCAGATTTTGTGTTTTATGTATGTTAAAGGGGAGATATTATCATTTTAGTTCCTGCCTGTGCCAACTAAATTTGACCTGTTGCATAACATAAATTAAATAAAGAAAAATATGTGATTTGCAGGGAATTTTATTGTGTGAGTTTCCATCATTGAGATGCTACTTTTAGTTTCTCCCTTGTTATTGACAATAAGTAAATCTAAATTGGTGATTATTTTGGTACAAGTACTTCTACAGTAATCTTCACATTAAAAGTTTTGTTTAAAAATATTTTGGATTGGATTAAGAAAACTTTTTTCTTTAGTTGTTCTATTTTGAAAGTTATTATTTATTTGCACAAGTATGTACTTCCAATATTTTAAAATATTAATTGTTTGTTAATTAATGTTAGCTAAAAGGCTTGAAATAATTGTTTAACTAATAAATTGTGATTTTTTTAATATGTAGTCTAAGTATGTTGAAGAATTTAGTTTAAGAATTGTTGATGTTTGCTTAAAGTAAATTTTTTTATAGCGTTTGAAAGTTACATAAAGCCTCCAGTCAAGAAGAGTTTGAGGAATGAAAGTGATTCTGAAACTAAACATGTTGTGCCTGCAGATCAAAAGAGTGATTTATCAGAAGAAGCTAGAGGAAATACAAGTATTTATTCTTTATACATTATAGCTTTATTTTACATGTAAATGTATTTAAAAAAAAAAAAAAAAAAAAAAAATAAAAANTTTTTTTTTTTGCCCTCTTTCATAAACTAATAAACAGTTTCTTAACCCAGTAATGACTGTAGTTTATTATTGTATTAAGTTTGAGAAATGAAAGTGATTTACAAACAAAACCATGTTGTCTGTACAGATCATGAAAGTGATGTATCAGAAAAAGCTAGGGGAAATTAATTTATTTACTCATTATACATTATAACTTTTTTAAAGATTAAAAAGTAAAAAAAAAAAAAGAAGATTCAGTCAGTTTTATTGTTTTGTTTTTGAACTCTAATAAATAAATAAACAGTTTCTTGTAATGATTGTAGTTTATTATATTAAGTTTGAGAAATGAAAGTGATTCACCAACAAACGATATTGTCTCTGGAGATCACAAGAGTGATGTTTCAGGAAAAGCTACTGGAAATTCAAGTATTTATTGTTTATACATTATAACTTTATACATTATACATGAATAAAACAAATCCTCAGTCAGTTTTATTGCTTTTTTTTGCACTTTTTACTAAATAAGCATTTTTTTAATATCAGTAATGATTGTGGTCTGGTCAATGCTTTATTAATTGTAGGTTATTGCTCTAAGAAGGATAATTTGAAATTTTATAACAGATTTTTTATTTTTGTATATGCATAATCTCAATCTATAACATAGAATGCACATGTGGTTTCATAATGATTGTTTACTTTAGCAAGATTTTGTATCAGAAGTATTTGATTTAGTTGCAAATATTTATTTACCATTTTATAAATATTTATTTAAAAAAATATTATGACCTATTTTTTTAATATGAGTATTGATAGACTAACAAAATACCTTTCTTATCTGAAATATTTATTTATATCTGAAATATTTATTTTTAAGTTATTTATTTGTTTTCATTAATTTTTTCCTTTTTTAAACTAGATAATTTGGCATCTTTGGGTGATGAAGAAAAAGAAAATTCACAAGATTTATTCTCTGACCTTAATGTAAAGAGTTCTAAAAGAAGCCTTTCCGAAACATTAAGTGATACTTCCAATAAAGGTAATAGAGGTGTTTAAAAACTGTTATATTTTATTTATAAAATCACAGTTTTAAATGTTATTCCGCGAATGTGTGGAATTTAAAACCTTTATTGTATCTGTTATAAGCATGTTCATTATATCTGTTATAAATATATTTTAAGATCTTACTCAGATTCTTTATTTTATTATATGTAAAGGTTACATTTATTTTAAAAATTATATATGTATATTTTCATTGAAATATTTTAACTTCTTTTTGCCTATCACCTTTTAAGTTATTTATCTTGATAAATTTTTTTTCTTTTATTTTTTTTCCACCTAATTTTAAATTTTAGAACTGTGTAATATAAGTCTCTTTTGAGATAAAGAATTAAATTTTAATTTGACTAAACTGCCCATAGTAGGCCAAACTTTTCCTAAGAACCTTTTTCCATTAGAATTTCTTAGTAAGTTACTAACTCATAATATTTTAAATTCATCTTCCACAGAGTCAGTCTTTAAGCATTGAATAATTACTGCAATTAAAAAAAGTGGTTAAAAGCTAGTATAGTATCATTTTTAAACAGTTAATGATAAATTTCAACACCAATAATTGCCTTCAAAATGTAAAATTAATCTCTTTTTATAAGCTTCTTGTACTTAATTTTCATAAAACATTTCTGTTACTTGTTTTTATTACTATATTTTTCAGTTCATTTATGTTACAAAAGCTTTTGTTCTTTTTATTGTTTTACGGAGACATAAAATTTTACTGGATAAAATCGCTCTCTGATAAAATCTGATCTCACCCTAATTTCAAAAAAAAAAAAAAAATGTTTTGTAATTTATTTAAATAACTGAGGATAAAGCTTTTTTTGTATATTTTTTTGTGTGGATATTATGTTTATACCCATATGGATATTTAACGTGAATATTTTTTTTAATGTATAAAGCATTGTGGAAAATTTTCTTATGGGAGTTTTATCTATCATTTAGATTTAATTATGTTTGATTGTAATGAGCAATTGAAGAAATGTTGTAATAAGTCTCATTTTTTTTCAAAGGTGAAATTTTTTCATCAAACTCTTACTCAGTATTGGTTCCTGAGAGGTACTTACACTTCCATAAATTCTCTTAAGACAAAAGCATTCTCATTAGACAAAAGCATTTTTTTACCTATATGGAAATCATTGTGATTTTTATCAAGACAACTGCTGTAAAATTTGAAAATGTGGCTTATCATTATATTTTTTAAGTCCTTTAATTAAAGAAATTTCTCAAACTCCACTTAATCACTAAACCGCAGCATCAATTGATAACAAAGTATGTTATTAAAATAAGAAAAAAATATTTGATGATTAACTTCAGAACTTTTTTTAAAAAAAGAATTTTTTTTTATTATAGCTTTTAAAATTGTCTATGAATTCTTTTTTCTTTCTAATGTAACAGTTACAATTATGATGGATTTTTCTATGTTAGTTGTTACTGTTGTTTGAAGAATTTTTGTTAAGGTTCATTCTTAACATCCAAAATTTGAAACGATTTAAGGTATGTGAGATACAAAGCAAAATTTGTTTTTGACATTCTGTTTTTTGCATTATAATGCATTTTAATTTTAGCAATAAATTTTGTTAAAAAAAAACATATGTTTGAAAGTATTTTTGGGATTAAAGCTTTATCATGAGTCAAAATTATTTAATTATTTTTATAGCATATTTATGTAAAACATTATTGAAATAACAAATAATTTTATAAATGATGCTTATTTCTTATATAAATTTTTAAATCATTGAATTTATTAATTTTATTTTAAAAAAAAACTATTATGTGAAAAACAGGAAAGATAACTAAATGAGTGTGCAGGTCACCACAAAATTTTTCTGAAGGTTTCTTTAACTTCATGACTGGATAATTTCTATCTGTATTAAGATTTTAATCTATGGAATATGCGATAAACATTTAGATTATATATAGGTTAATAATGTTTTTTTCTGTGTGAAAATATTAAATTTTATTATATTTTTAGTGAATTTGCCTGTCAAACGAAAGTTATTTGAATGTTCTCAAGCTCAAGTAGCAGAACAAGATGCACCATCTGATGATGAATTAATAATTGATTTAGGGGACAGTGATAGCTTATTACCTCAAAATGAAAAAAGAAAAGCATCTTGTTTATCTGATGAAGATATAGTTACTCCCAAATCAGGTTTGCTATAACTTTTTTACCATATAGTCAAGTTTTTTTTACTTCTGTTAAATATTCTCTTACTTTCTGTTAAATATTCTTATTATTTGGTATTAAATAAATTTGTTTTCAATTTTCGGTACAGCTTAATTTGTTTCTTAAAATGCAAGAAAAGCAACAGGGGAAAAATGTCTTTAGGTGTGGCTAATATTCAGTTGATTAATAGTTTATATTATGATCAATGGTTTAAATATTCTAAAGATAAGATGTATTGATGGGTATATAGATAGATTTATAGAAATGTTTGATCAGTGTTAAGGAAAATTTGACATCAATGATTTTTTAAAAATAATTATAAATGAGGTGTAAAAAGTTATTCAAAACAGTTTGGACAAATTTTTAGATAGAAAAAAGTTTTTGATAAATAAATTAGCACCTATCAAAATCTTTAGCTTTCATTATTATTATTACATATATATTTTTTTTGCGTTAAACTTTATGAATTACTGTCAAATTAATAAGTTGTTCATTACATTAAATTTAAGAGTTACAATTAATACAACTTGTTATAATGTGTTAAATATTTTTAAACATAGAATGTCATGTAAAATTACATGTACACTTTTTATGAAAAGTATCAGTTTTGACATCAATTCGTTATCAGAATCAAATTCTGCAGTGATCAATAAAATCATCACTTTTAATATTAAATGCTAAGCTATTTTGTTTTATGTAAGTCTAATTTTATCATATAAAATCATTGTGCTCTTTTGATTTGCTTTTGTAAAATTTTTTTTCAGCATTTATTTAATTTTAATTTCATAGCACTGTTTCTTTCATGTCATATTTTACAGCAAAAAGAAGGTGTTCCACTACAGAAGATGCTGTAGAAAGTTTTCTCAGAGGAAAATTGCAGAGTCAGGCTAGACCTTCATTATTTACAGAAACTGTTTCAATGGACAAACTCCCTATAACACAGAGGCAATCTAGATCTTCATCATTTAAAGATACTTATTCAACAGATAAACTACCCATTACACGATCAGATGGACGTCGTATATATTTTCCAGTGAATGAAGAGAAAATAGAACATAATGTAAGCATTTTGCCAAAAATAATATAAGAAACAATGTACCCAGCAGAAATAAACACATTTGAATTTGTTTATTTGTACTTAATCTATTGTTTCATTATAATTATCAATCTATTTATCAGCACAGTAGAACTCTATTTTTCTGGAGAAGTATTGTTGTTGTAATCATTTTCCTTCAGCAAACATTTTCTGCTCTACTTATTTTTTTTTAATTTTTCAGGATTTCAGCTTCAGCCAAAGAACAAGCTCTTTATTATCTTTGCCCATTGATAGATTGAAATCTCAATATTTTATTATGGTATGTATTATGTTCAAATGAACAATGGCATAAATTTACTACACACTTTTGCTCTTTTTGCAAATTGAAATAAATTTTTTTTAAAGTATGTATAATGTATTTCTATTATTAGTTTATTTTTATATGATTGTCACTTATTAAAACTAATTTATTATATGTGAAATAATTATTATTTAAATATTAATATTACACATTTTATTATTAATATTTGAAATTATATTTAATAATTAAATTCATATTTAAAAAATGAACATAATCAGTTAAGTATTTATTACTACCATTAAGAGGAATATAATTTTTTTCTTTTATCCTCTTCTGTATTTTTGTAGTTTTCTGCAATGTTATAAGGACTAAATTGTTTTTTGTTTTGTTAAATCAAATTGGTAAATAACTTTAAAAATAAATTAATACAGTATGAGGGGGATTTTGTTTTTAAACTTAGTGACCACTTTTTACCACAGCTTTTCTCTATGAATACTGCTGCACAGCATCCTGAGAATGGATTTTCTGTAACTTGATAACAATGGGAGTTGTTTGGTGGTTAATGAAATAAAAAAAAGGGATACTGGCCTCTTATGTAATATAGAGATAGTGCAAAACTGATATCTTAAGTATTATATACATTAGGAGTGCACAACCTGCGGCCCACTGAATTTTAAATATTCAAAATTTAACTCTCTAAATATAACAGGTTACTTTCATATTTGATACAATTCTGTGTCAGATCCAAGATATACATTTCAGAAAATATTAATGTAGCATAATAATTAAATAATTATAATGATATAGTTTTTGTCTGATGTTTGGTATTTAAAAAGTAGACGGTCACTTTACCGATATAAATTTATTTTGTAGCATTGTTATCAATATTAAAGAAAATCATTTATTAATTATGTTTCTTTATATTTTAAAAATTTAAGTTCTTTTAAGAATTATTTCTCCTTTTAGAAACTAAATAGTTATCTATTATTTTTACATTTATGTGCTTGTTTAAAGTTACATTAAATCTGTATTCCTTTTTTAATGCTGCAGGTCATAATATTGTTCCCTTTCTTTCTTTTTCATAATTTCACATTTTCATCTTTTTTCATAAAAAATAGGCAATTAATTGATTTGAATTAAATTGTAATGAACGGGAATGAAGAATAGATAATTGTTTCGCTCATATTAGAAACTCAGTTTAACTGTTTCTGATTTCAAATCTTAGGAAGAAGAATCTTTAAAACTTCAAGGTACTGAAGTGATGGAGGTCAGTGAAAATCAAGCTAATCCAGAATCAACAGTACTTGAAGTTACAAACGTTGACAGCTCTTTATGGGTTGAGAAGTACCATCCTACTTGTTACATGCATCTTTTGAGTGAAGAGGTATTGTTTTTTTTCTTTTTTTAACGCATGTAAAAATTGTATCTATGCTATGTGTAAAAATTAAAAAAAAAAATATATATTTTTAAATTTTTTTTTCAAATGATCCCAAGTGTATTAAGTTACATCAAAATTCATGCCCATATTAAATAAAAATCTATAAAATTGTTTCTATGATTGCAGGATTGCATTAGCATATCCAAATTTTGTAAGAGAAGTATTAAAAAAGCATAATGCTTTTTCCACTTGCGAAATAGACATCAACAGACGGGGCTATTGATCATTGTTTCTGCCTGCTAGTATAAAGGGTTTTGGTATAGATCAAACAAATCATTAGTGGCCAATTTTGCTTTCTGGGAAATATTATAAATGCCTTGGATTTTATTAAGAGTTAGCAACAATATTTTTAAAATTTAAACACAAAAAATGCAAAAGTACTTAGGTTTTCCAAACTCCCTAATTAAAGCAATCTCTTTTCCCCCTTCTTTTTATATAATATTATGATATATATAATAAAAGATATATAATATTTCACTGAAAATAAAATTGGCAATAAATGTTTACCTTAATTAATATTTGCAAACAAACCTCAATATTTATCAAGTAGGAGAAATGACCAATGCTCCTGCTCGAGGCTGCTTCTATCACATGTGGTACAAGCATAATGCCTTTGAAAGTCCTTTTAACAGAAGTTGGATGTACTAATAAAATTATGTTTCCATAGGAGCAATTTTTTTGTGTAATTTGGAAATTAATTTTAATGGCTTTTTTATACAATATACTCATAATTACTTTTAAAATAACTTAAGATTACTTTCAAAATTTTTATCCCCCCTTTTTAAAAAAAAAATAATTTGCAATAAATTTATTCTTTTATTGTTAAACTCTACTTTGCTTTGTTCCAGTTTTTTGTATATTTTTATTTTTGAAATATAAATTCTAATTTCAGTTTAATAAGCATTAATAACTAACAAATATTTGATTTTTTGTTAGGGTATCAACAGGACTTTACTACATTGGCTAAAATTGTGGGATAAAGTTGTATTTGGAAAGGAAAAGAAGAAGAAGAAGAAACCAGTTGAAAACAAAAAAGAACAGTTTAAGCCTACTAAGTTTCAGAAATTTGGAGAGCTCATTGAGGTGATGTTTGTTATTTTGTCTAGGTTTAAAAAAGTTTGTTTATGTTTAAAATATGTTTATGTTTAAAATAGGTTTTAATTAACATTTTCATGACTTTGATTAAATTAACTTTGAAGTTTTTGTATGTATAGAGATACAGATTATACCTTGTCTTTATTCCTTGTTCCTAAGCTTGCCATTGGCAAATTTTATAAATCTTTAACACTCCTTCGAATTATTACTGTTCACACTTTTGGTATTTTGATATGTTGGCAAATGAGAGACTTTCTAAGATTGTCATCAAGTGTTTTAGGCTTGAGCATTCTTCTTTTCTGAAAGTATTTGACTTTCCCTTAGCATTTCTATCCACTAAGATGTTTGTAATTCAGTGATTTAGCAAAATAAATAAATGTGTTTATAGTTTATACAATGTATGTTAAACTAGACTAAAATAAGATCTTTTCCTAATAAATATCAATGGTTTTAAAAATATTTCACTTAAGACTTTCTTAGACTAATCTTCTCAATTGCATTTTCATCTAATGCTTTGATGGCCCCATACACAGAAAGTTGCATTCTGAGCTCCTGTCTTCTCTGTATTTCTAATCTGTATGTTATTAGGTAGGAAAACGGTGTAGAGAAGAAAAACACTCTTCCAAATTTTTATGAGCACAAAATGGTTCGCAGAACTGTTCTTCTTTCTTTTACACACATTATTAAATAATTGGAATTTCTTATTTTTTTCTGATAAAATTAGTTTATAGCCAAGTTTTAATTCAGTATTGTGAGGCAGATGATAAAGCTGTTTTCTTTTCAATGATTGTTATCCCTATTAGAATTAATAATATTTTGTTTTTGAAGGCAGGTTCTTAAAAGAAATAATTTGAATCATGATCATGTTATTATTATTATTTTTTTTGTTTTTGAAATTATTTTACTTTATGATATTCATATAACAAAACCTAATTAACCTTATTGAATTAACCTTAGTTAACTTAACTAAACAGAGGTGCCACATGCTTATAAATTGCCGAAAGAAATTTGGAAATTTAACCAAATCACTAGTAGGTTAGTAATTTGGTACTCTAAATAAAAAAAATATTTTGTTGCTATTATTTTCACAATATAAATTTTTTTTCCACCAAATACTGATTTAGCAACTTTATACTTAATTATTCTTACCAATGAGCTGCTATTTGTCAATGGATAAAGCGTTGAACTCTTGTGAAGAACTTGGGTTTGATCCCCAGTGGTGACATGCAACCCACCCAGCTTCAGATAGATGAGTACCAGTTTGTCTGAAAAGTAAAGGTTGTCTGTACGAAATGCTGACCACATTGCCACATTATGGAGCTTTAACCACCATGAACCACCTGGCACTCCAAAGGCTGTTATTGTAATGCTTATTTTTATTCTAGTCAATAAATGGAAGTAATTAATGAACCATTTAATTAATAAATAAATCTTAAGGAAAGAAAGAAATTAGTTTGCAGCTAAGATGAAGAGATAATTTTTCACAATTCCATGAATCGAATAACAAATAATTTAGAAATCGGCACATCTTGTTGAATGTTGAATATAAATAATAGCATTATGACAGTCGTGCTGTAAAAGAAAAATATAGTTTCAGTTGTTAAAAAAGAAACGATTAAAAAATTAATTAAAAAGTCTGCTAACTTATTAAAATATATTTATTTGTTGAATTTAAATAGTGAACAATGATTAAGTAGATATGAATATAGTAAATGTGACTTTATGCCTAATTTTTTCAGTTAATATGCATAATTATAAATAATAATTCAATAAATAAAATAAAGCCAGCATTTAAACAGATGAAATAAAAGCGACTGTTTTTCAAATTACTATTGAAAATTTGCAGTATGAATTAATTTTTATCTTTTTTCTGACAGCATCGAATGGATTTTGTAAGAGTTTCTCACCATTTTAATGGACACATTTATAATTTCTAATGGCGCAAAGTTCTTAATGTTTTCTTTTATAAATACAAGAGGGCTCCTCTTCCTGCTGGCTGTCGCTAACTAACCTCCGAAAATTCTGATGAAGTTCCTATCTATCTCTCATTCTTTTCTCCTTGGTTTGAATTAATACCTCAATTTTTTTTTATTTAAATTATATTAAAAGCTTATGTTCTCTGCTGTTTATTGGTTCCCAATCCTATGAGCTTTACAATTAAATTACTTCAAATCAATTAGAAGTTTAAACAAAGTAAGACACATAGTTCATAATTTTATTTGTATTTTCTGAATTAAATAAAATAAATTTTTTCAATTAGGCCAAATGGCCAAGCAATTTGTGATGAATATTGAATATTTTTGGGAGGTTACAGCCACCTCTCATCCTGGCATCCTTTTAACTAAACCTTATTGAAGTTCTTATTTTTTTAAAAAAAAATTTAAAATCTAAATTACTTTATTTTTTATTTATTTATCTTTTTAGGATTTAGATGAACATGGTCGACCATATCATAAGGTACATATTCTTCTTTTCATGAGTTACATTTTATTTGTTGTAAATTAATTAAAAGCATATATCTTCACTATTTAGGTTGCATTCCTTTGTGGTGCTCCTGGATTAGGAAAAACTACACTTGCAACTGTAATAGCTAGACAAGCTGGCTATAATATTGTTGAAATAAATGCCAGGTTAGGATAACAACTGTTAGACCTTTTTAATTTTTTCAAAGTTTACTTTGCCCTGATGTTTTTTTTTAATTTTTATTTTTGCAGTGATGATCGTAATCCAGAAACTTTTAAAAATGCGCTTGAAAATTCGACTCAAATGAAAGCAGTGCTAGACCAAGACCATCGACCCAACTGTCTGATTCTTGACGAAATTGATGGTGCACCTGCTGTAAGCCATTAATTTTGTTTAATACCTTTAAATTTATCATTTGTAAATTGACATGAATTTGAACTTTCTTTGACAAGGCATTCTAGTTCATGATCCAGGTTTTAAATTTTGAAAGCATAGTTAATATTTTCTGTAATTTTTTCCTTGTCCATGCTTGTTTAAGAATAACATTGTTTAGTTCTTTATTAAATTGCTTTGTGCCTGATGCATCGTTATATTGAAATATTTGTTATCGTTGTCATTAGATGATTGTTTGTTATCGTTAAATTGAGGTATTTTTCAATTAGAGTTAAAAGTAGAACTAGGTCCTTATCCACCCCAAAAAAGTAACGTCAATTTTTTATTTACTTTTTTATTTTAAATTCTAAAAGCATAGTTTAAATTTGATATACTAGATATATCCTTTTTTATGCTAGGTCAGTGGTTTAGTAAGCTTATGTAAAGCAGTAGTATGGTTTTATTAATATTCTTGAGTTTATTAATAAATTTTATTTTTATAAAATTGTAATTTTTTTTATTTAAATAAAAAAAAACTAATATCAAAGATCTCAGTTCCTTTAATAGTCTATGGCTGATATGTTAAATGTTACCTACATTATAATTAGTTTCTTTTTTAAGCTTTCTTAATAGTTTCTTTGCAAAAATAGATTGATTGCTTTGATTTTTTTTAAAATACTGTTTTTAATCAGTTTGAAATATTAAATAAAAAAAAACTATATTTTTGTATAAACTAATAAAATTGCATCTTTGCCTTTTCATTATAATGTTCTATGATGAAAAATTTATTAAATATTTAAAAATAATGTCTTTAAAAAAATAGTCAATTAAAGAATCCCATGAAAATCAATCAGAACAGTAAATATTTTTCTATTTTTTCATTATTTTATGATTACAAACAATGTAGCACAGGAGTGGGTTTTTAAGTATTGCAAAATTAGATTACTAGCACTTTTTATTTTCTTACAACAGTGAGACCATTTTCATTAACATAGGTGGGGGGGGCGAGGCTAAAAATAGACAATTGACAAAAGTTAACTTGAAATGAAAGGCATTTTTTGTGGGGACAGTCTTAAAAAAATAACAGGCTTATTATTTCTTATTTTATGTGATTAGTAACTATAGCTTTTAATTGCAATTTTTAAAACAATTATCTTAGAAAAAAATATATTGTCTATATCAATGGAAGATTTTACATTTGATTGAAATAAAACATGTCAAGTCTCTTTGTGGATTAATGATTACTGATTGTCATTGGAGTAAATTTTAACACTAAATTTCTCACTTTTGTGTAATATAATTTTTTTTGGTGAAAATTAAAACATAATGCAACATAATGCAGTTTTCTTTAAATACACTTAACCTTTTTATATTTAGTTTTTCTTCTGGTTAGTTTTAGTGTTATACTATAACAGTGTTATTTAATTTGTGGTTTACAGGCATCTATCAATGTTCTTCTTTCTTTTATAAAATCTACTGGTGTACCTAAAGGTAAACGTAAGAAAGGAGATATTCCTCTTCTAATGCGACCTATCATCTGTATTTGTAATGATCAGTAAGTACAGAAATTATAACTCTGTTTTCCTTTAATTTTTTTGGATTGTGTATAAGGAAGAAATTAATATTTTTAGCTGTTTTGAAAATAAATTTAAAGCCAAAAATGTATTACCATAAATGAATATTATTTCTGTATAACAAAATCTATGCATTCATTTTATCTGCTTTTTGTGAACTTTAGTTTATTTCTTAGTAAAGTCATTTATTCAAACCATACTATAAGAGAAATCAAAAATCATGTATAAAGCAGTTAAATACTACAATTCCAAAGGAAAGTTGCACAATGCAGCTGAAATTTCATATGAAAATTGAAACCAATCGAAAATTTTTCTGAGATGAACCCTGAAAGTGCCATCAAGTGTTAGAAATGTGAATTATTTTTTACTGCAGATTTCTTTTACCATATAACATGTATGAAAATTTACTTGACCAAACTAGACTATTGACTGTAGGTTTAGACCCTATTTAGACCAACATAAAGTTAACTAGAAAGATATCTAATGTCTGTCTAACTCCTAAAAAACTCCTATCATACAGTTTGGGGTTCTCTGTTGCCATGGAAGCAATATAAAGCATATTCAAAGAAGGGAAGTTTTTCATGCATCCCTTACTGACACTCGTTAAACCATGCCCTTAAACCCCACCCCTACTTTAAATATTTTAAGCGATAGTGCTCCAGAAAACTGATAAGAAGAGTTCTTAAGTTAGAGTTACAGTATGTTGGTGATCACTGTCTGACTTTAACCTTTTGTCTATGGCGCCTGATAGCACCTGCTAATCTGGAGCATCAGTTGTACCAGCCGTAAGCGAAAAGTTAATTATAACCACTATATATATTATTTATAGTTTTATTTCAGTTTTTTTTATTAAAAGTTATTTAAACTTTTTTTAATTTTGAATTCAGATATAGTTCAGCTCTAAAGCCTCTTAGACAACTTGCTCTTGTGTTGAATTTTCCTCCCACTCTTCCTGCACGTTTAACATCTCGCCTGCATGAAGTAATTATACATTTTTGTCAAAAGAAAGTATGTATAAAATGTTAAAAATTGAATCATCTAAAATTTGTCCTTTAAAAAGGTTGCTTCAAAAGAGGGATTTGATGCTGATGTAGCTGCTTTAACATTATTGTGTGAAAAGACATGCAATGACATTCGTTCATGTTTATCAACACTTCAGGTAAAAAATTTTTTTTTATCATTAAACATTTTGTTTGTTTATAACTATTATACTGTCAATTTTAGGTATTTTTTAGTATATTTCATTGCTATTAATTTAAAATAAAAATAATTTTTTCTATTATTTTGCGTTTTTAATTCATCAAATGCATTTTTCAATTCAGACATTTTGTTTACATATTTGCATTTTTGAGTGTATTTCATTGTGAGTTAACCTTGTACATTTTTTTATATAATTGTAACTCATTTGTTTGATGTACTCATTTAAGCATAGAGAACTATATTATGTTTGACCCTTTACTGACCATCACATCTTATATGATATAATAACTTTAAAGTCAATTTTCTGGAATGTTTATTCATAAAATTTCAGTCTTTTGTTCCTAAATATGTTCTTTAAGCTGTTAATAATAATATTCATATGCTTTAGGGTAACTTATTTAAGAATTATAACTGTGAATACAAGTTTTAATTAATATTTACACTTTTTTTTCAATTTTGTTAAATGAGGCTTAACACAACTGTAATAAATTAACACAACAGTAATAAATTAACTTTATAAGTTTGGTGGGGAAATTAAAAAAAGTCTATCCTTCCACTCTATTCTCTCACTCACGTACGAGGTGTGGCAGTTAAGTAACCGGACTATGCATGCTCTAGTTGTTGATGCTTTTGGTGCTTGTGGCATGTTTTCCATCCTTCTATCTAGTTTATTATGTTTTTTTATCCTTGTTTCGGCAAGCCATTGTTGAGACAAAGTGCTACAATCATGATAAGCTTTAAAATCGAGCACTGCACTAATTTGAATTTCCTAGTGAAATTAAGGAATAGCTTTAACTGAATGTTTTAAAATGATTGAGGAGGTGTTTAGAGATAATTGCATGTCACATGGTCAAATCTTTAGATGGCACAAACGATTTTTGGAATCGGAAGGTTAGAAGCTTGCTGAATATAATGAATGTTCTAGTTATCTTGCGACTTGAAGAACTGTTAAAAAGATTTTAAAAAAAATGATGAAATCATATGTCAAGACCGACATATGAGTGTTCGAATGCAAACATTGACACAGAGACAATAATGAAAATTTTGACTGAAGACTTGCATATGGCAGAGGTTTTCGCAAAACTGGTACCAAAAAACCTGACATGTGAGCAAAAAATGAACAGGAAAAACATTTGCTCTGACATTACGAAATGCTTCGCAGAAGAACCTGAACATATTGAAAAAGTCATCACATGTGACGAAATGTAGATTTTTTAGTTTGACCCTGAATCTAAATGACAGTCCTTGCACTTGAAGATATCCACATCTCCAGGGGCAAGAAAAGCTTGAATGAGCAGGTTCAAAATAAAAGTCTGTGGTGTGATCTTGGGATCACCACAATGTTTACTTTTCCTAATACTTACTGGGCTGTCTCCAACAGGAGCGCCCTCTTCGTTGACGTTGCAGGATCTCTAGGGCTCGACTCCTAGCTCATCTTTAGAGATTCTCGCAACTGCTAAGGAGGGGACGCTATCTTTTGGAGATAGACCAGTATTCCCCGTAGATCTCGAGAGTGCAGCTTCTTCTTTTTTTGAGCTGCGTGCTTGATTTCCCCCCCCAGTGTGCTTCAAGTTTGTAATAATTCATATAGTTTTACTTTTTCAACTCCATAAATTCAGTAAATTACAAATCATCTATTTCGTAAATTTTAACTGCAGATGTCTCAAATATGCTGATTACATAAATTAATATTTTTACTCCTTGAAGCACACAGGGAGGACTCAACACATGGATGTGTTGGATTTTTAATTGATGAACTTGTCATGAATTCTTATTATGTTTGAACTTTGATTGCTGACGAAATAAGGAAAGGATAAGATATTCGTATATTGCGTCCTGTGAGTCACTTAGCCATGCGGTCCCGTTAGATGTCTTCACCGAGTATCAGTTCCTGATCAGGAGATCAACCTTAGGTAAAGTCTTTGCGCCACATCGTTAAGGTGCACCCGATGAAAAGTTTGGAACCTGGCTATCATCATTCTTCTCTCTCCACTATGTGGTCCCACGCAGTAAAGTCTTTCGTTTTTTTGGATGTTAATAGTATCCTCTTGATAGTATGGTACCTCAAGGCCAAATGGTTAACCAGCAGCCAAATGGTAAACCTACATAGAAGTTCTAAGAAAATTTAGAAAAGGAATGAAGAAGAAAAGGCCAAATTTGTGGAGCAACAACTCGCAGATTTTGCATCAAGTTAACGCCCCGACGCACGATGCACTCTTTATGAAACAGTTCTTGATGAAAAAACACTTTACTGTGCTTGAGCATCCACCATACTCATTAGATCATACACCATGCGACTTCTACCTGTATTCCAAAAGGGAAAAGTGCATTGAATGAAACATATTTTCAGTCTGTGTCAGCAAAATATGCAGACTTTCTGAAGAAGTTGACGCTAAATGACCTGCAGCACTGCTTTGAGCTGTGGAAATGTCATATGCAGCGATTTATTGATAGGAAGGGGGAGTATGTCGAGAGGGATTAACGAAATTTGTAAAGTGTTTTCAATAAAGCTAATTTTTAAGACCAGTCCGGTTATTTAATTGTCTCATCCAGGACTGATTGTGCTCCGGAAAAATTGCTAACAGTGATCCGGAAGTTTCCGGAGATCGAAGGTCCAGACGTTTCTAAAAATTATTGATCACAGAAGTTTCCAGAAATCAAATTTTCAGTGGTGGAACTTAAAAACACAGTTTATTTTATTTGTTTGTAAGGGAGAGCCAGAGAGATACTTTATAAGCTTATATTCATGATTAATATTCATTTTTTATAAGTAATAATAATCATAAGTAGTTATAATCATAAACTCAAGAAAGAAAGACATATTTGTAAATTTTAATTAAAATTTCAAATATATTTTAAGTAAACTAAGAAATATTGAGATAAAGGAAAAAAACCTTGTTTAAATTTTTTTCTAATTTTTCAATTTAAACTGTTTTTTTCTTCTTTTTTTTAAACTCAAGAAATTTTCCGGAATTTTGACTTGGGCTCACAATCACCCCTGGATTTTCCTGGCTAATAGAATGTGTGAGTGTTTATAAAACCAGTTACATGTTCTTCTGGCCTGATGAAATTTTTTTGTTGTCATTTAAAAATAGTAATATGAACAACATTATTAAGATTTTGCATGAAAGACACCTAATCACCCTAAAATAAACAAGCTGATCCATGTTAATGGTTACCTCAGTTAGTTGACCCTATGCATAGTAAGAAATGCAAACCCTGAGCATCAACCTCATTGCTATAAAATGATGCATTTCATGATTTTACTTAAGGTGACAAGTTTTTTAACCTATAATNGTTTACTAAAAATGTATTTTATAGTTACTTGATCAACATTGTAAAATATAAATATAATATACAGTAGTATATTATGTTAATAATTTATTACATGAGCTTTTTGATTGAATTAAATGTAAATATTTAGATTTTTCAATGAATAGAAGAAAGAAAATGTTTTTGGTGTTTTTCATTAAAAAAATTTATAAACATGGATTGCAAAAATAGAAAGCATCCTCATTTTCTCATTGATTCAAGTATGATGTAGGAATGAAGAAGCAGTAAAGAACCGAAATATTCTGGTAGAAACTATGTCCATATGAGTGAAATTTGTCCCTAGAACGTAAATAGGGCATATTTAATAGCAATAAAAAGTAAAATGGTTTAATATAGATGTTAGATAAATAATGTAAGATATGATAAATGTGATAAAGATATTAGATAATAGATAAATTGTTGTTTTCAATAATATTTGTTTGATTCAATTGATGTGCTCACTACTGTATATGATACAGTGAGCTATAAAAAAATAAAGGCTAATCTAAACTTTTCTTTATTGTTTGGTGTTAACAATTGTGAATAATAAATAAACTCTGATTTATAATTGTTTGGTGTGAATATTTGTTTTGTCTTTACAATTGTCAATTATAAATCAGCTCTGAATTATAATAGACAATTTGTAAAACCTAACAATCACTTTTGTTTGGTGTTTTCAATTGTAAAGAAGAAATTTTTACAACTTTTTTTTGATCTTTTCTAGCTATATAAGTATATGCTACTTGAATGATTTTTAATCTTCTTTTTTGCTCTTGTTTTCTGGATAAAATATAATTGTATTTATTTGTAATTTTGAAAATTTAATGCTTATGTACATTTTGATGAGCTGAAGGATTCTAAGCATGCATAGGCTTCTAAAATTATTAATTTCAATGTAAAATAATTCAGTAATTATTTTGAATCAGATTATTTTGATTGGATTCCAATATTTTGAATTGCATCATTAATAATTTTGCATAATGCATTTGCATTGAATTTTGCATTTTTTTGATTCATTTTTTTTATGCTTAATGTAAATTTATGAATTACATTTCATAAATTTTCGAGTCATTTTTTGATACTTTAATTTGACCCGCATTTATTGTTTTCTCATATCTATCGTTTGCAATGAATGGTAACTTGAGGAATGATTGATCAAGGTTCTATTGTATTACGTTTGATACTTTTCAACCCGTGTTGCTGATTTGAAATATGAATATTGTTAAACATACTATTCCAAAAGTAATATTTTCAATTGTTATTTCAAATGTTTTCTTTTCTTTTTTATTACCGGAACTTACCTATTTTACTTCTTTTTTTTATCTCTTTCCTGTATGTTCAAAAGTTCATCATAATTTTTAGTTATTGTCCAATTTATCAGATTGAATAAATATGTATTTGTATCAATATAGATGTTTATAAATCAATGGAGTAGATTTTTTCCGATTTTTTATCTTTCATTTTGAGGGATAAAATAAATTTTGTTCTAAAGAAGAAAAAAAAGTTGGGCTTTTAACTCATTAGCTTATACAACCTGCTGCAGCTTTTAAGCCTGCTATTGCACTGCTGGTACTGAGATGGGCTGAGCAGCTGTCGCTTTCTCTTATTGTTTCTTCTTTTCTGTCAATAGATGGCATGACATATTGTATACTGTTAGAAAGCTGATAAAATTGCCCTATTTAATGGTCTAAGGGGAAAATATTAGTAAGTTAATGAGTTAATGGCTTAATATTAAAGTAATGATTCAGAGAAATTAGCTTTAGTTATAAAAATACCTTTCCCTAAGCATTGAACCAATATGATGAATCCAAATATCATTATTATAATATTTAAAAAATGGCACAGTTAAACTATCATAAATTTTTTGCTGTTAAAATAGATTTTTTTAAAAAAAAGCAATTTTGCTTTTTACTGTGGTTTTGTAGCATGCCAAGTTTTAGGCATTTCTACACTTGTTCCCGTGTTCTGAAATGGTTATATGATCCTAATGAAAAAAAGCATAGAATATTTAATGACCATCTGACTGCCAAAATATTTCCTATCAAATAACATAGCAAGAAACTGGTTTGCAGTACCAGAAAGAAACCAGATTCAAACTGTGTGCTGAATTTCATGTCAACATTTAAAGTGTTAATCATTAAAAAAGTTGAATATTTTATTTGATGATATTAATAAATCTTTCAATTAATTGTTCTGATTATTTTTAATTTGGTATAATTTTTAATTATTTTTCTATAGTTTATTCATCGGAGTAAAAAAGAGTTGAGAATATCTGACATAAAAGGAATGCATATTGGACAAAAGGACATGCAAAAAAGCTTATTTGCAGTGTGGCAAGATGTATTTCATTATAAAGTCAATAAATCGTAATAACCATCTTTCTATATCATCTTTTATGATTGTTGGATTGAAATCTTTCTGATCTAATAAGCTTTATTTTTTTATTACAGTTTCAGAGAAATCTTTCAAACTGTACAAGCATTCGGTGACTATGAGAAAGTTAATGTAGGGATTTTTGAAAACTATTTGAATACGAAATTCAAGCATAGAAGCATTGACATGGTATTCTATTTATTTATTTTTTTTAGTTTTAAATGTTTTATTTTGTTAGTATCTTTATAAATGTATTCTCTATATATTCTTTAAATATTATTTGACAGTTAAATTTAAATTTTATTTTTGTTTCTCTTATAATTTATTTTATCATTGATGATTTTCATATTCTAAAAGTTTTTTTTAAATTAAAAAATACGCAAATTCAAGCTGTTTAGTGAAGTTGAAGAAGAAATTTAGTTAGTAAATTTTAATTAAAATGAAAAAAAATTTCTACAAAAAAGAAAAAAAGAGCACAATATTATTTCATACTTATCTTCTACTGTTTTTAAGATTATTTAACTAGTTTCGATCAACTGGTGAAGAAAAAAATTCTTAAAGTGATTAATTCATGTGTAATTATTCAATTTCCATGGCAATTTTAATGAATATTTAATGATGTTTCTTTTTAAAGTTTATTTTAAGTTATAAATTTTTTTTAAAAAATTTATTTTTGGGCAAGAGAATTTTTACCACTCCTTTTAATTTTCTTTGTTCCTTAGAAATTAAATAAATGAAAAAAAATATATCATTGTCATTCCAAAATAAGCTTTTAAATATGTTTGTATGCATCTTTAATTTATGCTTATACTTTTAGTAAATTTTAGAGAAAAAAGTATAAAAATTTTGAATAAATCACGCATTTTAAATTATTATAATTTTATGTTACAATATAGAATCATTTACAATGTTAAAACATTCTGACTGGCTTTAACCTTCAGAGCTGTTGTTTGCTTATGCTATAGTGTATAAAAACTCTATTTGTTTTCTATTTGTTTAAAAAAAAAAAAAAAGTGTGTTAGTATTTTTCTTTTGTTAGCTTAAAATCTATTACTGAAGAATAATTTTATATCCGATAAGTGTTTTATTCTCTTTTTTTTTAATAAATAACCAGAACCTAAAATTATACATTAAAAACCAACTCAAAACTCTACCTATTAAGATATTGAAAAACTAATTTTGTCAAGTGTAAAGTAATATGTTATCCAAAAGGTATATTACTTTCATTCTATTTGGAAACGAACTTTCAAATATAAACTTTAAATATTAGAAAGCAGATTGAAAATTCTATGATTTATCAAATAGTTTACTAAAAATGTATTCTTTTTTTAAAACTTTAAAAATAATAAAATTTGCTAATTGTTCGGAATTTAAGAGCGATTTAGCTATAAAATTTCAATGCAGAATTGTTTTTTAGAAACAAAAATTGGAGGATGATATTTTTACAAGGTTAGTTACTTTAGCCAAAAAATGTTGTGCTATTTGTCTATTTACATTGAGAAATACGTGTAAAAATTACAAAAATGTGTAGATGTTTTTTCGAGTTTTGTTTGAAAACTTTCAACCACCACTTGGCAGATGAGCAATCCTTAATTTTATTTTATTAAAGTTTAAAGTTTTTATCAAAAATGTAAATTGTTGTGCATGTTTTATTTTTATGCACATCCCCGTTTTTAATATTTCTCATTAGTAGATGTGGTGTGCTGTATTTATTATTTTTTTTAAATTGTTAATTGGAAAATTTTACTTCATTTTCTTTCCTTTATGTATTTCCAATTTTTTTTCTCTACAATTCGTCATTTAAATAATTTTTATTATTTTTGTAAGCTTAGTTTTAATAGCACTAAACTTATTTTTTTATAAGTACTTATTTCTTGAAAATAATTTTATATATATTATTCAAATAAATGATTTATTTATAGAAATGTTTTGTTATTTGAAACAGATAAATTTTTTTAAAAAATACAGCACCCTAGAAATAGCGAAATTTGTATAGATGGTATTTAAGAACTACAGGTGAAATATCAGCAATAATTTATTTCAGCCTTTACATCATGTTTAAATATTTTAAATTAATTAATATCTATTTTTCGTTATATTTATAGGTTTGGAAAGGTTCGGAATGGATGTGTTTTGGGGATATCATACAACAGCAAATAGCTCATAGTCAACTATATTTCTTACTACCATATTTGCCATATCCAGCTGTAGCCTTTCATATGCTGTACTCTTCCAATTCTTTTGCACATATCTCTTATCCCTCTGCATATTATGAAGTAATTTGCTTAATTGTTTACGTTCTCTGTGTCAAAGGAGTTCTATAATGATCACTCTTAATATATATTTTTACAATTATTGTTAAACTGTAGTGAACAAATGACAATCATTAGGGGTTGCAAATTAATATTTAAGTGAGATAAAAATGAAAATGCTTCCTAAATTTGTTGGACCACTAAGGTGATATTTAAAAATTTTATAGATTTTTTTCCCTCCTTTAAATATTAATTTGTAATCTCTAATGTGCATAGTTTTTTTAACTTCATTTTTGACAAGGTTTCTCTAGTGAATTATTATTTTTTTCAATGCCCACCTGATTGACACTTGTCGTTCAGGTATCAGTAAGATAGATTTGCTGGCCACTCTTTAAGGGGCACTATATCAGGTGGGTCAACGTTGCTCTCACAGTAAGGACAGATAGTAAGGAGAACGAAAGAACAGCCATGCTTTGTCTGGGAAGGGATATGAACCCAGGAACTTTCTAATTCGAGGTCGGCTCTCTGACCACTACAGAGTTTGATTGGCCTGAAATTAATTAGTAAATCTGCCATTTTGTAATTTTTTATTGAAAGTACAGAGCAAAAAAAAAAATTGCAATCCTTACTAATTAGGTTTTGGTAGCATTTTTTGTCCCATTTTTAATATTAATTTGCCGTACCTAATGTGTATGTTTTTTTTAAAACTTTTTTTTGAGAGTTTTTTAAAATTAAATTTTAAATTTGCCATTTTTGTTATTTTATTTGTTATTATAAATTTTTTTCAATCAAAGCACTGAGTTGAAAGGATCTCAATTGTATTACTTACTAGTGGTAAGTTAAGAGTTCAATATCATTTTCGTTGTTTCCCCTTTTAAATATTAAGTTGCAAACTTTTAAAGTGCATACTTTTTTGATTTCATTTTTAAAGAGGTTTTTAAAATTAAATACTAAATCTACTGTTTTTTATTTTTTTCAAAGCACAAAGCCAAAGGATCTCAATTGCAGAATACATTGTCTAGTATGATTAAAGATATGGTTTCTTCGCTTAAAACTTTTTTGAATCCAACTATGTTGCTTGTTGATGTTTTCCCATTTCTTCTGGAAATTATTAAGCCAAATTTAAGACCAGTGAGTATTTAAATATGTTATGTTCAAATTTCTCAAGTATATATATTTTTAATATTTGAAGTATGTTTTTTTTCTTCCATTAATGTACAAATGTATATATTTTTTATCGAAATACATAACAAAATATTGAAAAATTTCTGGTAGTTGGCTTCCTTGACACTTAAAAAGTTGCTGCTGGCACCAAATATTTTAGTATTTTTACACCCTTTTTTAGACTCAAAAATCTGAATATTTTTATTTAACACGTTGACTGCCATGTCACCCTTATTTGGGTGACAGCAAAATTTCTGATAGGGCTGCATCACTCACATTTGGGTGGCAGTAAAGTTTCTGATCAGGCCGCATCACCCACATTTGGGTGGCAGTAAAGTTTCTGATCAAGCCTATCTTTAAAGAGTTACGGAACTTCCTTGGAACCCTTTAAAGATAGGCTCTAGAACTTCCTTGACACTTAAAAAATTGCTGCTGGCACCAAATATTTTAGTATTTTTACACTCTTTTTTAGACTCAAAAATCTGAATATTTTTATTTAACACGTTGACTGCCATGTCACCCTTATTTGGGTGACAGCAAAATTTCTGATAGGGCCGCATCACCCACATTTGGGTGACAGTAAAGTTTCTGATCAGGCCGCATCACCCACATTTGGGTGGCAGTAAAGTTTCTGATCGGGCCGCATCACCCTTATTGGTGTGACGCTTATTTGATTTCTTGCGAAGCATATTTGTAAGAATTTGAAGGGATATTTTACAGGAAGTAACAAAACCATCGAATTGTTATAAAAGTAATACAAAAATGATTTATTAAGAAAATTATTGTAAACCTCCTAAAAGTGTTCACTGCTATTTGACCCACTAAGAAATAAGGTTTCCATTTTACTTTTCGAAATTTTAATGAATTAGGGTAAAGGTTTTAAGTTATACTCCTCTTTACTCGGCACAGATTCAAACTGATCGTGTAAAGCGGTGAGATGAGAAGCAATAGACACAAATAAACAGACATGATACCGTGGAAAGGAACAGAGTGAGATATTATTCTTGTGACCACCAGAGACTTGAATTATTAAAATATCAGTGTAAGTACTTAGCAGGATATGCTTTGTACAGTGGTACAAAGTGGCCTCAAGGAGATTTCACTGCTAACGCTTGCGGCAGTCAACATGTTAAAATAAATAAATAGAAAAATAATATTTTTTTTTTGCATAAGATCCAACTAGAACATTCTTAAAAGTCTTTCTTGTTAACTGGATCCCCCTTTTTATCTTTGATTATGAATTTTATTTAAAAATTGAAAGAGGGAAATTTACGAATTAAGTTATTTTTACGAATCTAAAATGAAAGATAATACTATTAATTGTTTTATAGGTAGTCTTGTATAGTTAACTATGAAATATCTAATGAAGATATACTGAATATGAAATCTCAAGGAAACAACTATGCATTATAAGTGTAATAGTATTCAGCATAAGTTTTAATAGTAAAAGTATTTAACATATGAATGTTAATAATTTTATGAACTATATAATTTATAAATTATTATATATATAAATTTTATGAATTCTTTTAAATGAATTTTTTACCATTACCAACTTTGATACCAACTATTCCACATTTTATTTTATTTAGTTTTTGATTCCAACAACTAAGTTCTAAAAGACTTTTGCAGACAATGAGAAAGTCAGGTTTCTTTTAGTTTTTAAACTCTTTTTATAAAATATAAATTATACTCTTTTAACTTTTTTTTTGTCAGGTTAGTAGATTAAATGTGTATGTAAATACTAAACTTATTACATATTTCTTTGTCTAATTGATTAAGTCTTATTATCAATTCTGAAATAGTGGCTATATTTTTATAGGTGAATACCCAATTATATAGTGAAAGAGAAAAAAATGAACTCTCTAGAGTTATAGAGTTGATGTTGGCATTTAAGCTGACTTATCGTCAAGAGCGATTAATGGATGGCACTTATACTTATGTTTTAGATCCGTAAGTATTGATTTTATTTCAATTAAAATTTTATTTTTTTATCAATTTTAGTTATAACATTTGTACATACTTTCTCTATATTACAGCAATATTGAAGAACTGATACGATTTAGTGAAATAAAACCAAAGAAAGTTTTAACATATTCAACAAAACAGATGATTGCTAGAGAGGTATTTTTCAAAACTGTTTTACTTGCACATATTTTTATAATTTATACATAAATGTTTAACTTAGGGTTAAAATTTAGAATTACCTGTCATGTATGTCTTCTGGTATAGATGAGTCCAATCACTCTGAAATGATCTTTTCTATTTTAATTTTTTATTTTTTTTGTTGCATCACACTTAGTTTGCTGCAATTTTTCAAAAGCGTTATTAGATTTTGTGTTTCTGTTTATATCTATTACTTTAGAGTCATTTATGTATCTTGTGCTATTAAATTGTACAATCAACTGAACGTGAATATAGTTTAAATAATATTTCTTATGATTCATTAATTGTGTTTAAAGTTAAAAAGAATAGTTCAAGAAAATTAAAGTATTTGTGTGTGCATTTACATTTTTCTTTGAAATTATGAAATGTAAAGTTAATATTAGCCTTATCTTTAAAGGATTTAGGTGAATATGACAGAGAGATTTAGTATTGTGTTCTGGCCTCCCACTAACTTTAATGCTAATTTAAGCAGCACAAATTTCACATCGCATTGTACGAAAACTTGTCTACAAATCACAGAATCACTAAAGAATAGAAAATAAGGTTAATGTAAGACAAACACTATGCAAAATCTCTCTAATGGTAAGTGCCATTTTCAGATCATTAAGGTGAGTATTTTTATAGGTATTTTTTATGAACAATAATGTTTAGATGTAGGCAATAGGATGTTTATATTTATTGTGTTGTTTTCTATTTAAGTTTATAGAAACTTATGAAGTACCTACTTGGAGGCAATACTAATGAACACTTCAACATAAAAATGTTCCTCTTGGAAAATGTGTAGCATAATACTATATCACCCCAAGCCCTTCAGTTTTTTAATGAGGAAACAAAAATTTATGTATTTTTTTCAGTGTACATTACCTGAGATTTTTATCATGGGTTTTACAATGTAATATTGATTACCTATCACGGTGTGTGACAAATAGTTTCTTAAACAGCTATTTGAAATGTAATATTTTCCCTTTTATTTATGTTAGTTTAATGTATTTTTGCTCTTTTTTTTATTTTGCTTAGTTTAATGTTTTTTTGATCTTTTAGATAGAATAATTTTGAATGTTTAATAATCTCGGATAGGATTTGAATGTCTTTTGGTCTTGCCTTTTTTTAGCTCCTGCAAGGGAAAAACTAAGATTAACTCTTTTCTATTTCTGCTCAATTTAGCATTAATAAATTATTGCTAAGCTCCCAGTATTATTAAAAAAATATCTCGCACTCTATTAAAAAATTATAGTATAACTTTTTTCGCACTGATGTTTTTTAGTGGAAATGTTGGAACAATTCTCACACAATTGGAACAATTTAGCAAACAATCTGACTATAATGTTTTAAATTACGAAACATTTTTATAAATTTTATCAAAAATTTGTCTTTAGGTTGAGATGGAGCAGATGAGAAAAGGTGATTCTGGTGCTGATGATAAAGCAGCAAAACTTACTAAAGCTGCCAACAACAAGCAGTCAGAAGTTAAAGTAGCTCCTAAAAAACAAATAATTGAAGACAAAGTATATATATATTCAATATTTCTGTGTTTCATTATGGGCAATTTTCTTTTTTGTAATTTTCGGTTTTTTATATTTAGCCCATGGTTGATTTCTTTGGCCGAGTTATAGTTCAAACTGCAAGTTCAAAAAAATCTTCAGGTAATTATGATTTAAAAGGTCCTAATTTTTAATTTGTTCATTGAATTTTTTAATATTTTTTGTCTTCCTGAGCATCCCTGTGTGTACAAATCAGTTATGCAATATCCATAAATTTTATAAATTTTGTGGTGCTGTTTCTTTTTATAGGAAAAAAAAAATTAGTTGGGTCCTTCTAGTTTTGAACCTTTTGTTCCATGTTCTATATAATTATTCAAAAACAAAAATTGATCGTAATATGCTTTTTTTTAAAAGTTCTAGTGATTTCATTTTTAAAAGAAGAAAAAAATTCGGTTTCATTTTCATCTGTTTATGTGTACCGCATGAATTAAAATCAAGTGCATCTCATAAAAGTAGTACCTGAACAATATTTTGTTTGAATAACTAAATTCGATAAATAAAATCAAAAATTTTATGAGTGAGGAAAACTTTATGAGTATTATACACACCCTTCAATTTTAAATTAATCATTAATCAGTACGAATAAAAACTATTGATTTTAGAAAACATTTTTACATTTTAAGCATTTTCATTTTAAACATTGCTCAATTTTTTCAATGGTTGCTAAATTGGTAATAGTTAAAGCATCCCTGTGTGTACAAATACTTAGTGAGTTTAAAAAACATCCTGTTCTTTTTCGGACATGACATAAAAGAAATAAAAATACTAACATTGTATTGTTGGTTAAAAAAATTAAAATATTACTATCTTCACAAATTTTTAAGGTCTTAATATTTTTCTATGTATTTTTGAATCTGAACTTGTATTCATGAATTGAATGTAAATAAATTTTTCAATCAAAATATATTTTTTTCACCTTATTAGTTTTGAACTTATTTTCTTAAACTTTGTTTTGATCCTCGTCTGTACACCACTTTTTATGTGTTTGTAATTTTTTTTGTTTGTTTTTGGATTTTGTAACATTTCTTCTTTGGTAGAGTTAAGTCAAATGTTGGTTTAGATGTAGACCACATTGTATCCGACAGAATCAGTACCTTGTTAGCCTGGGGCAGGCAAATGAGGTACATTGTGCAAAAAAAAATTAACTGGACCACCTTGAATATTGTTTGATCTAATGATCGGATCTTCACCTGCTGGGCCCTAATCTTAATGGTTGGAGGAGATGACTTTAAATATGCTAATTAATTAGTGCAGACTATATTTTAAGTTACAAGATCAGACACAAAAACATACTTTTTGAATAAACATACCTTTCTTTAACAGATTTGGATTTCTGAACCCAAAATTAGAACACACAATTATAAAATAGTTTATCCAAGGATAATTTTAGTAAACATTCATTATTTTTTATTATTTTTTCTAAATAATAGTCAAAAAATAAATTGTTAGGTATAAAATTTTTTACTGCAGACGATATACACAAAAACATAAATTTGCTGAATAAACAAAAAAATGGTCGTATTTTTAAAATTTGATTTATTGGAAACTATTTGACCAATTTCACCCAAACTTGGTATTTTGCCATGTAAAATTACATTCTTTAAAAAAATGTGAAAAATTTTATACCTTACAATAAATCTTTTTTTTTACTGTTATTAAATGACATAATAACGCATAATACGTATTTACTAAAATATATTTTTGCTTGGAATTAATTATCTTTGGATAAACAGATTTTATAATTGTGCACAATTATAAAATCCTGTGCACAATTTTTTAAAAATTTCCTTATAAAGTAATGAGCTATAGTGAAATACGCAAAAAGTAACATAAAGTGGTCCAAACTTTCTGATCAAACTATTAGGACCACATTTCCCAGATTGTGGCTATCCTTTATATTTTGGGAGTCAGAAATCTGAATCTGTCAAAAAATGTATATTTATTCTGAGAATGTATGTTTTTGTGTCCTATTTCATAATTTAAAATATCTTCTGCTCTAATTAATTAGCATATTTGAGGTCATGTCCCTCAAACCATTAAGATTGAGTCCTAGTGTTTGACGATCCTATTATTAGATCAAAAGTTATTCAAGGTGATTCATTTATTTTTTTTGCACACTGTACATCACTATCCTATTCTTTATGATCTTTATTTAAGTTATCATCAATTTGTGTGAAATAAAATTATTCATTTTACATTCATTTTATTATTATTTTTTATATACAGAAAATANTTTTTTAAAATTTCCTTAAAAAGTTATGAGATATAGTGAAATATGCAAAAAGTAACATAAAGTGGCCCAAACTTTCTGATCAAACTATTAGGACCACATTTCCCAGATTGTGGCTATCCTTTATATTTTGGGGGTTAGAAATCGGAATCTGCCGAAAAAATGTATTTTTATTTTGAGAATACATATTTTTGTGTCTTATTTCATAATTAAAAATATCCTCTGCTCTAATTAATTAGCATATTTGAGGTCACCCCCCTCAAACCATTAAGATGGAGTCCTAGTATTTGACGATCCTATCATCAGATCAAAAGTTATTCAAGGTGCCATTTATTTTTTTGCATTCCATTTATTTTTTTGCACACTGTACATCACTGTTCTATTCTTTATGATTGTTATTTAAGTTATCAATTTGTGTGAAATAAAATTACTCATTTTGCATTCATTTTATTATTATTTTTTATATATAGAAAATAAAGATCCGAGAGATGAGCAAGTATGGTTTCATTTTAAAGAAGGTTATAGTAATGCTGTTCGAAGAACTGTGTATATAAAAGATCTTTTGTAAAGCTTTAAGTATATAAGGATCACTTTTGTCTTATGAACTATGTATATTCTTTAGAATTCATTGGAAAGCTATGCACCACATTTCAAATATTATTTATTAATTATAATTTACAATTTTTATTATTTGCTAGAGATGATTGTATACATATATTTTATCTATTTCTGTGGATCATATTTTTTATTTCCTTTTAAAAGATATCTAATCATTTTGTCGGCATTCTTTTTCATCCAGCTATTTACTTTTCTTAGGTGACTAAAAAAAAGAAACATATTAAATATAGTATTATGTTTCAAGCATACTAAATATTAATATTTTTGCAAAACAAGCGTGAGTAATTTTAAAATCTTTTCTTTGTAATAAGTTATACTGTTATTTTTAATGTTCTTTTATGAACCATTACTTTAGTCAACTTGAACTATCTAATAGGGAGCATGCGGAATGTGATATTAATAACTACAATTCTTGTTTCAGTAAATGGTGTAAGAACTTATGAGTCATGCAAGCTCATGTTTGCTCAATTAAAGCAATTCTACACTAACTCTTTTATAAATTAATTTAGAATTTCTATTCATTTTGAAATTAATCTGCTATATGTATTTTCTGCATCTAGTGCCTTTAAAAATGTTTATTTTTATAAATTTAATTGAGATAAAATTGTCTTACGATACCAGAAAATGTACTATGGGACAGTTTGCAGGTTCTACTTTAATTGGCTTATTTGTTTTCTTTTTTTTTTAACGTGGAAAAAATATATTACAGGAAGTAAACATTTATGTATCTAAATTTTTGTTTTAAAATTGAAAATTTGACTAACATATAAATAAAAATCTCAACATATAACATTAACATATAAATAAAAATCTCAAGGTACAGCAAATTCCCCTTCACTAAATATTTAAACACCTAATATTATATACAGATGGGTTGGCAGTTATCACATTTAATATGTATACTTACCAAAATAGAAGTTAAAATAATCTTCCTATTAGGGATTACAAATAAGTATATATATATATAATGGCTGGGGCAATTGACACAGGATAAAAATAACGCAACTCAACAGAACACAAGTATATATAACGGAGGGAAAAACAAAAACGTTTTAATATCTGGTCAATTCTTGTTAACTACATTTTTGAAAAGGTATGTGTAAGGGCATCGGTTTCAGAACACCCTGCATTTCAGAACACCCTTCATGATATTTGGCACACAACATTCTTTATGTTAATTAAAAATTGTGAGTTTAATAATTTAAATTTTTTAAATTATATTTAAGTAGTTACAGTTTTTAATTTTGTACTTTTGAAATATTTTTTAAATAAAAAAGACACGTGTTTCATACAATTATTTACGACAATATTAATTGTTTAATAGGTTCACACTTTAAAAATTATTTGTTATGTATTTTATACAGAATAATGTATGTCAACCATGCAAAAAATTGAAAAATATTCTAGTATTAATCTGCATTATTACTTACAATGCTATCCTTACTGCCGGATGGAACTCTCAGCGAGGAATCTGAGTCCCATCTTTGTAATTCTTCTCTTACCATTTTTTCCATGTGGTGTCTTTTTGATTTTTCATCAAGGTCACCACTCTGTAATTCATAAGTAATTCACATTAACTTTTTTTCACTTAGAGATTTCATACTTATTGTATAATGATGATAATTTACTTAATATATAATTTAATTTATATTATTATTTGAAAGTAATTTAATTATTAATTTTTAAATGATGTTATACAGGCTTTATTAAATTTTTATGATATTTTTACTGAATTTAATCAATCACAAAATTTACTAAATTTTATTTGCATTTAAACATTTTTCTTTTGCACCATATAAGGGAATTTTTTTTTAAAAAAAGGATGTTTTATTACATAATTTACTTTTTTTTTAATTATCTAGAACTCTATATATTTGTAATACTTTTAAGTATTAATCTCTTTTTACTCTGAAATTTCTTTATTATTAAATTTAAAGAGCATTGTAAAATTTGATGATTGTTATTCTTGTTAAAACATAGGTTTTGTTCGAGTTATTTATTAAAAAGTAATTTGAAATTGAATGTTTTATTTAATTCAAGCTATTGTCCTTTTTCAATCACGTATTCAGTCATACTAAGCAAAACTATTTGCTATAAAATATGTAATAACATTTGAAATTATGTAATAGCATAGTACTTCAATGTGATAACATTCAAAATAATGCTTGGAGAAATGTATGCTTAGTTATTTTTTGCAGCGTATTTATCACAGTTTTATTCTGTGTTTAAAATGTTTTTCAACCTTATTTACATTGATTAAAGTAATTGTTAATCGATTATAGCAGTTGTCTTTATGCTGTTTTAATGATGGTTAAATGTAGTTCTTAGAGATCAAGTGCAAACAAAAGTTTTTAAAAAAATTATTGTAAATAAATGAGTGAAAAACTATGTAATATAATTTTTATTTTTTCGGAAATAATGGCTTATAACTATAAATAAATCCTTCATGTGATGTTTTAAAACATGCGGAAATTGGATACTTTAAAAAGTTTGTGCACAGTAAAATTTACATTGGACATTTTTATTTATTATTTCTTTTTGTATTTACGCTAAAGTCAAGTTATTAATACTTAATCATTATAATAAAAATGGATTATTTTGCCTTTTTTATTCACATACATCAAATACATCATGTAAAATAAATCAATAAACTAAAAATCATTAAGTTTTAGTAAATTTGAAGATATACTTTCGAATGTATTAACTTTATCCACTTTTAAATATGTTAAATTTCTTTTTCATTAAAATTTTTTCAAACATTTACCGTTTGTTGCTTAATGAAATATTTTATTTGTTAAAAGCTATAAAAATTAAATATTATTAAATAATTTTTGAGAGCACTGAGTTCAGTAAGATTTAAACTTTAAAATAATAGTTAAAAGTATTCATAATTTAATTTTTTTATTATCCTACTTTCTAAATGCATGTGAAAGTGAAAAATGATTTATTTAAATTAATTTTAAAACATTTTTTATGCTTGTTAGCAAACCCAAAATTTGTATTTGTTTTATGTGATTTACCTCAGAAATTGTATTCAAAATTTTGTTCATGTTCTCTCGTCTTTTCACTTTTGCTCTGTCCATTGCTGCCATCTTATTTAGAACTGCATCAATTTTAGACACAATGTTGCCAATAGAATTTTCCATCTTGTCCACTCTTTCTGACAAGCTGTAAAAAGAACATTTTGTATAAAATATATACATATATTTTTTTGTGAAAAATGTTTTGATTTATATTTAGTTGTATGTTCTTTTTTATTTTATATATTAAAAATTACCAGTTAAAAAGTTATTTTGAATTCATAAATTTGTCATCACACTTGTTACTATCTATTATTACATATTACCGACAGTATATTTCTTTAATTTTTATGTGTGTTTATTGTTTGTGCCAAACAATATTTGAAGATTGAAAAAATCAGTAAAAAAAAAACAGTAGGAGTTTGAAATGCATGGCTTGCTGTATTATGCTTAAGAAATTAGAAAATTCCCACTAAATGCCAAAATTAGTAATAAAGTTCATCAACAGATGGCACAGCTGACTATGAAATTTTTTAAAGCGATTTCCGAATGAAGATAGTGCACTTTGTGCTATGTATAAATAAAGGTAAACAATGCAAATCAAGTGCAAAAAATGACATTATAGTTTTGGTTCTATAAACAAGTTTAAGCACAAAATAGCAGAAGAAAACATGTGGCAAAAATATTTCATAAACGAAAAAAAGGTGATTTAACCAAACCATTTATATCACTAAATGGCAGAAGAAAATATGATACAAACAAGTTGCAATAAATAAAAAATTTAACCAAACGACTTACAATGGAATTTCAACTTGTTTGTCTCTTGTTTACTTCTGCCATTTTGCATTTCAAAACCAAGAGGGATCTTGTTTATAGAACTGAAGCTATATAATATTTTTATTTTTGTGCCATCTGAGATTTTTTCTCATCGTATAGTTTTATTTATAAACCAATGTTTTTTTTTGTAATTATCAATTCAACGGTTTCATTTGCACAGGTGTCTGTTACTTTTCCCTCTTGCTGCATTACATTGTTGCTGCATGTGATGATTACTTTCAAGATATAGTTGTTCTCAATTAGTCTTCTGACTATGTAACTAATTTTGAAGTTCCGTAAGTCTTAATTCCTAATTTCTTATATAAAATGTAGAAAACTATTCATTTCTATAATTAACAACAAAGGAGAAACTGATGAAGATAAACTAAATAGATTAAACAAAGCACAAAGCAGTTATGCTATTCTTAATAAATTCTAGAAGAAAAAAACAGCAAATTCAACAAAATTTAGAATTTTCAATATAATGTTAAATCTGTCCTACTATATATGGATCTGCTACATGGCATTCCAATAAAAATAACATGAAAAAAACTTCAATTATTTCTTAACAACTGTTTAAGAAGTATCTTGCGTATCAAGTGGTTCTGTGAAATTTGTAATGCAGAATTCCTTTGAAAAGCAAAACAGAAACTGATTGATCTGGAAATTGAAAAACGTAAATGGCAATAGATAGGTCATGTTCTCCTTAAACCTGAAAAATTTAACGCAAACAAGTTTTTGTTTAGAAGCATCGGGGACAGTAGAATAAAGAGGAAGAACTAAAAATATAGTTTGTCTACGGTAAGAACTCCCCCCGACACGAAGTCTGAGGCCGTCTGTTGCTATGGAAACAAGAATAGTGCATTTCAGGGAGGGTAGCTTCTCTTCACTCTAGGACTAACATAAAAGAATGAAGAAAAAAATTTCTTTTCTCTCTCCGACCCGAACCAAACCCCTACTTGAAATAGTTATGCCTCGTTACTATAGTCACCACCACGAGTCCAGACGAATGGTTAGGTGAGTTCTTACTTTAGACATACTATACTTGGTGCAGGGCGATTGTAAACAAATTGAAAACAATAGAAAAAACACGGAGAAAGGCAAAATGTCTGGCTACAAATAGAGATAAAAAGTTGTGAATGCTGTGTGAAAAGCTGTGTAAATGAGATAAAAAGTTATGATCGAATCCTTATGTTCTAATTTGAAATGAAGAGGAATATCTATGTGTATATTCATTTATGTCTCTTTTAAAATTTCTTTGATTTTTCCCATCCTCTTGATCAGTCATCATTGATCAGTCATATTTGGAGTGCTTGTTATTACTATGTAATATCAATTTAAAAACTCAAAACATTTCTCATATATATATATCTCATATAAGTATACAACTAAAACCTATTGATTATTAGTTCTTCATTTAATTTAATTTTATGAAGCTTTTGTTTTTCCTTCAACAAAAAACCAATTTTCTCATTGTCATTCCATAAGAAAAGGAAAAAATCAGTCTGATTTTAAGCAGAGTTACAGTGGCATAGTTACAGTTAATTAATAAAAAAAAGAAGTGTTCATTACTTATTAAGGTGATTTTTGTATGACAAATAATTAACAGTTTTGCTACCACTTGTGTGATTGTTGTTTTCTTCTGAGTGTAGGTCGTTTTTGGTCTAAGTTGAAGAAAAAATTGCCCTTTTCATAACTCTTTTTGCTTTTAAACCTTATATTTCTGTTGTGGAACTCCACTACTTTAATAATTATAAAATCATTATTTTTTTATGTTAAAGAATTGAAAATATTAGATCTAGGTTTTAAAAATAAAAATATTTACTAAAGATGAAATTTTTTTTTTAAGTCATAACATAGATTAGATATCTAAGATTTTAATTATGAAGCCTGTCAGCTTAGGTCTAAATTTTTCCTGCTTGATTTTCTAATTATTTAAAAACCTAATTAAATAAATTTTAAACATAAATTTATAAGCTTTACTGTCTCTGAGAAGGGTTATATTACTTTTAAATAAGTTGTTCTTATGAAAAAGGTACAAATTAAAAATTTTTTTGCAGTAAATCAAAATGTTTTTTTATTTTATCATCGTAATAACAACGAATTTATCTAATAGCAATACCCAGCAATATTGTTTATAAAAGTGTAAAATGTTTAAAAATCTCAGGTGTAGGTATAATTTGCCAGCTGATTTAAGTTTAAACAAAAGTAAGTTGCAATTCTTATACTAAAAATGAATTTTGCATTATTATTTTTAAACTTTCTTTTATTATAAAAATTTTCAATGATAAAAGTTTTTAATTTATTCAGAAAATACATATCTGTTTTAGCAATTTATTGAAAAATTATTTGGTATAATCGCTAAGTAAACTTGTTTAAGTCTATTTTATCCATAAAAAATTGCACTGAATTCTTTTTATTTAAAGAATTGTTTAGATTGTTCTCTTCCCTTAAAAATTGCTAAGGATGCTTTTGTTTAAAGAATTTCTAAAAAATATTTTATGTATATTTTATGTTTAAAATGAGCTACTCTGAGATTGTTTACAGCATCTTCACTAAAAAAATTATTTAAAGGATAAAGATTAGGATTAATTAAAGATTAGGATGTTTATATTTTTTATTATTTTCAAGATCCTGTGCAAAAATTTATTTTATTGTTTTATTCATTTACTTTTTTTTGTTTTCAATAAGTAAGAAAAGTGAGGTTACCTGTAAACATCAGGTTCATAGTTATCCATTTTCATTTTATTTCTTGTTAGTTATCTTTCTTGATAATTAACAGCCTTTTGATTTTTATATTTTCACCATTAAATATATTTTTTAAGCTCCAGTAATAAAGCAATTGTTTTCAATAGTGAAGGCTTCAACACGATCTAAAACATTTTGTTGATACTATTTAAATTTCCCTATCTTTTTCCCTTGAAAATTCCCTATTGACATATGTGACTGTTATAAATCTAAGCAAAGTGATATTAACTAACTATTGCTTGTTCATTAAGTAAATATGCTTAATTATTAGTAACTTTTCCGTATTAGGTTGTAAATAGTATATATCCCCTTTTTTCCCCTTAATAATAATAAAACGATGAAAATTTAATTGCTTAAGTGATTAAAAGATTTCGTGAGAAGACGAAATTATTTTCTTTCATTCTTAAAAAGCGCACATCGATATCTTTTACATTTTTCAAAAATAATTTCTTAAAATTTCGAATTTTTATTTTTTGATAACAGTAAGTCATTTATATTTTAAGTCATAATTACAATGTAAGAAACAAATGTTATTTTTTTTTCTTCTTTTTTTTTGGTTTTTCATTTAATATGGCAGAATGTTTTTTTTCCCTCGCCGTTTATTTACAAATTGATTAATATAAAAATAACATTCCGATTTGCCTTTGATTAATATATTTAAATTACGAACGATAGTATATAAATGATTGTATAGTTATTTGGCAAAATATGTTACTATATATTATGATAGTTATTGAAATATATTTTATCAGTAAAAAAATCTCTCGAAAGTTTAAAAATAAAAATTTCCCATTTAAGGAGAAGTTTTATAAAGAATCGAAGTTATTTATAATTTAAATAATATAAAAATAACATACCGATTTGCTTTTGATTAATATATTATTTAAATTACGAACAATAGTATATAAATGATTATATAGTTATTTGACGAAATATGATACTATAGTTATTGAAATATATTTTTATTGCTACTGATATCAGAAAAAAAAACCCTCTCAAAAGTTTAAAAATAGAAGTTTTCCATTTAGGGAGAAGTTTTATAAAGAATAGAAGTTATTTCTAATTTGATTAACATAAAAATAACATGCCGATTTGCTTTTGATTAATATATTTAAATTACGAACGTTAGTTTATAAATTATTTGACAAAATATGTTGCTAACTTTCATGATAGATATTGAAATATATTTTTATTACTACTGATATCAGAAAAAAATGTCTCGAGTTTAAAAATAAAAATTTCCCCATTTAGGGAGAAGTTAAATTCTTTTCCCCATCTCTGTGCTCTCACCCGTTGAAATCTTGTTGCGAGACGAGCGATGCCATAGCAACTGCGCTGACAGTATTTGAGTTATCATTTCTTTCGGATTTGTTGTGCATTTGACGATCTATTTCAAGTCTCTGGTTATCTAAGTCGGCTAGCATCATCTTTGTTTCATCAGCATCTAATTCACGATCATTGTTAAGATCGTACTTTGCGAAAAGCATCTCAATTTCCATGTCAGTAAAGTTTTGCCTGGAAAATAAAATTAAAAGTTGATTAAATGGAAAGATCTGTTATCCTTTCATTTTACATTGTTTAGATACATAATTATATTAATTTAACGCGGCAAATAATATTTGTTCACACTTTGATAGATTTAAATTAAATATTTTTATTGAAATTTATGGAAACAGTATGCAGATGTCGAAGTTAATTATTCTTTTCTAATAATAAAAAATGCTTGATTTTTTAGTTTTTCCTTCTGGAACTATTTTAAGTTTCAAAAATTTGTATCTTTAAAAAGAACAAAACTATGGAACTATTTATTTAGAATTATTTCATAATCATTCTTGACGAATAAAGCGATACAGTGCTACGGATACCTATTTTTATTCCAACTGTATAATTTATCCGCCTAATTGTCAACTGTATTATGAAACTTATAATTGTTCTAAATTTATTCCTATTACAAATTTTCTCTGACACTTAAAATTATCCTTCTCGTTTTTTTTTTTTACATTATTGTAATCATATAACTGAATTTTAGAAAGACATAATTAATTTAATTAACAATTCGTTTTATTTAAAGATTATCGTTTAATATTTTATTTAATTTATTTAACCCTGTTATATATTTTCTCAGTGAATTAGTATATAGACTATGATTTCTTTTTTTATTTTTTATCAATCGTTGTCCTTCCCGACGAATTTGTATTACGTTAATTGTTGTTAGATACTTTTTTATTTTTATTTTTTATTTTTAAAAACATGGCTATCGATTTTCTTCTAACTTAGCAATGAAAAGATAACTTTTTTTACAGATCCGTTATTTTATCTCTATTCTAAATTATACTTCTAACTTTTTTTACAGATCCGTTATTTTATCTCTATTCTAAATTATACTTCCAACGTTTTTTACAAATCCGTTATTTTATCTCTATTCTAAATTATACTTCCAATTTTTTTTACAGATCCGTTATTTTATCTCTATTCTAAATTATACTTCCAAAACCATTTTCTTAACTTTACTACAAATTAACATGGAAATTCTCCCTTGTACACAATTTCCATTTTTTCTTTAATTTATTATCGTTTCACGTGATTTTACGTTCAACTCAAGAATAGAAAGGATAACTATACACAGTATTTCTCCGCACTGGAAATTATGCTATTTACACGTTGAATGCCATGGGGGTCACCGGTGACCGGCACAGAGTTTGTTCGTAGCGTCACGGGGATCACCGGTGACCGGCGAAGCCAAGATTATTAGAAACACAAAATTCGAGTAAATTTTTAATTTTTTTTTAAATTCTATTATCGTTACTAAAATGGTTTGAAGAAATTAATGCAATATAGAACACACAAAAATAGTTTTATTTATATACACAGAGATGACAACTTGATCCGGGCAGCGAATAAATATTTTCAAGTGGTAGTTTATTAATTGTAATTCTTACTTTAATAAATTCAATTTAGTAGAATTTTAACCACCACTATATCTAAACAATTCGCAAGCTTATATAATTCACTACTTTTTTCAGATGTGTCATGCTAAACCTTTTAAAAAAACTAGCAAAATCTGTCTTATATTTGCACATTTATGTTTGTAGCTATTTACCGTTTGGCCAAACGGGCAAGCCATGTAAAATTAGCGTGGCATTCAACGTGTTAAGCGGAGTCTAANACTTTGAAGAAATTAATGCAATATAGAACACACAAAAATAGTTTTATTTATATACACAGAGATGACAACTCGATCCGGGCAGCGAATAAATATTTTCAAGTGGTAGTTTATTAATTGTGATTCTTACTTTAATAAATTCAATTTAGTAGATTTTTATCCACCACTATATCTGAACAATTCGCAAGCTTATATAATTCACTACTTTTTTCAGATATGTCATGCTAAACCTTTTAAAAAAACTAGTAAAATCTGTCTTATATTTGCACATTTATGTTTGTAGCTATTTACCGTTTGGTCAAACGGGCAAGCCATGTAAAATTAGCGTGGCATTCAACGTGTTAAGCGGAGTCTAAACCTGCTATAATCGAGATTTTACCACATCCTCGCAATTTTTCCGCTGAATTGACATTTAGTGCACAATTTTAATTTAAAATTGTTTTTATTACCATTGATTTACATTAACTTAATAGAAAAAACATTCAAAGCCTTAAAAGTAAACACAATAAGCTTGGGTTTTCATACAGCTTTACAAATTCTACACACCACATGTCTAAAAACTGAAATTTAACTTGTGCTTTACCTGACGTAAGAAACCAAAGAAAAATAATTATTTAAAACGCGTATTAAACTCAGTGAAACTCAAAATAGTTGAAATTTTTTTTTATTGTCTGCAGTTTAAATTGCGACAATGCTTAATGCTAAGACAATGATTGATTTTTCACACACCCTGCTCAAAGGATTCGGAGAAGATAGCTCGGAGTATTTTTCTGCAGCGAATAGTAACCTTTCTCGTGTTTCAAACTATCAGTGTACCAAATATTACTGCAATCGAGTGAATGCTAAAGAAACTCATCCGGGACGAACAAATATTCATATATAAAAACGATAATCGATTTTGAGAGTACAAAATGTTTTAAATTCACTGATAAAACAAAGAATTTTTTTTTGAGCTTCTAAACTCACATAAAATATATATTATCACTTACTGCCTGAGTTTCTGACGAACTTCTTCGAAAGTTAGCTTATTGTCACCGTTAGCATCAGCTAGTTTCAGCGCATTCTGAAGATCAAGAAGTTGGTTTCTTTTTCCTAGTTTCCCCATCATATTATTGAATCCCTATAAATTAGTATGTAAATATATTAAATATGTCTTCAAACTTAATAAATCAAAATAATATTTTACTGATTTATATTTAATTTTTTTACTCTTAATGTGTATTTTTATTTTTCAATTCATTTGATGATTAAATTTCATTTGATGTAGTAACCCATGTTTGAAAGATTTGCCGAGTTTAAGTACCGTAAGTCAGAGTTATTCGAACCAAACGATAAAATGATTGAAGTAACTTTTGGCCAATCATGGTATTTTTTACTACACATTTAACGGTTAATACTTCTTGAACTAATTATCGAGTGTTAAATTTGCTCAATATTTTACACGCCATCCAAATTTCAAAGTCTTTTAGTCTTAGCACAGCAAAACAAAATGTAACGTTAGGTTTAACGATAATGAGTTTTTAATCGCGAGAGATTTTAAAAGAAAACATGCTTAGAAAAAGGGGCCCGTAACCCAGATTTACGATATTTTTTGTTACACATTTTTATAGTTTATAAAATCAAAATTTTTCTATAAAATAAATGTATTATAATGAAATAAATAATGTTATTTGAGCTAAAAAAAACGAAGTCTATAATCAAAACCATAAACCTTAGTCTTCTAAGCATATTGTAACTATGTACAGAATGCTTTTGTAAGTTAAAGTAGAGTAAGTTTTTTAATAATGTGGTTGGTTAAAAAAGAACAAAAACATTATCAAATTCGTTTAGAATACAAATCGAACATTTCGTTTCCTTCAAAGTTTAAATTATAAAGATGAAGTATTCTTCTAAGTTATAAAGTAAAATTTAATGGCATATAAAACTTCTATTTACCTTTTTAAAGTAATCAGCAATTTCAAATTCATTTTTCTGGGATGCTATTTCTGATTTGACTTCAGCGTATGTGTCGTTGATAATGGCCAAAAACATATTCTGCACAAGAAAACATGTGTTACTTTTCATTATGACAATGAAATTCTTTTATATATATATATATATGCAGATTGTAGCTTACCATCAGGACAAAGAAAACGAAGAAAACGTAGCTGAGGAAATATATTGGACCCAGGATTCTGTTGGCAGCTTCTAATTCATAAAAGTTGAAGTCTCCAAGTATAAGTCTTAATAATGTAAATCTAAACAAAGCAATTATTATAAATTAATAGAAATACTACTGAAAATTATTTTTAAATTTTTAAGATCCATCTTTTTTTTCATATAAAGCCTAGGAAAGACTTAGTTAATTAAATTTAGGAACTGTTTTTAAATTATTTTAGCGTATTTTTTTATTTTTAGATCGAAAGTTTTAGCTACATTTTTTGTTGTTGTTGTTGGAGGAGAGATATACGTTTATAATGCTTCTGAACAAATGTTATTTCTCAACATAATTATTTTTCAACATCCATAGGATGGTGTTTCCAATATAAATGTAAACGACAACAACCTCGAACTCTTGACCTGCGCTCTTTCCGGTTAGAAAGTATACAGCTGCTTATTACAGTTAATTTTGTGAGGCAATATTTTCAAACAGATAATTTTGCTTCTAATAAAATAAATAAATTACATAATTTCTGAGCTCGAATCTGTTGTATTTTATAAGATATCAATGATATTAAGTAATTCGCCGACCGGCCTGTGTAGAAAGCAGGGAACTGTCCTTGCATTAGAAAGGTTCTGGGTTCGAATCCCGAGCAAGGCATGGATGTTCTTTCCTTCTCTGTACTATCTGTCCTCTTTGCGGGAGCGACGTTGGCCCACCTAATATGGGGCCGTGAAAGGGAGGCTAACAAAATCGTCCTGCAAATGCCTGAATTAACGGATGTTAACACAGTTGGGCATTGGAAAAAAAAATTAAGTAATTCTAGTGAGTTTGAAGTGGAAATTTGTTTTAGTTACTTACATATGTATTGATAAAAAAAGTGACAAGGTTGCTAAATTTAGAAAGAACTAGCTTTTTTGGCAGTCCTAATTTGACCTCTTTTTACATGTTTATTACTGCTTGTTCTTGTTGCAAAGCATACCAATGGCCTATTATGTAGATATTATGCGATAGCCTATTTTGCGACGTAAATAAAGTACCAAGATCAAGCTATGGAAAAACAAATGTTTCGTGTGATATTCGATTTTTATTTTCGTTAAAGAAATTCTAGTACATAATTATGCAACCGCAAAGCAGAATTTTATAAGTAAATAACATATATATAAATTTAGTATTTGCTATCAAAATTTAAATTATACAAGATTTTATAAAACATAATTAAAGAAATCCCACGAACACAGGTTGAAATTTTTTTTTTGTTGAGATTTCCATTTTATTTACAAAGAGTTAGCTTGTGTTAAAAAAATACATGCTTAAATGGCTCAGTTTATATTTAAAAAATATCTAGTATACTCACACAGCTTTTGCGAAAGTACTGAAATCACGAACTACAGTTCCAAAGAGTAGGTATCCCAGCTGGGCAAAAGCAAAAAATACAATGAAGAACATGATACCAAACCCAGCAACATCTTTAGAACACTGAAAGATGGAGAGAAAAAAAATCGATGAATATATTAATCATTGTAGCATACTGACTAACTTCTAAATAAGCTATAATAACTTGACAAATGCACAGAAATAGAAGCTGGTATCTAGGATTTTTATTCTTAAATCTCTCCATCATATGACCTTACGTATGATACTTGAATTTAGACATACCAACCTTTAAGCATATTTCGATTATTAAATTAGCGTTTTTAATGATTTTCATGCTTAACTCTCGTCTCAACATGCGAATAGAAGCATTTTAATTTGCAGAAGAGCAATTGGTATTTCATATTTTTTACCACTAGGTGGATATTATAATAACGTTCTTTGCCAGTCTAATCACATTGAGTTCTCATCGGCAACTTTCACATGGTTTTACCAACATAATGATTCAGACAGTATAAATCTAACACTAAAAATATCCGTTCTTACCTAAATTACACCATCTTTGCACACTAAATTCACTCAATAATGATCAATAGAAAACTAGTCTGTTTTTTTGGCACGAGATTAAGTCCCACTGTGGATTGATCGTCAAGATACAATTCTCTCTCTCTCAAGTCCAACATCAATGGCAGTAGTCGGTCAGCGAGGAGTCTTAGGGTGTCCTATATCAGCTCTCAGTAAACTGTTTTACCGTAAAGTGCATGACTTCCCACATAGGTCGTCCCATCTGCAGATGATCAAAATTGTGACGTAATGTCTTCGGATCATCCTTAGAGATGCTTCCCAGACCGTCGCTAATAGCCCATTGGGAAGCTCTATTAGTATTATTACCTGCATGAGGTTGTCGGAATTAATTGATCACAATAATTTTTTTCTTCAAAATTTATTGCTTTTCTCATAAAAACAGCGAATTTTTTTCTTCTCAAATCGTGCTCGTATTATTTGCAATTAAAATTGACCAGTCATTTAGTCACCAGTCATTGATACTTAACAGTGATATTGAGAACTGTAAATAAGATAGATAAGTTCAGAACTATAAATAAGTTTAGATAAGTATTTAGACTTAATTATTATTATTATTTTTTTAACCGTGTTTGTTTTGAATTTGAGTCTAGTATTTTAATAGAACATCCATCTCCATTCTAATTCCTTTTTAATTGACGATTTAGGTAGAATCAGGATAAGCAGTGAACTTTAGAATCGTTATTTTATCGAAAAAGTTTATCACAATTATAAATAAGTTGAAATAGCAATTATAAAAACTTTCTTTTCTTAATTATAAAGAACAATTATTTATAATTATAACTAAGTTGATAATTTGTTCAAAAAATAAGACAAAAGTTCATGAAAAATGGGTTAAAAAGTTAAGTAAAAAACTGTAATAAGAGATGTATGTTTTGTCATCGAATATTTATAATTCGTGTGGTTAAGCGAGCTAACTATCACGTGTTATTATTTTTAAATATTATTGTTTAATATTAAATATAATTTTTTATTATTAATTTTTGTAATAATTATTTTTTATTCATTTTCTAACTCTGCAATAAAATACAACTTATAATAGTTTTAAATGTTTTTTAATTTTAATGTTTAATTTAATTCTCTAGTTACCCTTGAAAGTGTAGATGACAGTTGTGTCATGGTTTTGTTGAAACTAATGTACTTGAATATCTTAATCCATGCGAGGAAAACTGTTAATGCCACTAAGTTGTTGAATTGCGTCTGCCAGTATCCAAGATACTCGAAATTCGGATAGCTGTCTGGTTTGCTAAGCAATTCTTCTATCAAACCATCTATGACCATATTTCGATAGACGCTAAATCCAATGCATAAAAATGATACCTAAAAATAGACAAAGGTATTTTATTAATTATTAAAAAAAGTACAAATACCGAAAATAAGATGGCAAATTCCGTTTTCAAAATCTTTGTTGCATTTTTTTAGAAATATATGTTTGAAATCGTCATTTTTAACTTTTAAAAATTAAAATCTTAAACATTATTTCCTTCGTGGTGACCGACCGGACTGTGTTGGGTTCAGGGAACTGGCCTTGCATCAGAAAGGTTCTGGGTCCGAATCCCGGCTAAGGCATGGATGTTCTTTCATTCTCTGTCCTTGCCGTGGGAGCAACTTTGGTCCTTCTGATATGGTGCCCCTAAAAGAGAAGCCAACAAATCTGCCGTCACATGCTTGTATTGACGAAAGGCCATTCCATTGGTGGGCATTGGAAAAAAAATGTCCTTCGTGGTTGGAAAGCTCCATGAAATTGAATTTTTTTCGTTACAATTTCATAACGATAACTAAACTTTCATTAAGCGTTTAAATCTCCTGAATCTTTATCTTTATGGGGAAGATATTTCATAATTTGTAACAATTATTCAGGAAAAAAATATAATCAATAATTCAGGATTTGTAATTCATATTTCTGAAATACACCAGGTGTAACTTACAAATAGACAAAATGATTTTTATTTGTCACCTTATAGACAAAAATTAATAAGTTTAAAAATACTTACCAAAAGAACTAAGATGTCTTGTATGTTAAAAAAATCTTTGAAGTACTTGCATTTCATTCTTTTAATCTAAGTAAATGATAATTAGGTATAAGTTTAAAATAATTATTTGAATATGATTTTAGCATTTACTCATCGCGTAATCGTTTAAGAACTTATTACAATACAATATTCAAACTGTTCATAAAATTGTCTTAAAATTAAGGGAAAAGGTAAGATGCTTTTAAAATTATTTATTATTATTATTTTTTAATAATTTTTACTTTGAATTACTTACTTCCAAGATTTCTTCAATGAGATAGTAAATAACAAATACTGTGAATATTATTTCGCATACGAAAATGAAATAATCACTTGTTGATACATATCGAAGAAGTTTCACTGTCCTGAAGCTCCAAGACGGTATCATTCCGCCTGTTGCTGGAAATTCGAATACAATCCTTTAAAAATAAAAGGAGGTTTAAATTCAATTATTTTCGTAGTTTATAGGATTTTAACATAGTTTTTACTTCATGCGTCAAAATGTTTATCTTATTCGTTAAAAGTTTTTAAAATTGACACCTATTGTTATTATGTAAAATTTCGCAGACAAAAATGAAATAATCACTAGTTTTGATACATATACATGCGTAATAAATTTTATAAAATATTTCTCCTACCCGTAAGGATTTTTTTAAATTTCCAAAGTCGTAACCATTATACTGTAAAATTTTATACTGTAACTTATACTGTAAAATTTTATTAGTTGTATAATGGAATCTACAGAAAGATAAGTATGATATTTTCGTTTAGTAAATACTATAATTTTTTTCTCTTTTTCATATTCATTTAAATTTTGAGAAATATTTATATTTTACAAATCGTCATAATTTTATTTTAAAAACTATAGAATTTTTCTCTCTTTTTTTTTCGCAAAATGGTGACTTTTTTTTTATTAATGACTATATTCGCCATGCCGACTTAAAGAAATATGATTTCGGATAAAATGGGTTTAAAGTCTAATTGTTTTTAGGTAAATTCCATAAATCTGATATTTTGTTTTTACAAAAACTATTTTTGTTTATTTTTTTACATGGTATTGTTTTCTCTTGAAACATACCATTGCTAACATAAAGGTATATTCTCAAAAATCTATAGGAAAATTTCCTTTCATATAAAATCACGGAAAAAAATATTTATCATAAATCGGTAGGAAAATTATAGAATGTTACTAGTTCTTTGTTGCCTAAGCAATGGAGATGAATGGGGAATAGTTTCCACGAAGAGTAGGATTATTTCACAAAATTTTTTCTAAACAAAGCAGTGTAAGGGACAATTGTAAGGTGTATTGAGAAAATTTGTTTTGTATGCAAGTCCGTTTATTAGCAAGTAGGTGGCAAATATTTGGTTTCGACTCGAAGATTCAAAACTTTGTCAACATAGAATTTAGGTTAAAGATAGAGTTTTCCACGAGTACAGAAAAGTGTTTGTCTTCATATTTCTTGTATGTCTTATTTTTATAAATGTTTCCGTGCTTAAATTTTTTTTGGTATAAAAAATATCGAAAATTTATTATTATATTTTAAGAAAATGAAATTTGAAAGAATAAACTTCAGTGAAGTATGCAGTTAATATTTTTTGTGTGCTGAAATGGACAAAGTGACACTGAATTTAAAAAGAGTCTTGATTATCATTTGATCCACTTACTTAGCCACGCAAAATAAATTTAAATTAGCATTGTAGACTGTAAAATCCAAGAAAACTGCTCGAGTTGCTCTTGTAAGCCAAAGATTTTCTTTCAAAAATGTCATTATTGTTTTGGACTCGTTTGAACTTGTTCCTAAATCAGCATAGCATCCTGCACCGCTATACGTTGCCAACAAACCCCAATGACTGGTACCATCAAGTTCACGTTCACTAAAATAGTTCCACCTGCGAAAAAAAACATTGAAGAGACTTAATTCTGCTATAGATTGATTTGTTTTCAGTATTTGTAAAATTTATATAGACATAGAGTTAAAGAAAAACACCTTTCGTGCAAATAATTTAAATTCGGTTTTATTGCTTTGCAAAAAATTTGAACTACTCTGTATTAAACTTTTTTATTATCAAAATAAATTAAAAGATGGGCATGTTGTTAAAAGACATTAGACTTGTTTAGGTTCTCTACTTAAGGTTATGGTTTTGCCCGTTACAATTTATTTTGATTTTCTTTCATATTGCTCTCTCTCTATATATATTAAGTGATGTGTTTTTGAATGAGGAAGGAAATTGTAATATAATTTTTTTAAATGTAAAGGCTTAAAAAGAAATCATGCAAAGTATTTAAATAAGATCCCTTAGAGTTGTGAAAAACACAATTCCCAAAATTAACGAATATTCACGCTGTATTTCACAAATTTCGAGCATCAATATTCGAAGTTTTTAAATTCTTTTTTTCTATTTTAATACTTGATTCCAGATAAAAAAAAATACTGTTCCCAAAATTGCCTTAAATTTTTAAAAAAAATTCCGAACCATTTCATTTATTTACAGCGTAAAATTGACGTACTCCAGTAGGTTGTTACTTTATTTACGTCGCACTAGAGCTTCACAATGGGCTATTGATGACGACTTGGAAATATCCCTTCGCATTATCCGAATAGATTCCGTCAAAATTTTGATCCTCTGCAGAGGGTATCTTATTCGTGAGACCTCTTCCCCCATTTAGACATAAATCTGAAGGGGAAGGAAATTTTCTCTAGATCACTGTAGCCATGGTATTGCTCAGTGACTGAACACAGGACTTTCGATTCCACAGATTTTACGATCATGTATATCGCATGTACTCTGTGGGTCTTAGCGGAGTCGAGGATCGAACCCCAGCCCCTTCGGACCGGTGAGGTGCTCTGGTTTACATTAAATTATAAAACAAGAGATTAAAATTTGGATCAGAAGTTAACCCTTTTTCTTAATTTCTTCACAATACTAAAATAACACTATTGATATTTTAGATGTTATTAGATTGATAGTGAACAGTATGAACGTAAAGGATGATTAGTCCCGTTATTTGTTTTATCTATTATAAATGCTCTAAATTCTAATTGTAAATGTTAACAGTTTATAGGTATTTTTTTAAACTAAATTTTCGAACATTTACAATATTAAGCTGAATTATTATTTTATTTATTTATTCACATTCATGTGCTGGTTTATGTGCTCAATACAAAGAGTAATCAAATGGATTGGTATCATTAATTAAAGAAGAACTGCAAAAAGATACATACAGGGTTATGACGGGATTCGAACCTGCTACCTTCACTTTTCTGGATATTTGGCGGAAGGGCAATACTCACTGGTCACGGAGGCTTCAAGTTATTCATGTTCTAAGTAAAAGGCCAAGAGATTTGTCCCGGGCCGAATAAAATTTGTGTCTCTAAGAGGCTGTGTTTAAGGGGACATTTTTAATGAATGCATTAGCGAGTAATTCCTTAACACTAGCACATGTAGTTTCTAAACATTCGCACATGTAGTTTCTAATCATTCATGCAAAAATGTAAGGCACAGTCAAATGCAATAATATTGGTCTCTAAGTTATTGAAGTGCCTCGGTGCTTACAAGCGAATCGAATGTAAGTGCAAATAATAATAAAAAATAAGATAAATTCACCCGGTCGTGAGTTTGATTCTGTATAATTCATTTAAAATCATTTTCTTGATGTCAAGTGTATATTGTGTAGAGGATTGTGACAACTGATCGTTTTTCGATTATGGCGAATTGCAAATTGAGAAGAGGTTGTTGCGAATTCAAGGTTTGATTATTTCGTTTGATCTGTTTCAATATTGGACTTGTATTTATCAGGTCCCGAGCTAGGCAGAAACACTCACTTAGGAAGGTATATAATGATCGATTACATAAGCAGTTTAATTATTTATTCATTTCTTGTTTAAATCAAGTTTTTTTTATATGATCATTGCTCATTCATATGCACAGGCTTCCATGATCATTACAAACGAAGGTTTTTGAGCCCTTGACCAGTCGAAGAACAGATAGTTCAAGTTAAAGATTACCGAGATACATTTAGGGTTACGGCGAGATTTGAACCAGCTCCTTCCATGGAATAGAGCTTTTGGTTTTAACAAAGGGTGCCATAAAGTGCACTAAAAAGCTTAAAATCTATACCGTTAAAAAAAAATGGGTAAAGTTTATCCGGTTACAGTGAAAAGATTCGGAGAGCACCTTTTGTTTCGCGTTTTTTTCAAATGCTTATACATCACAGACCCAATTTAGCAGCTTTAATACTTACGATAACCGGTTAGTAATCATCTTGTAGTGCCAATTAGAAAATATGAGTAAATGCTCAAAATGGTGTGAAGGACTATATACTAAATAAATTAAACTTGATATTTTAAAAGTTAAAAGAATATAGTTAAAAGTTAAGCCCGTTGGAAAAAAAAAATTATTGGGGGAAACTGAAAAGTTGAGAAGATTTTCTTCGAACCTTTTGAACCGGTTTGCGATTACAATCTAATAATGTTCATTCAAAGTTATGATTCAGGCTAAATCAAATTCTCCATTAAAATCTTTGATAGTTCATCAATTCGAGTTAACATGATTAAACTTGTTTGACTTGACTAGAGTCTAACCTTAATTGAGCACACAAGCTTGCAAATGTCTGTTGTAACAGTAAATAAATAAATAAAATTTCTGAGCCTTTAAAAGTTTGATTAATAAAAGAGACTGAAAGTGTGCTAGTGGTTTGATTTGCTGATTGAACATTTGAACTTGATGCTAGACTTTAATATTCTAATGATGAATTAAAAAAAAAAAACTGAGAATTTTTAGAAAGAGGAATCATATTTAAACATGTGAGAGTTAGCATTTGATAACTAGTCAACGTAAAGTACTATTTGGATAGATTGAAATTAGAATATACTTGCTAAGAAATAAGGAAAGAATGTGAGATTAGAGGTGTGAAAAAATCAATTCAGACTCTTGAAATACAGCTGCCAAATCAGAAAGATACCAAGATTACCTGTGAGTACTCTTATCAAAAAATTATGTTCAGTGTTATGATGCAAGTGTATTCAATTTAATTACTCAATAATGCATGGTTAAAATGCAACGTTTTTGAATTAGATTTTTTTGCTTTACTATTGTTTTTAAAACATCTTCTTACTTCATAAGTGAGATTTATTTTAAATTCTGTAAAAAGTATATTGGGATGATTTGATGTTCACTTTATTTAGTTGAGGACAATAAAACGGAGCAAGTAATAACTCAATTATAAGATAAGTGTATATATTATAAATACGAGAGTAATATATTGGAAGATTAAAATCAAAACTAAACCTTTCTTACAACTTGGAAATGATAACTTTATGAATCTAAATTCTGTAATTAATATAATTATTTATAAATATATCTAATTTCAAAATATTTTTGTGTAGTTGAGAACAACAGTACTATCATAATTAGCTTATTATTGATATCATAATTATTCATAATTAGCATAATTACCTTATTATGATAGAAAATTATCATAAGTGTCTAATTATGATAGGAAAATATCATAACTGCATTCTTATGATAGAAAAAAATATTGTAACACAATAACAAGTCAGGGAATTGTTATTTATTCTTTTTCGAAGTTAAGTTTAGCAATAATGCAACTTGCTAAATTTTTAAGCTGTGTAAGTTTTCTTGTAAGGCACTGCAGCCTGTTATAGGCCAAGGCCGTCCAAAACAGTGTTTGCCATCTGGTCTTAACCACAGTAAGGCTCTTCCGATTTCCTTTATTTACTATATGAAAGTCATTCTCTACCCAGGCAAGTCAACTAATTGGTGGTCTTCTTCGTTTTCTGTTTTTCGTAAGATTGGTAAAAGTAAGCTTTTTCTACTGGGTTTGTATAATCAGATCGGTATAAATGTCCGAATCATAGTCCTGTGCATTTTACGACTTTAGCGATATTAGATTTCTTGTGATTTTGGTAAATTCGAAGTTGACCAAGGATATCCAGCTATAATTCTCATGGATTGTATCAAATATTTTTTTAAAAAGATTTTCCGTTTTAAGATTGATAAATTATTTTCATGTAACTCTGTTATTGTCCATCGTTCACTCTCATGTAGCAGAATAGGTCTAATTAGTGTTTTATAGTTGCTAATTTTTGTTTTTTAATTTAAAAATAGAGATTTTAGTTCGTTTTTGAGGCGTGATGGCATTCGTTTGATATGGCGAGCTTGTTGCTTATCTGCATAGTGAAATCATTGCTTGTAGTAATGATGGTTCCAAGATATTTGGACTGTGAAACTCTTTCAAATGTGTAATTGCTAACAGTAAGTGGCTGTGGATTAGGTGTACCCTGGGAAGTTTCCATGAATTCTGTTTTATCTTCGTTTATTTTTAGATCTAATTTACCAGCTTCAGCTGATAAAATATGATGTATGTATTGATGGAATATGTATTAAGGAATATGTACTAAATTATAACACTAAATCTAAAGTGATAATTTTAACAAACTTTTTGTTTAAATCATTGAATGACAAATTCCATAATTTTTGTGGCTTTCTCTCCATGTTTAAAAAAATGGTCTAATGTACTAGTCTAATTTATAACGTAATCAAACACCTGTTAAAATACGTTTATTCCAAGCCTGTAATGCAAACCAAAATTTTTAATATTAACCGAGTGTTAAGCGTGCCAAAGCCTTTTTTGGCTCTTGTGCTCAAAATTTGTTACTAACTATTCTAAACTTCTTGTCAAGTTTTGAAAATAGGAACAAAATGTTATTTGATATTTTAGTCAATTTAATAAAATATTAATAAAATTGTTAATAAAGTGTTAATAAAATATGCACCAGTTTACGGCTGAACTGGATGACTAAAAGTTCTGTATTGAAAAACGTTGGCTGCTGGTTCGGTACTGGATAAATTTTGGCTTATAGCCACAAATGTATACTTATTGTAGAACACATTAGTTAACAATAATGAACTTTAAAGAAAACGTACTAGATAACGCTCTAATAGCTAAAAATGTTATTATCAGTAGAACTTACGAGCAGTTTAGAGTGAAGAAAATTACTTGATGAGAAATTGCTAATTTAAAACCTAAATTAAGAGTTGAAAGTGTGCTTTGTCTTTGTTTCTTTAAACTACAAGTTATATTAATGCATGATTATTATGCAGGCGGTAATTACTGCTTAGATTAATTAAACTTGCTTCAGGGTAACATATTTTACTGAGTTTATATAATCTTTCTCAGTAGCATCGGTGCTCACCGGGGCATCTTGCGGTCAAAGTTCACCAATAACCCAGTTGTATACCCGGGACAGTTTGAACCGCGGGTAGCTATTCAATATATTCAGCTACTTAACAATAACGTTCAATATATTCAGTTACTTAACAATTATTTAATTCGTTCTATGTTTTATAAAATTGAAACTGCATAACAAGCTACTTGCGATAATTTCATGTAGTTTCCTATAGACTAAAAAAATTGCAAGCTACTTGCGATAATTTCATGTAGTTTCTTGTAGACTAAGAAAGTTGCAAGCTAAATTCGGAAAAAAATGTCGAAGAACTTACGCTGTTCCATTTAGTACACCAAACGACCTTTTATCTTCGACTTGTGGGGAGTAAACATCGTAGCATTCTGATATTGAGGATTTGAAGTCGTCGTGGACTACACAGGAATCGTTTCGCACTCGCAACTGCCTCAGTCGTGGGGAACCAAGAAGTCTGTTTTCATAAAGGACATTCCTGTCTTCCATTTCTGTTGGTGTTCCAGCATCATCATACCACTTTTCCCAAAACAAGCAATCGTGCAATACATATTTTTCAAACTAGATGGAATTAGAAAAAAATAAAAGACGAGTCATCAATGCTTAAAAATGCTTATGGTTTGAGAATTTAACATTAATTTTCTGTTAACATTCTGTTTATTATTGTAAAACCTGTACTTCATTATACTAAGGTATAACTAGAAAATTCAAGCCCTCGTTAAATTCAACATCACAAATGTTAACACTTAAACGACGGTATGCATTTGTTATTCGTGCGTCCTACTTTATTTTACTTTGCGCTGGTAAATGAAAAAATTATGATGAATTAAAAGGCTTCCTTGTCATCTGAATTGGGTTCAAAATTACAAGGTTACGGAATTGATCATTGATTGTCGTAAATTCAGAATTAGGTAGGCTGTTCAACGCTAGTTGTAAAATAAAATAAAATCTCTAAATCTTATACAGTGATAAGTTACTTACCCGTGTGCCCTAAATAAGGGCGGGTCGGGGTAAATTCTTCCATACAGTGATAAGTTATATTGAAATTTATGCTTGCTATAACAGTATCCTTAATTTTATGCTGGTGAAGAAATTTGTTTTCCTTAGTTCTTGTATTACTTGTTCTTTAGAGATGGGACTTTCTTATGTTATGGGGACAAAAAATGATCTTCCTGTCTATACAGGATGTTTCGCAAGTCCCGTCCTTTAGGTTGTTTTTCGAAAGCTCCTTCGTTTTATGAAGCGACGTTTTTTTAGCAAATGATGTTTTGATTTTCGCAACTGTTGTAAATACGTAATAGCATTCCATAACACTTAAAGTTTTGCTCGTGAAATATACGCACATTTCATGATCACAAAAATGACGCAAAATATCAATTCGAAGAAACGTCATAATTGTTTCGAATATAGAATGCTTTTGTGATCGAATTTTTTAATTTTTGATAAGATACTCAACCACCGCATGACTTAAGTTTATAAAAAGGTGCAGAATTCAAAATTATTTATTGATTCTAATAATTTTCATTTAGAAAAAAGGAAATTCGTTGAAAAAATCTCGCCAAACTAGTTATTTTTCATTGCTATTCTTTAAATACTCAAAATATTTGAATATTTTGCGGCTAAAACAATTTTTTTCGGTGAAATAATTTGTATTGTTTAAAATAAGAACTTTGCTTAGAGTTAAAGGTAATGAAATTGTCGCTTCGACATCCTTGGTAAAATAACTTCGAAAAACATTCTAAATATGTATTTTCAGAAATGTTGTCAAAAAAAGAATGTACCCATAAATAAATAAATGAGAAACAAAACTCCGACTAAAAAGTTATAGTTTGGAGAATCCTGATCGATGTTAACAATCGCAGCTGAGTCGGGATTGAAACAATAAAATTATTGTGATTTAAAAAAAAGAAAACGATTAATAGGTGATTCTAATATTGTCTCACATTTCTCCGCCTTCCAGCTCCAACCGACAGTGAAACGGGCTTTGTTATTTTTGGATTCGACTTCTTCATGACTGGCAGCAATCATGATTCGTCACTGTTTGATATCGTTACCGTTTTTGCTTCACTAAGGACTTAAATCTTATTTTATTTCTTTGCTTAAATATTAGTTCGTGCCCCCTAATGAGTATATGGATTTTGATTTCATTCTTGAAAAATATTCTTAAATTAAGGATATATATAAGATTTTGAGATCTTATTTGAAAAAAGAAAAATAAAGCAAGTAATTTCCACAGGCGAAACGCAAGCTGGTTTCGAAGTTTTACTTAGCATCTTATAGTAACTTCTTTAAAGACGAGGTTTCCCCATTCATGATCTTGGAGTTTGACCATTCGGATCGTAGTTACATCATGAAAAAGCCACACAAGATTAATCTGTCCCGTCTTTTATTCAGGGATTCAGAAAGGGAATGGATTGCAAGAAAATACTTAACGTAATAAAACGTCAAACAAAAGGGATAATTTAACAATCTTGATTCGTTTTAACAGGTCAGGTTGCCATTCAGACTATAGGGAATTTTTGAAATTTCTTTAATCAGTATATGTCTAAGAGTTATTTTCCATTTTCTCCAGAAAATAATCTTTTAATTGGAAAATTGATTTTTTATGGATCTGTGTGAGAGAATAATTTCAACGTCTTAAAATTAATAGGAGAATCTTTTTTTCAGCTATGAATTATTATAGAAAGACTCGTTTGAGACTTTTTATGTTAGATATATTTTTAATAATAAAGTACAGGGTTATTCATAATTCCCTCCGCCTGTAAACGCCATTTTTCTTTACTACAACTGGCTTCAGTGGTACATGTTACTGCCATCTACCGGCAACTGCTTAAATTAAAACTTGAATACTTTCGGAATAATTTCATATGTTCTTTTTTGCCATATTTGTCTTCGTTTTTTTACTATAATGCTTCGAAACCCCGGAGGGAATTATGAACAACCTTGCATATTATCGCATAGTTTTAATTGTAATTAATTAATATTAAAGGGGGTTACTAGGGTCACCATAAGAATTAATCATTTATTTGAATTAAATGAAAGTCAGCAATGAAATGAAAAGTAATACTTGCCCTCCAGAAATCGATTACTTGTGTGGATCCCTTCACGTTATTCCGTGTGTCTTCGTAAGGCGATTCCAGAAAGAGTTCGCTGATTACTTTAGTTAAGTAATACATGTTCGGACTCATCATTCCAAACGTCACTGGAAGCATAAAACAAGTCACATTAAGAAAGTAATACTGCATGCGATTAGTTGTAAAGGAACAAAGTGGAAAGTAATGATTGTCTTCTTTATTTGATTTATCACGAAGTCAAAATTGTAGGTTGGTGTTTCGATTGAAGAAGTTACGGAAATGTTTAACTTTAAATTCCTTATATTGGGAAATTGATCTGTGAAAAATATTATAATTTGATAAAGCAGTGGTTTCTATAAAAATGTTTCGGAGATCCCTGGGGTTCAATGGAAGGTACCCAGGGGTTCCGAGTTTCTAACCAGTAATGATATTTTGAAAATGTAATTAAGATTATATTCTACCAACTATAATAATTTGCATAATATTTCGGTTATTTTTATTCGTATAAGGAAAATGATAATTAGTCGGCGAAATTCAAAAATAGCGAAATTAAAAAAAAAATAAAAATAATAATCCCTATATCATGAAGAAATTATAAAAGGGTTTGAGTTTTGAGTTTTTAAAAAGATTGTATCAGTATTGTATCAATCCTCCATGTTCCTATAACAAATTATATCTCATGTGGAACTGAATTGGATATTGATCGTTCTCTGGTTCAGGTTAAAATTACGATCTGTAGATGAATGAATGGATGTCTGACTGTGTTTGCTTTAGAAACGGGTGGGACATATGGGTGTGGCAGAAGCGAATTCTTGGCCATAGATGGGGCCACTGGAAAACAGGGAGAATCGCACCCCTTGGCTTTTAATGGTCAACGACAACAATGACATTTATTGAAGCTCACAGCTTCTCCAATTTTTCGACCGCAATTATTAATCAGCGAATTTTCCGTAATATCAGAACTGCCTGAAGGGCCATTTTTAATAATTTAATACACCACCTTAAAATGCACGAGCTAAGTATTGCTATTCTGCTTTATATAATACTTAGAATTTTTTTATTATGGGAAGTCTAGTCAAAAAAATAAATTATACTCTTAAAATAGTTTTAATGACAACAAAAAGAAAGGAAAAAAAACTTACGAATGCACAAGATTATGAGGAAGATCAGATAAATGACTAATTCCTTTATTGTTGTTTTCACGTACCATTCACGATCAGCTTCCGAGCTTCCAACCATTTGTCGAGTTGCAAATATTCCTGAAAATACATTATAAAATGATTTTGTATTGATAATATATTCGACGTAATCTTTTAGTGTTCAGAATCTTTTTCAGAAGGGGTTCTAAGAACAAATTATGATTTTTAACATATTCATTGGCGAGATTTTTATTCTAGACACAGCTAAGACACGATCAGCATCCAAGCTTCCAACCATTTGTAGAGTTGCAAATATTCCTAAAAAATACATTATAAAATGATTTTGTATTCATAATATATTCGACATAATCTTTTAGTGTTTAGAATCTTTTTTAGAATGGGTTCCAAGAACAGATTATGATTTTTAACATATTAATTGGCGAGAATTTTATTCTAGACACAGCATAGACGCGATTAGCTTCCGAGCTTCCACCCATTTGTAAAGTTTCAAATATTCCTAAAAATACATTATAAAATGGTTTTGTATTGATAATATATTCGACGTAATCTTTTAGTGTTTAGAATCTTTTTCAGAAGGGGTTCTAAGAACAAATTATAATTTTTAACATATTCATTGGCGAGATTTTTATTCTAGACACAGCTAAGACACGATCAGCATCCAAGCTTCCAACCATTTGTAAAGTTTCAAATATTCCTAAAAAATACATTATAAAATGATTTTGTATTCATAATATATTCGACATAATCTTTTAGTGTTTAGAATCTTTTTTCGAATGGGTTCCAAGAACAGATTATGATTTTTAACATATTAATTGGCGAGAATTTTATTCTAGACACATAGACGCGATTAGCTTCCGAGCTTCCACCCATTTGTAAAGTTTCAAATATTCCTAAAAGTAAATTTTAAAATGGTTTTGTATTGATAATATATTCGACGTAATCTCTTAGTGTTTAAAATCTTTTTTAGAAGGAGTTCTAAGAACAGATTATGATTTTTAACATATTCATTGGCAAAATTTTTATTCTCGACGCGATCAGATTCCGAGCTTCCACCCATTTGTAGAGTTTAAAATATTCCTAAAAATACATTATAAAATGGTTTTACATTGATAATATATTTGACGTAATCTTTTAGTGTTTAGAATCTTCTTTAGAAGGGGTTCTAAGAACAGATTTTAGCATATTCATTGGCGAGATTTTTATTCTAGACACAGCTCTGACGCGATTAGCTTCCGACCTTCCAACCATATATCGAGTTGCAAATATTCCTAAAAATACATCATAAAATGATTTTCTATTGCTAACATATTCGACGTAATCTTTTAGTGTTTAAAATTTCTTTGGAGCTAAAATTGTAGAAAACAAGTGACGTCTTATGCGCACGATTGAATCCATAAAATTTTGTTAAAGACTTGAAATGAATTTTAATAGACAGTCAAATATAGACTTTTTAAAATCATACTAACTCAAAAGGAAAAATAAAAAACAATTTAATTACAGAAAATTAATGTTTTGAATTTATCATAAAAAAATATTATGACCCCTGAAAAATATTAAATATTTACCAATATTCAAGTGCTAGTATGAATTTTTTCAACATGTTGCTCTCAATATATTGTCAAGTTTTAGCTTAATAGATTTATTAAAAGTCTTGTGAGTTAGTTGAGGAAACTTGAATTGATAAAAACAAATTTAAAGACAAAACTGTCAATAAATAACTTTACAAAAGATATAATTTAGCAGACAATTCAAATTAAGAAAAAAATGCATTATTTTTCTGATTTCAGTTAATGGATTTCAGTATTTTTGCTGTGACTTTGAGTATTATCTTATACTTGGTATCAAATGCTCTGAATGAAAAACCAAGAAATTAAATACATTTTTAGGAAAAATTAGCTAGATTCCTTTAAATAAATAAGTAAAATTAAGAATTAATTCCTCGTTTAGTTTTTTTATTTGGGTTGAACATTGAAAAGGTGTATTTTTGCTACATCCTTGTTTTAAGACGCATTTCGTGCTTAGTCCATTTTCGTGAAAACGCATTTTCAACTGCATCTATATTTGTAAACATGCAATTTGAGCTGTGTCCATTTTTGTAAGCATGCATTTGAGCTGTGTCCATTTTTTAAAATAAGCAATTTGAGTTGTGTCCGTTTTGTAAACATGCATTTTGAGCTGTGTCCATTTTTGTAAACATGTATTTTGAGCTGTGTCCATTTTTGCAAACATGCATTTTGAGCTGCGTCCATTTTTGCAAACATGCATTTTGAGCTGTGTCCATTTCTGTAAATAAGCATTTTGAGCTGTGTCCGTTTTTGTAAACATGAATTTTGAGCTGTGTCCATTTTTGTAAACATGCATTTTGAGCTGTATCCATTTTTGTAAATAAGCATTTTGAACTGCATCCATTTTTGTAAACACGCATTCTGCCATGCATTCTGCATTTTCGCAAGTACGCATATATATCTGTGTCCATTTTCGTAAGCACGTATTTTCATCTGTATCCAGAATAAAAATTTCTCCGACGATAGTCTCACGGTGTCACTGTACTTAAAAGACAGCTTTAAATTTTTTTAAAAAAACAAATTCAAGTATGGGTTTGGGGTTGTAAATAAATGTTTCAGGGAGGAAAAAAAAAGAAAAGATGTCATAAAAGATTTGTTGAATTATTATAAAGATTAATTTATGAAGTAATTTGATTTTTTATTTTTAATTCACACTCGAAATTAAATTTTTTGAAATGACAGGAAAGATGGATTAGTTTAGATTATTAGTTCATTTGCATTCAGCAAATATTATAAAAAATTCATGTTTTTAAGCATGTTCTGTACGCATTTTTAACATATTATTTGTATAGATTTTGAAGCATATATTTTGTATTTCTTGTAACATATTTCATTTGAAATATCCTCGTTTTAAACGTTATTTTGAATGTTTTGTTTATTTATTTTATTTGTTTTAATTGTAACACTGCTTTTAGTTTTATAATTTACTTCAGTTCAAATATGTTTAAAAAATTATATTTTTTAATGATGAAAGTTTGGAATGAGGTTCTGTGACAACCTGGTCATTGATATAATTAAATCGGATCTTCCGTAAGAACGTTATAATTGTTATTATTTTTTTAAACAACTTTTGTTTTTGATTTTTAAAAGGAATTTTTCTTAATCTAAGGTTAGATAACGAGGGGGGGGGGGTACGATCGAAGAAAATAATGAGTAAACAGATAATAAGGAAATCTATCAGTGAATTATCAAATCTGTGATTGGGAAAATGAGCGTGTAAATTTATACAAAAAAGGCGAAAATGTTAGTCTATTATTTGTGGTACTGCAATTGATGATCATTTTTTTAAAGTTTGTTTTTGTCGTATTCTTCAGGGAAAAGCAAATTTTTCCTTTACAAATAATTTCTATGACAAATCGTTTTCTCAACATTCTTTTTCGTAACAGATTCTTACTATCACAAATTTTTTCCTCAACTGAATCTTTTTCTTAACAAATTCTTTTCCTTTATACAGGGATATTCATAATTCCCTCCGTCAGTAAACGCCATTTTTCTTTACAACATCTGGCTTCAGTGGTACATGTTACTGCCATCTACGGGCAACTGCTTAAATTGAAACTTGAATGCTTTCGGAATAATTTCATATGTTCTCTTTTGCCTTATTCGTCTTCGTTCCTTTACTATAACGGTTCGAAACACTGGAGAGAATTATGAATAACCCTGTATATATTCTCTTAACATATTCTCTTCCTTTGTATATATTCATATTTTCTTCTTAACATATTCTTTTCCTTAGCAGTTTCTCTTCATTAACAGCCTCTTTTACTTAATTATTCTTAATGGATAAGATATTTCAGTATCAGATTTTTTGCTTACTGGTTCTTTCCCTTAACAGATTCTTTTCCATAATATATTCTCTTTTTAACATATAGTCTTCGTTAAAAGATTCTCTTCCTAAACATATTCTCATCCTTAATAGTTTATCTTCAATAACAGCTTCTTTTGCTTAATGACTCTTAACGGAGCATATTCTTTATGTAACAGATTTGTTCTGCAACAGATTTTTCTTCCACTTTCTTTTCCTTAACAGACTCTTTTCCTTAACAGACTCTTTTCCTTAACAGACTCTTTTCCTTAACAGATTCTTTCGTTAAACAGATTCTTTTTCTTATTATATTATCTTCTCAACATATTCTTTTCCTTAACAGTTTCTCTTCATTAATAGCTTCTTTTTTTCGATCGAGTCTTTACAGATAACATTATTTCCTTAATAGATTCTTTCCTTACAATATTATTTTCATTAAAAAAATGGTATCGTTTATAATAATACTTTCGTTTTAAGCAGTTTTTTAATCCAGTAAAACTTCTATTGATTAAACTACATTGAAATGGTTTTGCCTTAAGACTAATTAATAAATTTAATTTTTTTTAACCATTCTTAAAATATATTTTGTTTCCTAACTCTGTGCTCTAATCTACGGTTCATTTTAAAAAAAATGCACGAATTAATGTTGCAAAGTGTTTAAAACATTCACCCATATTGACATCATTAGCAGTTTTTAAACTGACTTGCCATTAAAAATGTCGCAAATTTTTAATGTTTATATAAATTCTAATAAAGAAGAAAATTAAAACGATGAGCAATTAAAAATGATGTAATTTAATCACCAAAGCATTATTCAGAATTCTTTTTAATGCGGTTACCATGGAAGCAAATGTATATTTTTTTACTTTAAGCGCAATAATAAGTTTCATTTTTGGTGCACCTGTTGTTGAAATGACATTGCGTGGAAAGGACGGAATAATATAATAGCACGTGACCTTTCTAATTCATGAAAAAAAGTACTCTCTCGTAACATTTGTTCATTTATTTAAGTACTTTTTTATTCGACTAAGGAAATGGAAGTTAATTGCATTTTTTTATCACTTTTGTTCCGTGATTGTTGAATTACTCTTAAATCTTGCTGGTTTTAAATTTTTCTCTTGTCGTAAAATGAAAAATTACTTATCTTTTAAGGCACTTGGAGTTTTAGGTATAGAAATTAAATGTAGTATATGCTTGAAACAAAAAAAGTTAACATAATAGTACCTATTGGAATAAAAATAAAATACATTTCTAAACCACAGACTAAAGCAAATACAAGCTTAATTTAATCACACAATTTCGCGCTCGAAATGTACAATTCTTTTGAGAAGAAAATATATTCTCAATTCCAAATGAATAATTTATTTTAATTAAATGATTGTTTTGAAATAAATCTGTTCACAGAAATGTCCCTTTTATGTTCTGAAATATTTCTACCGTTCTAAAACATAATATAATTGAGGTAAGATTTCAGAAATATTTCTGTAAATTTAACCTTTAAATGTGACTTTAGTGTTATTAAGAAAGATGCATTTTTTGCAATGTTTTTTTTGATCATAAATTATCAATTATTTCCGCTGACAAAAATATTAGTAAATAAAATTGCACTGATAAGTTGCGTTAGAATTGCTGACATCCAGCTAATAAGCTACAGATGAAGGAAAATTAGAAAATGGAATTTAATTTAATAAAATTTTTCTAATCACTTTTTGTTCTGTTATTGTTGAACCACTTGTAAACCTTGCTGGTTTTAAATTTTTAACACGATATAATTTAAAAAATTACTAATATTTAAAAGCAGTTGGAGTTTCAGGAATAGAGATTAAACTTTGTGTTCTTGAAAAAAAATAGAACCTAGTGGACTAAAAATTAAATGCATTTCCAAACTGCAAAAGCAAACACGAACTTAATTTAATCACACACACTGTGTTAGAATTTTCCTTCTAAAATTATGGTAAAATAACCAGCAGCAGTCTGTCCATTCAATTAACCATAAAGTTTACGATAAAGAACATTTTTCACCTTTACAAATTGAAACTGTTCACAACTAGTATGGTTATAAGCCATGAATACAAAACTATACTGGTTTTTAACAATTTAGAACCAGCATGGTTTCAAAACCGTAAAAGAGAAATACGTATAACTGGACATTGGAGCTATGATTTTCGTTAGGTAATGGGCATTGGAGAGTGCTTGGCACTGGAAACTTTTTATGTGTTGAAGGGAATGGAAGAAATATTGTGGCGTTAATGCTGAGACTCGAACCTAAGAGCTTTTGATCATAAGAATGACAGATTAGCCCTCTCGGCCATAATACGTACGCAGTTGCAAGAAACTAAAAGGCTTCTTTAGGATAAGTTGATGCGATATAATTCTGGTTGTTTAACCGTATCAGGTGAAAGCAGTTAATAAATGTTTTTTTCCCTCATAGTTAACAGTTTGATTACCATCTTATTTATGGTTATTTGACTATTTTATTTGAATATGGTAAAATTAAAATTAAAAGAATTGTTATTTAACCATTTTTCCGAACAATTTCTAACAGTGCAATAGAATTCACTTTCAAAAAATAAAATTCTCTTGCAGAAAAAAAAGTTTTAATCCAAAATGAATAATTTAACTGAAAATTCTCCTTCCTAGATATGTCCCATTTATGTTTGCAAATATTATTTTATTTTTGCTAATTTAATTCTCATCATCTTTTAATTTAAAAATTTTGATTGACTGAAATTTACTGCGAATCACTGACTATAAATTCGATTTAGAGGTAAACTGTGACTGTCACCTTCAGGATATAGTTGAAGCATGCATTATCTACAAATACAGATTTTCAGCTAAAATGTGTTTTCAGTTATTCGAAAAGTGGTGGTGGTTTCAGTTAATACAAATATTGAAGTGAATTTCACTTGTTGTAGTCAAGAAACAATTGAAATTTGCTATGTTTTAAGTAAAGGCTTTGATTCTGATGACTTGAAAAATCGCCAATATTGCTTTTAAAAAAGGCTAATAAATGTCATTAAAAACATCAAAATGTCCTCAAATTTTTTTTTTGTAATTGAACAAAAATTTCAGTCTGCTACACAATTTCTTTCCTAAAATTTCATTTATCGCATTAAGATGTTTTATAAATGTAAAGCATTAACATACAACATGCAACATATTAACATGCATTAAACACGAGAAGAGAGATACAAGAGATATGAGAAATTGAGATTTAATTTTCATTGAAGTTTTGTAGAAATTTTAAATGCAAAATAAGAATTCAAAACTGCATTGGATTATTGAATACGTTTAAATGTGAAAGAATTTTTGTACAAAAGTAGATTTTTATACCCGGAGAACCTTCTTCCTACAGCTTCATATATTATTGATGCATATTTGAAAAACTTTGAAGAGGACCAGAGTAACTCAGTTGAACTGAATGACAGTCTGGAGAATGAGCTAGTATTTAATCAACCAGCAAAATGACACGGGCCCTTATTGGGCCATTATTCATGAATATTGACTCAGTAAGGGCTCAAAGGGCCTTTATTTTTCCGATTCATCTGATATTTTACATCCACTTTATTATCAATATCGGTCCTATATAGAATTGTCAGATTCACCTGATATTTTGTATCCATTATTTAACCAATATAGGTTCTATATTGGCCAATGTAACCCCTATATAGGCCATTCTAGAACCAACATTAAAAAAATCTAGACATTCCAATATTGGTTCCTCAGTGCATGTTCTTATAGGAGCCATATCGAGCCAATTTTGAACCAAACTGGGACCAAGGTAAAACTGTTGCTATGGTAAGAACAAAATGCCCAAAAACTAAAAAAAATTACTCAAAAATTTTTTAAAATAAAAAAAATGATCACCGAATCTTAAAAAAACGCCATAAACTATTAAAAAAGGGAAAAAAATTGAAATGCAAACAAATACCGGATCTTAGTCATCAGTATATTTTAGAGCTTTAGTTAATTGTAAAGTGGTTGAAATCTCGAGCGCAAGATTCAACACTCACATACGCAAAATCAAGTTAATAGAAACGTAGTAAAATAGCAAACCCTTAATGCTTCTCATACAGCCATGCCAACATCCAGTTCTTTCTTTTTCTGGTATAATATCTGTCTCGTCTGCTTGTATATATAAATCGTCAACCATGATGCCTTCGTCTTCGTGATTTTTTGCTGCACCACCCCATGCTTCATTGATGTCATCGTCTGCAGCGGATGGCCGCCTGCGTTTTGCACCCTTTTGTTTTGACATTTTTCTGAAACAGATAATTTTCAAATACATAAAAACTTAATTTCGTTTAAGACTTTCACAGAAGAAGTATTTTTTTTACTTCTCACCAGAGCTGCGCAATGGGCTAATGGCGATACCCCTGAGGACGATCCGTAAACTTTTACAGATCCATAGTTATTAGAATCGTATATGAGTGTGACGACTAATGTGTTTATGTTTTTATGAGACTTAGCATCCTAAATATCTGGTATTATTTAATATAGTTTTACCACTATCATATTTTATGATTTTTTTTCTGTTTTTATGCCTTTACTAAGCGATTGTCTAAGTAATTCATAATTGGGATAACTTTCGCTTCTCGGAATTTTAAATTGCAAGGAAATATTGCAACAAAGGTATGGAAATAGATTTAAGTAACCTTTTGGACAGTTTTATGGTATCTTACTATTTGAGTTTAGTGGAGTTTGTTTCATGTCTAAAATGTGAAGAAATACAATAGAAAAGTATCATACAATATGAAAAAAAGGATAAAAATTAAAGTTTATCTTTTTTCATATAACCCATTAAACAAATATATTAATTAAAGTTTTTTTTGAAATATTTTTAATGAGTGAGTGCATCGTATCGTATTCGCAAATCATATTTTCTGCCATTTTTCAAAGTTCAGGTCTTAGTTCCTTTTGTAGAAATGTTTCTTTAAATTTTTGATGAAAATGTTTAAAGGACACAGTTTTAAAAGGAGTCATATAGGAGTGTGACAGTATTGTTACTGTTTATAGTATTGTTACTGTTCAAAAGGATGTTTAAAGTAAAAACTATGTATTAAATAAGTAATCCAAAAAAACTGAAGCGGTATGGTATTACTTGTTCAAACACTTCAATAGCTTCAAAAAATTGCAAATTGGAAAGAGAAAAAACAGTCGGTATGTTTCAAGTGCTCGAAAATAGGCACTCATTTTCAAGGCCTGTCAGATGGGAATGAGAAGAAACGGTTTTTTTTTCTAATGCCCACCTGGAGAATGACCTTTCGTCATACAGACATCTGAGGGACAGATTTGTTGGACACTCTTTCAGGGGCAACATATGAGGTAAGCCAATGTTGTAAGGACAGATTTTACAAAGAAGGATAGATCATCCATGCCTGCACGGGTTTCAAACCCAGAACCTTTCGGATGAAGGGGGAGTTCCCTGAACTCTACACAGGCCAGACCGCATGCGATAAAACAAAAGTGATTTGAAATAAAAAGGTAATGTTGCCTACCAAGAATAGAAAAATAAGGACGAGAAACAAAACTAGAAGAAACCACAGTCGCTGAGGAATTGAAAAGATGAGAAACAGAACAGGAGAAACTTCAGAGGCTGAGATTTACTCGTCAGATTTTTGAAGCGAATGAAGTTTTTAATAAATAGTAAAAACTATAAGCTATTATTCAGTAGTGAAAACTATCTATTCAACAAAGCGTAATAATTAAAATGTTGTTAAATTCTGAAACTTTTTTCTGTTCAAAATTAACATATTGCTCTTAATGTTGAAAGTGAGAAGAATTACATATTGATGTTTCAAGAAATTTATCATCAAAAAGAAAAGAAGGAAAGAAAAAAGAAAAATTTTAATGCTCAATATCTCACAAAAATTCCAATTTTGAGCAAATCTCAATAAATTTCAGTTTTGAGAAAATCTCATTATAATTCCAGTTCCAGTTTCTGTTTGTTCGAAAAATATCTACCACGAGATATCTAGAATTCGTCAAAAAAAACAACGCTTAAAATTACAAAATAGGAATTTTTTCTTATTAATATCCACGCGTTTTGGTGCAACATTGTAACGCCGAAAAAAATACAAAATGGCATGTTGAAATTAACTAAGTTCACGTAAAAATCATATTTTTTTAATTTCAAAATTTTTTTTTACTTTATAATTTTTATTTGCTTAATTAAGAAAAATTTGAGTACATTTTATTTCACAACAAATGAAAGTTGATTGAAGTAAATGTGACGTTTATATTAGTAAAAAGACATTCTAATTTATAGTTTTATTTTTATTTTCTCGTATTACTGAAGGAGGGGCTAATATTTGATGACAAATCATATCTTTATACTGTATTATAGATTAAGAATGCTACATATTTAAAATAAATTAGTTTGATAATTTATATAATTATATAGTGGATGATATATATTTTTTTACTCCAAAATAAAACTTGTCCGATAATATCTGACATATGTTTGAAAAAGTTATATATCTTAAGTTACGTTCCTATTCTTATTAAGAAATTAATTGCATGGTTAATCACAAACAACAACAAACATATAGCTAAGGTCAACAAGCAATATAAATTTTCTTTGAGGTCAATTCCTACTTAGGTCAACAAACAAATTGTTTATTTTAGTTACTTTTTATTAAATAATTACAATTAATATAAATATGTATATATGTCACGGCAAAAGACCGAAATCGGTGGTTGTTGACTTTCACCGGTGAATGTCGAGAAGCACCAAATACGTCGGTAAAAGATCGTATATTTAATTACATTCTTGTACATTCAGACCCTCACCGGTGTATGTCGACAATCACAGATATGCTTTGGTGAATGTCCGAAATATTTATTACATTCGATTTGATAGGAATTTATTCGTGGATATAATTACATTTATTCGATATTTTAACCCTACACTGATGTTTTTTTAAGGTTAAGTGCCACTGCCCGGTATACATTTGCCCGGTATACCCTACACTGATGTTTTTTTAAGGTCAAGTGCCATTGCCCGGTATATATTTGCCCGATACTCCAAACACTGATGTTTCTTCTAATCTATCGTCAGTAAGTATTAAAATATAGAATAAATATAAATATATCAAATAAATATAATAATATTAACGAATAAATTAATATAAAATTGGATATAACAAATATTTCGGACATTCACCAAAGCGACTATGTGATTGTTGACATTCACTGGTGAGAGTCAGAAATAAGGGTATTTAGCAAATATTTCGGACATACACCAAGCGACTACGTGAATGTTGACATTCACCGGTGAATGTCGACATTCTCCAGGTTTCGGTGTTTCACCGTAACATATACATATGGCAGAATCACAAAATTAAGTGTCAAAATAGAAAGAACAATTCTGCCATATAAAACTAAAATAATTAATTAAACTTAATTAATGAGTTAATGTTTGAAAAAACTTTATTAACATAAAGTTTTTTAACTTTATTAACATATTATAAGTGTCATCTACAAGTTTAAAAAATGTTTTTGAACTTGAGTGAATGAATAAAAAGTATTTTATTAATGATTGAAAATTTGAACAAGATATATAAATATAGATAGGGAGAGTGCGAACTAATAATAGGAATTGAAAAATAACAAACATCAGATTGCGGATGAAACAAGTTTCATTATTTAATGAAATGCGACTTATTGCATAGTTTAAAAAGTACTTTAATTTCGAGTTTATTTAAATTTCCCTAAATTATAAATTTATGCATAATTTAAACTATAAAAACTCTAATAAACATTTTTAACGAAAATTTTATCCATTGAGAAAGTTTAAGTATGAAATTACTTTTGATAATTTCTAGAATTCAGAAAAGTTTTCTTCAATGAACTTGAAGATTAAATAAATAAGAAAAAACAATTGTGTAGAAATGGTAACGAGAAAAATTTAGAAAATTTAAATTTAATAAATTATTTGCTCAAGTAGAAAACTAATCAATTTCGAAAGTCAGTTTAACAGAAAAATGCCACAAATTTAATTATTTTAAGAAATGCTTTTTCGGTCATTTTTTTTTGTTCTTTTTAAGTTTTGTTTTTTGTATTAAATTATTAAATAGCTTTGATTACAATTTCTATATTTGTTTTTGTTTTTGTTGGTACTGTATAATGACTAACATTTTCAAGATACCTGTGTTAAAATAACCTATTGCTTTTAAAAATACAAGAAAAAATTAAATTTCATTTAATTTTACATTGTCTGAATTTTGTTTTACCTTTTTTAGTTATTCAATATATTGGCTAATATATTAAACAGCTTTATTTTACAGCCTGTATAACTCTTTTCATTATTAACGCTAATACTTAATTTCACAATACTATTTATTATTATGCTGTAAGATTAAGTTTTGATAGGGATTTATTATTCTGTTATAGGATATATATTACTTACAAAATATATTTATTTGCAATATATATTTATTTACAATTACTGTTTAATGTAAAGAGTTATTAAAATATCGGAGTTAAAGTCACTGCTTATAGAATTGCAGGTTTTTAAATTTTGCAGAGACAAGAAGTTTTAATTTTTTCGCAACAGAACTTTTTTCGCGACTGTTATTTTTTGCAACAATACTTTTTGCAACAATAGTTTTTTGCAACCGTACTATTAACAACAGCACTTTTCTTTCAACAGTACTGTTATCTGTCTTGTAAGGAAACAAGTATGATAAATTTAATCCTTTTTAGCTCGAGCGTAGAAATTTTATAAAATATGGTATTATTTTAATTGAAATAGGCGTGAATTACCTTCATTAAGACACAAAATGAAGTTTCGTGTATGAAAAATATTCTTTTATTTAAGAAATAAAATTGTACATATATACACCATTCACCAAATCAATAGACAAGTTATTTAGATTGACACTACTTTTTTATGATGTTTGTTTTATTATTAATTTTTTAAAGAACTTCAACTTTAATCCATTATGAAAACATCTGATTAATCTTAATTAGAATAATGAAAAAATAATTCTAAAAAGTCGAATTTGTTAATAGCTGTTGCAAATTTAAAAAAAATAGCGTATTTTGAAAATTTCTCTACTGAAAGTGTTTGCTCGAATTGAATTACTAGTATTTTAAAAATGGCATCAAAACCTTTAAAAATGGAGGAAAAATAAAATAAGCCAAATTTATAAGTCACAGTGTTAACCTCTTGACATACGAAGACGTCTGGGAGATGTCATTTGTTTTTAATGTCAAAACAATAATTGACGCATCTCAGACGTCTTCAACACAGAGATGCCAACTTGCTCCGGACAGCAAATAAACATTTTAAAGTGGTAGTTAATTAATTGTGATTCTTGGTTTAATAAATTCAATTTAGTAGATTTTTATCCTCCACTTTTTCTAAATAATTCGTAGGATTTTATAATTCATCACTTTATAGTAGTCATGTCACCTTTTAAAAAGCAAGAGTTGGTGGGAGCAGTTGGCATCTCGGTGAACATTCCGTTGAGAGTTGTTGTTAACAGTGCAATCAAATATCATTTCTAAATCAAGAAATTAATAATTCCGCACAGTTTAGAATGTAAAATGTTATGTCAAAGGGTTTAATAAATAAATATTTATTAAAAGTGTGCGTTTACGCACTTTCGGCTGAAATAGTTTGAAAAGTTTTGTAAAAATGAAACTAAGTTACTAAAGATTTGAAACTTACTTTCTAATTATTAATACGCATTCTTTAAATGTGATCTATCAGCCTTCTGATGGAAACTTAACCTTGTCTCAACTGCTGCATCAAAAAGCATCGAAATAACAGAATAGGAACGCAATCTGTAAATGTTAGGTTGCCAAGAGATACTCCTATTTTAGTGTGTATTCTTTAATGCAAAACACAACTTTTAGAGATGAAACACGCGACTCCATTCCTATAGTTTTCAATGCTTGAAACGCCAACTTTGTGACGTTCCATAAAGAGATAAACTAATACACATATTCGTGATGGTTTTTTTAGAGGACTCTATTCTGTTTATGATTATATTTTTATTTCTTTAATGAATAAAAAGTGTTTTGAAGTTGAGATTGTTTTTTGTCTGGCTATGTTTGGTATTTTGGTGGTAATTAGTTACGATTTATTGAAGATTGGGACTTGTAAAATGCGTAAAGTATTAGAATGAAAATATAGTATAAGTCTGTTATAACGACAATCCATAATGCACAAAGATAAAAGTATGATTAAAACCTCTGGAATGTGGGAAAAGTTTATTGTGTTCCTGACTTCATGGGAACACATAAAGCTCGTTTTTTTTCAGAAGTACTTTTGAAATTATTTTATTAAAGCAAACAAAAAATATGATTTTACACTCTGTGATAAAATTTGGTAATTGTGATAAATTTGGTAATTTATTATATTTAGTATTTTTTGGTAATTTAATTTGTGGTGAATTTGGCAATTTTTGTGGTAGATTTAGTATTTGGTTAATTTTATCATAGAACATGGCATAAAAACCATGTATTCGGTAAAATTGATTTTTTAATTTTGCATTTTTTGAAAAAATGTGAAGCAATAGAATTATAAATCTTTAAATATTATGATAAAATTTGTAAATTTTTTGTGCAATAAACAAAAAATGTTGAAAGTAATCAATAAAAAATATTCAGTAATGTAATTATTGTGAGAGTTTCATCAAAATCTAACAAGCCAAGTCATTTTTAAAATGAGCAAAGCTTCTCTGTTTTGTAACAAAAAAAGCCAATTTGTTAAGCAGATTCAACTGAAGATACAGTTTGGAATTGAGAGTTTATAGATTAATTATAGAAACTGATTTTCATAAATAACGGAATTCAATTACATTAAAAACTTATAATTAATTACAAAAAATTGTTTTATTACTTTTAAAATGGCGTCTCCTTTTCAGCATATTTATAAAAGTGTTTCCTTACTTATTAATTAAATGTCAAAACTATGCAAGTAGATAAGAAAAAATTATCTTCTTTTTTATGAAATTTAACTTATTATATGCTGAAGACAGGGTTGAACTTTTTTGTTAGAAATTCTTTGAAATACTTTGAAAAAAATATACCAAATTTATAAACATAATTAGGTTTATAGCAACATTCTAGTCTAATTAGAAAAATGATTAGATTTTTTAATAGATAGCGTACTAAGCAATTTGTTTTGACAGGGAATTATTACATGCATATGAAACTTTTTTCAGCTAATAGTGTTTTTACCCTAACTGAACTGATAAATTAGTGTTATAATTGATTTTTGATAGATGGTTTTAATTTTAATAGAAATACATCGCTGTAATTGGATAAGATGGTATAATGATTGACATTAATTGAATTTGATAATATTTTGTTAAAAAATGTTAATAAAAAATAAATATATGATAAAACATAAAAATAGTGAAAATTGTGGATATGATGTGTATATAAGGATTCTAAATGTTGTTAAAAATAAAGATACATATTTAAATGATTTTTGCAAAGTTGTTTTACTTCTACTGATGAGAGATATATTAGTGACGTTTCAACTATTAACAATAAAATAAGGGTTTCTGATTTTAAAGGTAGAAAAGATGAACTATTTTAGTTGAAAAATGCGATTATTTGTGTCATTTAGAAAAAATTTCACAGTACTTCTTCTATTAAATTGAAAAATTATGCTTGACAACTTAAAGAAAATATATTATTGATTTTATAGAACAAATTTAATATTATAATATTCGATCAAACTTTTTTAGAATTTATTGAAATTTTTTAATAATTAATGAAATTTAAGACTTGATGAGAATAAAAGTTCAGAACTTTTTTCTATCCTTAATGTTCAAAATTTTTTTCTCTGAATGTTGTGGAATTAGTACTAAATGTTCTAGAATTGGTACTAAATGTTGAATAATTAGTTATAAATGTTCAATGAGTTCTAAATGCTTTTTAATTAGTTCTAAATGTGCTAGATTTAACTCTAACTATTTTAGAAATAGTTGAAATGTTCTAGTACTGGTTTTAAATGTTTCAAAATAATTTGAAATATGCTAAAAATAGTTCTAGATGCTCTAAGCATTTGAATTAGCATGTTATAGCATTAGTTTAAAATGCTTTAGAAATAATTGAAATGTACTAGCGTTAGTTTTATCTGTTTTATAATTAATAAAAATGTGCTAGTAATAATTTTAAATAAAATTTACTGAAATGTCCTTGTATTAATTAGAAAATGTTTAGAATAAATTGAAAATAAAATCTTCTGAAGGAAAATTAACTGCCCGCTTTGGCTAAATTTGTTACGGTTTTTAAAAGCTATTTTTATATCAAATGGATAATTCTTTCTGTGACCTACTATTCTATTTTTTTTTATAAAAAAAAACATTGTGCTTTGACTTAAGATCCTCATAAATATTTATATAATGGAAGGCAAAACCATATAAATTGAAGAATGGAGAATAGAATGAAGAATAGAATTCTGAAAAAATGAATCATAATAATAAAGTACTGCTTAATTACTTTTTTTTTAGAATAAGGATCATCCCTTTAGAAGGATGAAAAGGTATAAATGATTTAAGGAAAAAATAAATTTTATGAAAAACTGGTGAATCATTAACGTGGAAAACGCGATCGAACATGCCGAAACATGTTTTACTGCTATGGAAAATTAAGGGGGGGTTATAAGTAAAAAATCTGTTTCATTGGGCTATCATAATTTTGATATTTTAATGTACCGATACACTTTCGTCGGATCATGGTAACATTTCTGTATTTTCGTCAGTTAAAAATTAATTTGAAAACGCACTGTGTATCTATTCATACTTCCTTTTTGATAAATATTCTTAAAATTTGTGGAACGAGTGGTAGTTACGGAATGCCTGCAGATATAACGGTATTCTCTTAAGAGAATACCGTGACTGAATACTTAACTGATCCGATTTTTTTTCGGATTTTGCTTTAAAATATAGAAGAACAAATGGATTTCTCTCTTTATTTTGCACATTTTAATTTTTATATAGACCCTCACTCTAGACGTTATTGAAATAAAACTTTAAGAAATAGGTCATGGAAAAAGTACAGATACTTCACTTAAATTGAAACAAAATAGAGAAAAAATAACTACATAAATAAATCTTTTTTATTCGAAAAGCATTGCAAAGGTCAGACAAAATAGGAAANTATTAGTTTTATCTGTTTTATAATTAATAGAAATGTGCTAGTAATAATTTTAGATGAAATTTGCTGAAATGTCCTTGTATTAATTAGAAAATGTTCATAATAAATTGAAAATAAAATCTTTTTAAGGAAAGTTAACTGTCCACTTTGGCTAAATTTAACGGTTTATAAAAGCTATTTGCCTTCTGTATGTCATAATAACCGATGTTAGACCATAGTAAATCAATTTTGATTGCTGGTTCAATCTCTAAATTAATTTTTACGGATTCTTTTTGATTTTTAGGATTACTGATTTTTTTTAATGGATTTTCCATCTTCCAAATTATAAAAAAAATTTGTTTTGAAAATAATGTTTTCCACAATACTATTATTATGTTACTTTTGTCATACAACATATTTTAACATTCTTTAAAATTTTTATTTTTATTTTTTTCATACTTTTAAAGAATGTTATAAGTCTACATGTTATACGTTTAAAATAAAAAATTTATTGTCTAAGTCTTACAATTTGAATGTTAAATTTCGAAATTTCATTTACAATCAACGTTACGTTATTACAACCTAGAAGAATAGAAGATTCCTAAACATAGGATACACTAAAATTGTGTAATTACATGAAATTGTCTTCAAAGCAGCTAAGTGATTTTATTGGTAAATAACGTGTGGCATCGCTGCTTTGCTCATCAGTTCAACAGGGTTAAGTATTAACTTATTAAGTTATTTTGGTTATTAAGCTGTTTAGATTTCTGATTGTACGATGCAGTCAAAATATGTTCTCAACAAAATTTTCGTTTTCAAATGGAAAAGTTCGTTAAAATAAGTGGAGGAAAAGGTAGAAAAAAGTACACAAATAGCAACAAATGCACCGGCCTTCACTCCCCAATAATATAGTTAAAATATTTGTTGAACTTGAAATCGTAGAAAGAGGCGCAATAGTGGTTGCACATTAAGATATATCCCAAGGGTTCTCAAAGTGTGAACCGAGCAGAATTCTGAAATTGCACAGTCTGATATGCTTGGGGCTTGTAAAAATTCCAATCGGTCATGTATATTTTCCCCTTAAATGCCCGGTGGGTCATGTAAATTTTCAGAGATATTGTAACACACAGATTAAGCAGCCCACAAATTTTGACGTGTATTTATGACGTGTATTCAAATTATGACGTATGCATTTTCCAGTAGCACTGGATAAAGAAATTTTTGTTATATTTGTATAAATACTAGATCTTGCTTAATTCGGATGTTAGGAGTTCAAATCTGAAATTAGTTTTCCTCCTAAAGCTACAGATTTAAAAAAAAAAGACTTTGCTCATGTTTGGTCGTTGTTCGTATGTTCAGAAGACACGAAGAAACAGTTCATAATAAGGAAGTGCTCCTGGCGACATTTCCGGGCATGGGTTCCCATGCAATTTTATTCCTGATAATAAGCGCTAACTCCCCTAGAAGTTAGTTGCAACATCTACATTACCTTTATTATATATTACCCTTGTTATACATAACGTTTCTAAACTTGTACATGTCGACAAAAAGCAGACTAATAATGTCATTTAAAAAAACTGTCGCTTTGAGAGAGAAACTGATTGCAGAATTGAAATCAGCATTACAGATGCATCTAAGACCTGTCAAAAAATA